ACCGGCACGGGCCAGTCGGTGATCGCCTTGATCTTTTCGGGATCAGGACGTACACCGTTCTTACCAACGATGCACCCAAGAAGTGGTATTTCGCTTGCTGCAAATATACACTTCTTGAGGTTTGCATACAATTGATGCTTTCGCATGATTGTAAGAACTTGTCGGACGTGGTACTTGTGAACCTCAACGTCCGACTTTCCATCCATAGCTCGACTATGGATGAATACGTCATCGAAATAACTCGGCGCGAATTCTTGTACTGGCCTCAACAGATGTGATACACACCTGTTGAACGTGGCAGGGGCATTACTGAGCCCTTGTGGCATTACTAGCCATTCCCAGAGCATGCCGCTAGGCGTGCTAACTGCGGTATAGGGTATATCCCGTTCCCGCATTAGGATTTGATAGAAGCCATCCATCAAATCCATGGACGAAAAGATGGTACTCTTTGACATACCATCAATGATTACGTCCTTCCTCGGTATCGGCGTCTGAGCCGGTACCGTTGCAGCGTTCAATTTGTTAAACGCGTGCACTATCCGCCACCCTCCTGTTGCTTTTCGCACACAGAAGGTCGGAGAGCTATGTGGGGAAGTTGATTCCCTCACATGGCCCGCTGCTAAACGATCGGCAAAGAACTTGTCGATCGCAAGTACTTGTTCACGAGGCAGTGGCCACTGCTTCATGACACAGTACTTCGAGCCTGATTTAAGCTCGACTTCGTGTCGAATACCTTTATCCTTCGGTAATTCGCACGGAACAGTTTCAGGGAATACATCCTTGAATTCAACCAAATCTTCATAGAGAGGATTTTCCTTGAGCGATTCCCATGATTGGGACTCATATCGCTCAATTCGTGTCTTTTCATCTAGGACACTCTCGTCCATAGATGAACTACTGAGAACTCTCTCGTTCTCAGTAAACACTGTTGCTGACCTTATGTCGGTTACATACTCGTCTTCAGCGACGAGTATGCAGATCTGCTTGACTTTGCCACTACGCAGATCACGCAAGAATCTTTTATGTTCGAGCGTTGGCAACTGAGTGATCTCCGAAGTTAACTTCGGAGGCGCAATCAGATCAAGTGTATAAGCGCCTACACATGATCCGTTATTGACTATGACATTCAATGTCTCTGTCATTTCCTGGGGACTTATTCCCTCAGGCTTCGAAGGACTTATTCCTTCGTCTTCCCGGGGACTTATTCCCGCGGGTTTCGGGGAACTTATTTCCGCCGTATTTGTAATCTTGGGACTTATTCCCTTTACTTCCTCTAGCTGGGGTTGCGCAACCACAGCGAGATCCTCTACGAAAGACTCTCCAGTCGATCTAGGATTATCGTTTCGCTTAACCTGAGCGATCGATTGTTTCTCTTCTAGATGTTCCCCTCTAGGGATACATCTTTGTCCCAGTCCACCCGACTTATTCGAGTGGTGGACCTTCGGCGCAGCCTGTGTTTCCTCACAGCCGCCGGAACTTTGCTCCGAAGTGTAACCGTTTGGTACACTAAGGTTTTGTGCAGTCGTACTAACGACCGTACCACAAGTGAGGCCATCGCACTCACTCGTAGTACATCCACACGCTTGTGGACGCTCCAAAACGTTCATCAGATGGCCATCTGATGAACAAGCGGCAGGCATCGTTACTGTCCGATGTTGCCAGTTTACCCGTGGTTCGTACCTTCTGAGCCACGGTATTCCAAGGATGACATCAAATTTGTCATCCAAATCCAATACGATAAAGTCATCGTCGTATTGGGTATCTTCTAGCGTATAGTGGATCTTCACTATACGCTTCATGACGGTTACGGATGCGCCTGTCGCAAGACGTACCGTCATCCTCGTAGGAGGTGTGTCACATTCACTGAATTTAAAGTGACCATCTTCTAGCGATTGGCGTTGCACAAAATTGTTGGACGCCCCACAATCGACTAGAGCTCGAAGGGACAACTTATTCGTCACTTCGAGTTTCAAGGTAATGAGTGAGATCTCATTACCTAGAGCAGCAACGCACAATGTCTGTGTGTTGGGAGCAACCTTCATCAAGAGGCCTACAAATTCTCTTGACGTTGCTGGATCAGTAGGGTGCTCCGCACCTACTGATCCTGTCCGTTTTTTGACGGTCCATCCCGTTGTTGCGTCTTTGCACCAACTGCGGACCCTCGTCCCTGCCCCTTTCTCATGGGTGGACGGTCACTACGCCCAGTGTCGCGAGACACTGGACGAGGGGCACTACACTCGTAAGCGTAGTGTCCTGTCTTTTGACATCTGTTGCATCTCTGCAACTTCTTGTAGACTGTAGAGCGAGCCTTCTCGCTCTCTACATAACAGAGTTCCATCGGCTCTGGACCTCCGTTGTCATATCGTCTCGGTTGACGATATGATGTCGAGCTGGCGCGAGCCTGTCTCAGACTGAAGTCTTCCTGCTCCGCAATTGAAATGGCTTGTTCTAGTGAATCTAGTTCAAGCCGGAACAGGTGAGTCTTGACGGGACCATCCGCAAGACCCTGCATGAACACCGAAACCAACGTGTGTTCATCCACCGGATTGGAACTTATACAACTCGTGAGATGTCGTATATGTTGAGCGTAAGCGTGCACATCACGCTTACCCTGCTTGAGCTTCAAGAGTTCGGTTCGAGCTCTGAACTCAGCTCTAGGCGGTTCAAACGTTTGTCTGAGCCGCGACTTGAAGACTTCCAACGACCCAAACGCATATGGGTCGTGCAGCTTGAGCCCCAGTGCCCAAGTCTTGGCACGTCCTGCCAGATTTGACTGGGCAAATGCAACTTGCATATCCCCGTCGTCGATGCGACGCGCCCTTATGGCGTCATCCAATTCGACGAACCATCTCAAGAGGGAGTCTTCTTCGACCCCCTATACTTTGAGATGTCAATCTTCAAAGTCTCGGGTCGACGCGAGTGCATCGACCCGCCAGCAGCAGCCTGCTGCTGTCTCAACAGTTCAAACTGTTGAGCACCTTGTTCTCTCAACAACTCTGCTTGTTGAGAACCTTGTTGGTGAAGCAAGGCTACTTTCTCGCGTTCTGCGTCAAGTTCATTTTGAATGAACTTGGCGATAGTAGCATGTTGGGCATCTCTATTGAGAGCCTCTAGCATGACGCTAACAGCATGGATGCCCATGGTCGAACCCATTCGTTCAACCGCATCCCATTCGACATCGCTCAAATGGGAGTAGCCGTCACGCGTAGCGTGAAAGCTTTGGTCATCTTCATCATCCAACATATTCATGTTGGATGTGAACGCGGTCCTTGGACGGACTACGAAGTGCTACCAGGTGTAACGGGGCACCCTGAAGCTTGTACTGGTGACAGTACAAGCTACTTATTCTGATGACAGAATAAGGCGGTGCCTCGTAACTTCACGTACACTCGTACGTGCAGAGGAAGACGGTAAGAAGAAGCGAGTACTCGGTTAGAGTAAAAAGTAGAACTGTATTATAATAGTTAATGTCTGCAATAAATCACTATTTATCTTCATCTAACTATGTCTAAATACAAATGTGTAAATCAGTTATCTGCTCACCACTCATTGCGTGCGTCTGTCGTGGCGCGTCTTCGTTGGTTGATATAATGGCCTATATCAACCAATTAGGAACTACTCGTAAGTGCTACAGAATATTGTCCTTATGACAATATTCTGAGAATATAACTCTTATAGTTATATTCTATTAACAATTTCTTATAAATTGTTATGTAACGATTCACCCCGTTACAAGTACAAGCTTCAGGGTGCCCCGTGACACCCATGGTTGAACCCATCCGTTCAACCGCATCCCATTCGACATCGCTCAAATGGGAGTAGCCGTCACGCGTAGCGTGAAAGCTTTGGTCATCTTCATCATCCAACATATTCATGTTGGATGTGAACGTGGTCCTTGGACGGACTACGAAGTGCTACCATGTGTAACGGGGCACCCTGAAGCTTGTACTGGTAACAGTACAAGCTACTTATTCTGATCACAGAATAAGGCGGTGCCTCGGAACTTCACGTACACTCGTACGTGCAGAGGAAGACGGTAAGAAGAAGCGAGTACTTGGTTAAAGTAAAAAGTAGAACTGTATTTATCATAGTTAATGTCTGCAAATAAATCACTATTTATCTTCATCTAACTATGTCTAAATACAAATGTGTAAATCAAATATCTGCTCACCACTCATTGCGTGCGTCTGTCGTGGCGCGTCTTCGTTGGTTGATATAATGGCCTATATCAACCAATTAGGAACTACTCGTAAGTGCTACAGAATATTTGTCCTTATGACAATATTATGAGAATATAACTCTTTTAGTTATATTCTATTAACAATTTCTTATAAATTGTTATGTAACGATTCACCCCGTTACATTGATCGGCTGCCCTGGCATCGCGCTTGCTTGGGCTCATAACCTGTAAGTTCATGATGTTTTGGTTTGCACTTGTGCAAAGGTAGTTTGAAGTAAATGATATTTAGCACTAACTAATCTCCTTTGTCAATACTTCAACATGCACCGCAACTGCACTGCAGCTTGACCATGTACTTGCCTGACGGTATATCCGTCTTTCCTGCCCATCTCGTACGTTAGTCACACATTGCAACCGTATCGCCTTGTCCCAACCGTCATGTTGTCAGTTCGCTGTCCCATCTGTCAAGTCATTGCCCTGTCTCTCGCTGTCCCATCTGACCGATCGTTTCCTCGTTGTCTCACATGTCACCTGGTCTGACCACCAGCCGATCAGGTGAGACCGTCACATGGTACATCCCCTAAACCTGTCAAACATGATAGTTCCTAACACGGTAGCTGCCCCTTTAGCTTGTAGGTTGAAAGCAGCCGTGTAACTCGGTGTCTGAAGTGAAACAACATCGGGTCTACGTGCGAGACAATTTTGGGTGAGAGGACCTGTTTCTGGTCGATGGGACGGACTCGCCCAATTACATTCAACTTACACTTGAGGCCAGAAATAAGCATAAACAACACGAATCAAATGGACGCAATCGTCGCTTTTAAGTAGAACAGCACGGGTCGATACTTCCGCCAAGCTTGTCAGCGTCCGTGTCCTTAAAGATGACGAAGCCCAGACCAACGCCAACAACTACAGCCACGAACATGAGCGTTTCAAATGTCATGATGACTAACATGACCAAGTACCCCAGACTCAGATGCCCCATGTACATGACTGCGAGCACCAGTTTGCCCCAGAACGGCAGGCGGCGAACGATACTGACCTGAGGAGTGTGACCGACCTTGAGCGCTAACGACTCATTGGCGATGAGAGCATCACTATTGCGTCTCACAAGCGGTGTGGCTCCACCACACATCAACACGTAGTCCGTCTGGCGAGACACGATGCTGTAGACCCGAAAAAGCCACTTTTCCACAAACTCGCGCAGCTCACCGAAGCCTTCGAGCAAGACGGCAAGCAAGACGACGCCCAGGAAGGAGAAAACGTACTTGACCTCAGACGTGATCACCCACGGCTGAAAGAGCAGCAACAGACACGAGGTGTCGCCTCCTATAGCGGTCTGGAAACCATTAAACATGGCTGAGCCCGTAGGGTTGGCTGCCGCGCCGGCGTAGCAAAAGTCGTCGGAAGAGGTCTGGGCTGCCACGTACTTGGTCGGGTTGTCGAACACGAGCTGTGCGTGCTCCTTCGAGCACGTGTAGATCTTCTGCGCGCCCTTAGAAATCCACGGCACAGCGTGCGTGAGTTCGTCGAAGCTCTTGCTGCACACGGGGCACTTGATCTCCCTCGCGTCCTTGTAAATGGCGTCCATAAAAATGTCCGCCTCTTCTGGAAGGCCAAGGTTTGCAGACTGCATGGAGAGAGAGAGACAAGACATTAGACGACAATGTCTTCGGTAGCACAGTCCAAGAGTCCACAACAGATGGACGCACCGGGTCGTTCTGCAGAGACTCAATGTGGCCAGCCATCTCGCACGCGTAGACGTACTGGTTGCCCAGAATCGTGGCGTTGATGTCCGGCTTGACGTCCATGTTGCAGAGCGGGCACGTGGTCTTGCGCAAGTTCTGGTCAGCAGCTGCGCTCGCGAGTAGCAGCACCAGCCACAGTAGCAGGAAAACCGATGGGGCTTTCGGCATGACGGTCGAAATTGTGATTATGAGGTCTTCCATCGACCGAAGCAAACATTGTGCCCATAAAAGTCGAAATTCCACCCAAATAACAAGCGTGACAGAAGAAGCGAGCAACCGCAATAGAAAAGTTACCATTCCCACTATTTAGTTTGCGAGGTGGCGCACTAAAAGTAAGTACAGCTGCCGCAATTATTGAATATGCACTGATGGAATCGCTCCTTGATGCAGATTGCTAGCGGTCCGGGGCTCCCACAAGCTGGTCTCAATCGACGCTTTCTCTCGAATCACCATCATCAATCTCTCCCACGACCACACACGCAATTGCCATCATCTTAATCCATCCTGGCAACTCAAAAGGTAGGCTACACTTCTATAGGTTTTAATGTCGGTGAGCCATTCAACTTGCAGACGAGCTAGCAGCGACGTGTCTCTCAATTACTCCCTTCCTAGCTTCAGTCGACGATCCCTTTTCTGTAGACACGCGCGTTGTTTACATGCAGCTGCTGCACAATTAAACGAACACTGCGCCTAAGCGCGGGCGTGGTCGTTCTTCCCGACAAACAGCTGTTGGAGTAAACTGATTCGCATTGTGAACAACCTTCAAGACTTAATATGTGGAGGGACTCACTCTACCTTTCTTGGCGTAAACGCCATAGCTCGCCTGAAGCAGAGCACGAGCAGTTGACATTCGCTTTCCCCTCCTCTCAACGAGATGCTTCGTCTTCTATGCCCGTGGACTGCAGCCACGTTCGCGCTGTTGTCGGCGTCGACCACTGCGCACAACGGCCCCGTCTATCACCACGCGTTACATCCACTGCACGACGTGCACGCGATGCAGCTGTACCGTGGACTGGCGTCATTGGCCGCGAGCTCCACTGACTACACGTGCCCTGTGTGCGGCATGTCTACGCTAGATAGCGGCTACGCCAATGAGAACTACGTGACCATGACGCACGGTCAGAAGATCTACTCGTGTGGCATGGCAGCGCGTCCCTTCCCAGCCTACAGCTCGGACTCGACCGACACGGCCTACCTAGCCGCCAATATGGCCGAGTTCATTGTCAATCAGACGGACGTGGACGCCTACGCCAAGTGCACGAGCGCCTGTGACGAGTGCGTGGACGGCACTTTTGACCCTGTGTCTGGAGCTGCTGTCAAGACGGACAAGTACGTCTACGTGTGTCTGAAGAACGGTCAGAAGATCTACTTTTCGTCACAAGTGAACAAGAACTCGTACCTGACAGGCGTCAACAAGGAACCGCGCTATCTGGTCGACGGTATCATTTGCGCTGGATCAACGTGCTCGGACGCGACTACAATCACGACGCTGAGTCCGGCAGCGCAGAGTTTCGTCGCCGACCTTTCTCCTTCGGGGACACAAAGCGCCACTTCTGCACCGTCGACGTCGTCCCGCAGCACTGCGACCGAATCGGACGAGCCATCGACTGGTTCGGACTTTTGCTCGGGCCAGGGATCGGTCATGTTCAACGGGTTCCAGCTGTCCATGCACGGGTCATGTGTGATGCTGCTCTTCCAGCCGTGGGTGCTCAATAGCGGCGGCAAGTATGCGATCGGATTCGTCGCCTGCTTTCTGATTGCACTGCTGAATGAGACGCTGGTGAAGGGACGGGAGATGGTGCGTCAACGTCTTCTAGCGGCTCGGAAGCTCCGGCCCAGTGACAAACTTCACAAGATGCAGTGCAAGCTCATCCTCGCGGTGCTGTACATGACTCAGATGACGATCGCGTACTTTGCCATGCTTGTCGTCATGACGTACGAGACAGGTCTGTTTCTCGCCCTCATTGCTGGCTTTGGTACGGGCTTCTTGCTCTACAAGAATCTGGACCAGGACGTTACGGACGAGCGTGGTTCATGGCGTTTCACGGATTCTTCCACGGTGCGGATCCAAGTTGGCGGCATGTCGTGTATGAAGAATTGCGGCACGACGGTAGAGAATGCGCTGAAGAAGACGCCCGGTGTGACTAAGGCAGTTGTTGTGTTTGACGAGCGTGCTGCTTACGTCGCTGGATCAGCGCAAATGAGCGACCTGGTGAAGGCCGTTGAGGCAGTTGGTTTTTCTGCCGAGATGAGCAACATGGAGTCTGTGCGCAGCCCCCTCGCGAGTAAGAGCATCGAGCACTAGCGTTCTTTTTCAAGTCCTTCTTGCTCGTAAGAATCGATACATCTCTCACTGTTATGATTGAATGGTTGTTGCTGCCTGGCTGTGCATGTAGTGAATGTGAGAACGGCTTACGGAACATGCCTCCGGCTCTCTTACGTAGAGCGTTGAGCAGCAAAGCACAGTGGCGAAACCTCTTGTAGCAAGTAAACTACTTCATGAGCTGCGGCTGCGAAGAAATCAGGAAGACATGCTTCTTGCATCGCTCACACGACTTTCGTGTTGACACCCACACATACGAGTGGGACACTTGCGTCTGATCCGCAAGGCGAGACTTGCCTTCTGACACTGCTAACGATGTGAAGCAGCAATTATTGAATTTACAATCTTGACACAGCAATGCCTTGCGCGCGACACGTTGGTCCCGATTTTGCTGTCGATAACTTTTCACTGCTTCGTGAAAGGTTCTTGGAAAGTCTCCAGTAGCCGACGCACCTTCTGGGCACCCACACCGGGACAAAGTGAAAGTTCCTCCATCGACGCATTCATGAGTCCCTTGATCGTTCCGAACGTGGACAGCAACGTCACAACGTCCGTCTTGTTCACCGATCGGATGGACGTGAGCACGTCGTTTGCTTTGGGCAAGAAATCAGCCTCTACTTTCTCTTTGATCAAAGTCGCCGACTTGTGCTCGTAGGCCTTGAATGTCTCGAGATACCGCGCAGCTTCCAGCCAACTCCATGCTAGCACCAGCGTGAAATCACTCAACAGCGTAACTCGGTTGATTTCACGCAACGCCACCTCGTTGTCGTCCACGTCCACGAAGCACAGGACGAGTTTCGTTTTGTAGTGTGCAGAGTCATCCTTTCGCACGCTCTGCACTCGCTCGTCCAAGTAGCTGTTGTGCAGCAGGTGGTACCTCACACTAAGAAACAAGACGCAGAGGGAGTTCTCTCCCATCACGTAATCGGGGATCAACCCGTCTCGAAACTCGAGTCCCACGTTGCGCACGGCTTTTAGCATGGGGTTTCCCTGTTGACGTCGATTCACGTACACAGTAGCTGCCGCGTCTTTGACGGGAGGTTTGCCTTCTTGTGGTTTCTCAGGTGGACGCGCAATGTACGACGAGGTTTTCCTCAATTGGGCAAAAGCCTCACTAAACGAGACGGAAGACGAGGCGGATTCATTTTCTAGCGGTAGGTATCGAGGTGCCGTCTCAATTGCATTGTCACCACAACCAGTAGCTACCGGAGGGAGCGTCCGCGAATCTAACAGACTTGGAACGCTGATATCAACTGTTGGAGGTGGTGCAGCTGAAGTCGAAAGGTCAGAGCACGGTTCAGCTGGTTGCGTGTTTTGGGGCTGAAGGTCTTGGTTGGCGGGTGCGTTGCTGCTGTCCTTGCCATCGCCATTGGGGTCTTCCATTTTATACGGTCGTGGCGAAATAACCAGCTTGCAATCGGTCGTGGATTTTGTCACGATTTGATGTCAAAGAGAGGAATTTGAGGTTGCGCAACGACGATTCAGGATAAATAAGGCAAAGTTGCGGATTTAGATATTCAGGCGGCTGAGATTTATTTTTCTTGTGTCAGTAAAGTTTAGCTCTCTCATAAAGTTATCGGTGAGGTGTAGATGCTGGAAGCGTTGGTCCTATTTGTCACCTCGTCGTGTGGCTGGAGGATTTCATCTCGTGCTCGTGGACGTATGAGCCGTGATTCTAGACACGTGCTGCTTTCGGTTGTGACGGTGTAGATGATACTTCAATTTGTAAGAGGATTTGATCATATCCTGAATACCACGAAAGCAGAGACTCCCAATTTTCGATACCGCAACCTCTGTGTCGCGGCTAACAGTTCCAAGCGATCTCATGACTTTCGTTCAGGATTGTCCAGACCAACGTACGATATACGCAGTTGTGAAACAAACCGAGCTTTCTGGTGTTACGGTCGCCATCAAATGAAAGTAGTGGTCGAGCACTCAAACGACTGAAAGTAAAGAAAAGTTCCCTCAAGAACTAGTTCTTGGCTTGCGTATCTTACCGAAGGAGGCAACAATGTAGTCATTGCATGTCATCAATCGCTCGAAGCACCTCGAGCTGAAAAATAAATGCTGTACAGCAAGCAGGGTCTAGACTCTAGAAGGAATTCTCGACCTACTCATCATGCACTACTAAAGTTACGATAAAGCAGATCTAAATTTAGTTCTCGGACGGCTTCGAGTTGCTCGCTTTGCAAAAGGCGCAATCTGAAAAAAAAACGATCATGCCCATACACGACTGTTTGGAGGTCCACAATGTTCTAGCTTTGTGTGTATTAAATTTTGCGCATAACATACTCAAATAGCAGCGCTCAACTCGTAATAGTTATGGAGTTATGAGTAAAAATATGGGTGGCTGTATATTTATGACCCGGACTGTAAACGCGCAGGCATGTTTACGATGTTAGCCATCGACGTAGGCTTACAAAGCGTGATATTGCTATGATGCGGTGTTACTGCGAGACGTGGTGTAGTTGCCACATACATTTCTGACCAGAGCGCAGTCGCAACTGCCTTATCGAAAAGAATGCAGGCTCATAAAAGATCTTAAAAAGTTGGACGCGACGCGCAAAGCTTCGTGTATCCTTGCATACGTATGAGATAACGTGTGTTTGTCTGGACTGGCTTCCGAAGCAGCACTCAACAATTCACTCGACGTTACAAAATACCGAGGGAAGTCGTCCACCTTGCTTTCCATTTTAGTGCCTCAACAAAACATGCACCGTACGGCACCTATCGAATTGTTTTATTTATCGTAAGGATGTCCCATGAATGAGTAACGTAGCACAGTCTTTAGCGTCATGATTAGCTTTTCGTATTAATAAAGCAGTAGGTAGTCGAGCGAGTCGCAATAATTGGGTTGGCCTCGCTTGCTTATTTCCAATGTCTCACAAGTGGCACAACCCTCGAGTCAGCATAATATTGTATGTGTTGTGCTGTCCGCATCAACAGCGTTTTCTAATGGACCTGGTAGCACATGCGCTGACGATGCTACATTTGTTCGGTGCGGTATGATTGACACCAGGTGGAACGTGTTACCTCCATCCAAAATCTCTTCTCAGCGCTTGTTTATGGCCTGAGTGGCCTGCGGAAGATTGGGTCACCCAGTTGACAAAAGTGTTGATCTAGCGAACAATTACAGTCGAAGCTTGCACGGCATAATGACGTGAAGCATTGAGACCTACAATAGGAACGACATCGATGGTCTCTTTGTGAGCATAGCTGCTCACTCGGGTTTGCAGCTCTCATTGCTTCGCCTGTTACACTGGTAAGATCAAGTCACAGGAATGTATCCATGACGTGTGCATCCGTCCGTATAAACCAGAGCACTATCCTCACTGGTTGTAAGCATCGCTACTATGTGACTCTTTGGCTCGGATACAGGTCATTCTGCAATGAACACAGTCTCTAGCGAACTTGTGGACTTCCCTCTTTGTGGCAAGGCCGAAAACGGCACTTAAAAACAAGCTTATGAGATGGAAAAGCAGAGCAACAACTGCTGGTATGGATGGTGTCCGATAAATCAATCGGAGACACGAAGCTGTTTTTACCAGAATCACGCTTAGTGGAAAGGGCAGGCGGTAGTGATTACCCGCGATTAATTATTGTAGTCGGTAAGCAGAGAAGCATACCCGTGAAATGTAGAAGCCGACACGCGGTTGCAGTATGACAACAGCTCTGTAAACGAGCAAGGAACGCGCTTTCGGGTACATACAACATGTCGCCAATCGATTCGTGCCTGAATGGGAAAAGCGAATGTGCAAACAACCGCCTTGAGGATGCAGGCTGGTGCTGGCTAATCGAGTACGCTTCTGCTAACTGATTGCGTCAAGATCCCTGTACCCATCATGTTGCGACTGTTGTGGCAAATCTGAGACGTCCATGTCAACTACTCGCTTGACCACCAACTTGTAGCCTGGTCGGATCTCGCCACTGTACCCTTTGGGAAAGTAGGCGCGATTGTACTCGCGCATTTCGTCGTACGTCATGCCATAGAGCTTCGACAGTCCTTCGGGGGTATCACCGGGTTTCACGACATGAATCTGCTTCGTGAGTTTTACTTCTGCAATGTTGCGTCGACTAGCTGCTTGTTGGGCCGCCAATAGATCCGGCACAATCACTCGCTCACCAGGTACCAGCTCAGCACGCCGACCGACAGGGTAACGGCCACGATTGATCTGTAAGAAGTGGGAGTAAGGAATATTGTACCGCTCGCAAATAGACGTGAACGTGTCCGTGGGAGTGACCGCGTGTGTCTTGTACCGCGCGAAAGCAGCCGACGAGCCATCGTACGTGACTTCCTGTTCGCTCAAATTCTGGAGCTCCAAGGGGGCTTCGTCTCGACCGTTTCCACTGTCATTTGTCTCCATCTCTCCCGTATTCATCAGCCGCACATGCAGTAATTGACCCGGACACAGCAGACTGCGCTCGCCCGTGGGGAAGTAGCGGCGGTTGTCCTGGCGCAGAATCGCTTCCGTCGTGTTGTACAGCGCCGCAATGCCGCGCAACGTCTCTCCTGAACGCACGAGATGCATCTGTCCCCACCCGTTGTCGATGTACTCGGGTGGAGGCGGCAGCGACACGGCATGAGCCTCTTCCAAGATGAGCTGCTGACCCGGATAGAGCTTGACGTGCTTCTTCTTGCGTCCTAGCAGCGGGTTGAGCACCAGCAGCGCCTCTTCTGTCGTCCGGGTTTTGTGCGCAATGCTAGCCAGCGTGTCATTCGGCTGTACGTGGTAGCGGAAGGGCGACAGAAGAGGCGGCGGCGGTGCCAGGCCGTCGCGCGCGCTGGCGGCACTGGCACTTGCGCTCACGGTGCCGTACATGTTTGTGATGATGGGATCAGATACCGAATCAGATTTAGATCGAAGGACGTGCTTCAGCTTTTTATCTTACGTATTGTCGACTCACTCTATGGCTAAAAACATGCCGTTTCTGAAGAAATTCCAGCTTTAGGTACGAACAAATGCGTGGTGGCAACGGCATCATCATATTTAATACCTTGTTCGTCACAGCCGGAAAGTAGCGTCGAGTATGGCTTGCATAATAATTATTGGTCACCTTACAAATTAAAGTACCACATTGTGATTTGCCGGGCATCCTGCCCCAAAGGAAAATCGTAAAAAGACGTCGCCACGCTATGCAGTCACAACTTACGCCACAGTCTGCCTAGTTATTGGATTTGCAGTTTCGAATTTACTGCAGAAGCATGGGCGAGGACATGGCTGTCCACAATATGATTTGGTGGAATGTTCTTGCTATCAATGCGTACTCCGCAGCCGTTTGTATTCCTGGTACAACGGAAACCTACGTGCGAATTTCATGGCGCCGATGACGAGTGCGCTGTGATGCGTCGGGCGTTTCTTGTCTCATGGTTGGTGGCGTCAAAGTAGGCACGCTAGCATTTTCGCCACCATTGATCAAATCATCGGGATCCGAAGTGACAGGATGGTTCACCCCATACGTCGTCGTAGTATGAAGTCGCTCGACAACAATCGATCGGGACCGCGTTTCATCTTCCTCATCCTTCTCTTCGACTACGTCTCCTCTTTCGTCAACAACCTTAAGGGTAGCATGGACACTTTTCTTCTCTCCATCCTCCTCACATCCAGAAGAAATCACTTTGGTCGCATCGACTTTGATGTTCGTCACTAGCTCGACAACCTCCAAGCGGGCAGTAACGTCTTCACTAGAGTCCTCATCCGAGCTGTCGTCTGGCAACAACACCACTTCTTCGGCGTCATCTACGTCAACTGGTCCGTGCCACCGCTTGCCTCGACGAGGTACTCGGGCAAAAAGGCCATGCTTATGGCGACGTGTGAAGAAATACGCCGTCAGTGCCGCAAGTGCCAGGAAAATCACCGAAACCACACCGATCTGCATCCAAGCTGGACCATGCAGCATCAATACTGAACCACCGGCAGTCAATTCTGAAGACGTGGCGGCCACATCATCCGTCACAGCTTTGCGTTGCGTAGACACCGTGTTCGTTCCGACGTCTTGGTATCCAGCAGGTACTTGCTCAATATGCAGGTATATCCCTTGCTCTTGAGCAATGACGCGCAGCTCATCTTCAACGTCAATACGGACACCCTCTTCCTGCAATAGAGCCTGTTCGGCTTGCTTAAGATCTAGGATTTCCTTTGCCATTACCGCGCGCTCCATTTTCACATAATCCGCATCGGTCAATGTCGCTGCATATGCATCTTCCTTAGAAGACTGGCTTCCGGTGCGCTCCCGCCCGGCTTCATTACTTCCGCCATCAAAAGCCTCATGGAGATCCATTCCTGCTATTGCTCCAGCATAGCTGTTCCCGCTCATCACTTCTTCATCTGCGGGTCGTTTACGCTCTGCAACCACCTTTGTCGTGCCACCAATGTCCATATCTAAGTTGAGTGAGTACGCGCCATCGGAATGCATACTGGTCGCACCATCCCCCATTCCAGCTGCAATCACAGGATCTTCATCATCTTGTTGCTGAGATGTGACCATTTGTATTTTTTGAGTCACCACCGTAGATTCTTGCTGGATCTTGACCCGAGCTGCTGTACACATTTTCGTGTCAGCGCGAGGTAAATTCGCTTGTACTTGGTCGACTCCATTGTCAGCGGGTGTGTCCAACGCAAGCGTTAAACTTGGACCACCGTCTTCAACTTTGACTTGTATGCCAACTCGATCGTCCTGCTGTAACTGCGTCTCCTGCTTGACTACATCTCCTTCAGAAAGGTTACGCACTTTGATCAGCCTCGTCGCTTCCGCTAGCGAATGATCCACCTTTACCGCCGCATCGCCGACAGCCACGACGGTTTCTGTGATTATGGAGCTTTTCACTTCACTGATAGCTTCTTCTGTTTCCGTATGCTGTACCGAAGCGTCAAGAATATGTCCTTCGGCAAGCTTATAATCCACCACGGACACCCTCTTAGATCTGCAAGTGCCTTCGTTCCTTGAGAAACAAGACTCGTCTACGGCAGAAACTTCGGAAAGCCCGACAGTCAGCAATTGCACCAGCTCCTCGTTGACGCGCTCACTCCCCAGTGTTTTCACTGGATCACTGAGCTCGATCGCTCGTGCTTCTTTTACAACAACAGTCACTAGGCCTCTTCTGGCGATCTCTTGCAGCGTTTGGTGAACGTCTTCAATAGTAGAGCTTCCTTCCAAGACGCCTTCAGTCAAGCTTTCCTCTTTCAGCCGCAACCATTCTGCTGTAAGTCGGCCGGACAGCCTACTTTCGCCACCAAGTCGGCCATGAATGCGATGTTCTTCAGCGTCACACTGGAACCGAAATATGTCCCTGAAGATGATCTGATGTCCTGGGACTTTAGATCTCATCAGTTTGTCATCAACTGTTAGATCGTGTCCCGCTTTGTCCGCTCTACCCCGAGCAAGCGCGTTTTCTGCTACACTTCGAGCTAGCATCAAGGATTTCCCCTCTTCTCTGACTTGCCGTAACGTGCGCTTGTACTCTTTAAGAGCCTGTTCAATTGCTGGAGCATATTGATTAGCTAGTTGCCGCATATGCTCGTCAATGTATTCCAGCGCAGCCATTTTTACGTCAAGAATGCTTTCAAGTGCTGCAGTCCGAGTATCGGCAACGATTGAGTTGGCAACGGCTGCGATTGCAACCCGTCGTTTCTCAAAGCGTTTCACGTCATGTAGAGCTTGGGACTCACGAGCTACGAGCCCTCTGCCTATGTTTTGAATGGAAGCTTGTTGTGTCGCTAGAGCAGCAAAAAACTGCTCGCTGGGTAATTCCATATCGGTTCTCGTTGGCTCCAGTCCTAGCCACTCTCCACTCTGCCTCATCGCCTCTGCGAAATTTGAAATCGCTATCAGCAAGAAAGTTTGCACGTGTTTGAACAGCTCGACATCGGCTAGCTGTTTTTTGACAATGGAGTACATCCATTGCATCCACAGGTTAAGTGTTTCCATCGAGTTCGACAGCACGAGTCCCAAACGCTCTTGCATGCCCTCCACAAGTCCCACTAAAACGGCTACAGATGCTTTCGCTAGGGTCATTCCTAAAGCACCCCGTAACTCCATCGCACGCGCTGCCTTTCTCAATATCCCATTTCGTAGCAATGCTAACCAATTAATGCGCACTAGTTCCATCGCGTGGTTGGCCAGTTGCCCCATTTTATTCTGGAAAAGAAGTAGCAGCATCTTGAGACCCTCCTCGATCTTGGCGGCAGCAACATGCACCAAAGCCGAAGCAGACGACGACGGGAACATCCAACACACGGCACCTCCACCAGCAATGATACCCACAGCAACGACAGTTAGCGCGACCGTCACTTTACTACACAGACCCTTGTGTTTTTTCGCCATCAGCACTTTCGCTGCTTCTGCGCTCGGGTCTCGTCCCATCGTTCTCACTCCCCCGTCAGGCGTAATAACCCCTTTCCCAGAGACAGCAGCAACCACTCCAGCTTTACTCCGATCAGTGTCTTTTCTTTTCTCAACTGTCGCGTGAACAGGAGCTGTTGTGGAATCACGTAACAGCAGCAGCAAAGATCCTTCATCGAACTGCTCACTGAGAGCGCCAGAGTCGTCACAGCTGCTCGTCCGTTCAACTCCATCGCTGGTCCTCGGGCCAGTGTCCAGTGACCAGTTGTCCCATGTTTCATCATTTCTTTGACTGGTGCTTCGACGATGAAGAAAGTCCTTCGCACACGTGGCTCTTCTGGTCTGTTTGTGCTCGAGGGACAGCACATTCGATGTAGTGGGCGTCGGCTGCAAGCTCGTAATGTCTGCATTGCTGGTGCTGACGGTAGATCCGTGATGCTCGTCCATCGCGCAAGTCTCTTCTGCCGCATTCTCTTGGACGGGCGGGGCCGACATGCTTTGACCAAGCGAAGGTAGTGAGAAAGCGCGGGGAGCTGCAGTTGGCTGTTTCGAGTGTCTTTTCCTATGGGAATCAAAGTCTGAGTCGATTCACGACTTTATTGAAGACCTGCGTGTTCGTGGATTCTACCCAACGCTTTAGGCAGCACTAGTTAACGTTCAACAATACTGTTCAGGAGCGATAGTTAACTAACGTCCTCACTCCTGTCGATTTGCGACAGGAGACAACAGCGTGACGCGGTAGTAGCAGAAATACGTGCACGATCGATTGTCTGGAGAACGTCGGCGCCCTCAAGGATGGTCGCTCTACAAGGTCCGACGGACGCGATCGTTGACAAGCGCGCGGAGTTGCAACTGCTGCAGCCACAGGAACTTTCACGGCAGCCGTCGCATGCTTTCTAAGGTAGAGACGTTAGCAGCTTCTGCGCTTTCTGAAAGCTCACAGTGGACAGTTGTCGCTGCGATATTTACAAGGGAAGAGGGTCGAGGACGCTCTGGTCTTACGGAATTGAAGCATGGCCTCACAAGGGATAGGATCTGTATATGCATGCAGCCGCTCGACGTGCGCTTGTACGTACCTGCTGCTGACTCTTTATCCCTTGGATGGAAAGGCAAATGCCGCAAGGAGAAGGCAGACCTGCAGATGCGATGATAGTCAATAATGGCGAGGGACGTTTCCTCCACGACACGATTTCACTGACCGACGTCATAAGGCTTTGGACATTCTGTTCGTCGCTTGCAGCAAAACGCAGTTGGTTGCATGTTGTTGATTGTACATGGTGCTTATGTCGATCTGTGCTTCATAGCAGTAGGCTTCTTGGGCTCGCTGACTGTGGAACGGATGCAGAAAATGCCGACGCTTTGCGCAGTGTGGCAGTTAACACATGCAAACGCTGGACAAATGACTTCGCTCATTCTGTCAACATTCAGTGTAGAATGCACCGCGGTGGAGATTTATCGCCTGGGAACATTTTTCTCGGTAGCCTGTGTCAAACAAACGATCGCCGTACAAACAGAGCTCTGGGACCACATGTATTATCAAGTTTTACAAACGCATGCTCACCACCCATCCGTATGTCCATGCGTACGGGTCAAAAATACCCACCAGCCACCTACGTTCCCACTGGGTCTCTGAGCCACTCACTGCCAAAAGTGCGGCGGCCATTCGGTCCGAAAGAATGCGCGTACGTGGCCTTGTTCTTACGGCCTCGGGCACCTGTTTTTTGGGACGCGTCGAGGCGATCAATGACAGCGACCCCTTATATGCTACACTCAAGCAAAGCGCTTCTTCACTCTATGACAAGAACCCGCCCAACCTGACACAAGGTAGGGCCCCGGACGTACCTGGTGTGAACATTTCGGCGGCTGTCGCCCAGAGACCTCCCCAGCCGGCTGCCACGTTGGTGGACGGGGCTGTCCAGGAACATCGCGCCAATGGAAATCAAAAGAAAACAGTTGAAGACATCGCGCAAACATTGGCTGCAAATTTTAAACGCGAGTTTAAGCGAATGCTTGAACGTCCGGACGCCGATAGTAAACTGGCAGAAATGTTCAAAGAGGCAATTTTGTCACGCCTTCGTACAGCTGGCAACCATGAACATCTGATAGACCCGACCAATACCGCTTTTATGTCACGTGTTGCTTCAGGCGACTCCACGGACAGTATCGGGTCACATCTCGCATTAATACATCCTGAGAGTACCTTTGGAGCAATATTCAGTGATGGAGAACATATCGGACACTTCACGCTCGGAAAGTGGCTGGATTTGGTTGACTCTTACAGTCGTCTCCATCCTTCATGGAATGATGAAAAGACATTGGACTTGTTGATCGAAAACGAACCACTAAAAAGAGTGGTGAGAACACTTACAGACTTGGCGAGAGTGGAACGCGACGCGCACGTGAGTCACACGGACCATAGATTGCTCCGTTTGTTAGTTGAAAGGTATGCATCTGACCCGGACGTGATCCAGAACGTCTGGATGAAGAACGATGCGAGCACTTTGCAACAACTCTTTAGAATTCTCGATTTAAGTTCTATCACTGCACTTTCTGAGAGACCAGGATGTGCAATTCAGTGGCTAAGGTACGCTGAGCGGTTGCGGACGACTCGAGGTAAATCTGGGGTTTACAATGAACTCAAATTGACTCGCGAGAACGTGGCGAAAAAATTGTTTGAAGACAAAACTCGTGGTGAATGTGAGGAGTTCATCGACCAGGTTGCGAAACAAACGGATCTAAAGGACCTTGCTGGCTACCTTCGGGCTTATCTGGGTGCGAGCTCACTTCCAAGCAAACACGAGCTTTCTCTTCGTGTGCGGAACTGAACCCTACTTGAGATGGACCAGCCAAGCGAGACGACGATAGTGACACACTCGACTCGTTCATTACCAACTACTGCAGAGAAGTCCGCTTCGTAGGTGGTGATCCGTGCATGTAAACGCGAGAAACATACATTAGCTTTCGTTGAAAAATGGAGTGCCCGTAGTTGACTCCTTCATTCATTGAACGTACGCTGTGTCCAGAGATGGCTGCAGACATGAATTGCATGAAACGTAGGTCACACAGATTGAGTAGAGGAAAACAAAGCAGTGACCCTCGTGATTAACGTACTGATCTCGACCCTTCGTTTCGAGGATATGAGTACATCCCCATACGGCTCTATCGTTGCATGAACCTCCTCGCCGCCGGTGTCTTGGTCTACATGATAAACGAGTGCAGCCATTTCAGAGCATTGGTCCGCTAGTATTATCGAAACCACCTTTGACCCACGCCTCCTCCTTTCATTGACGTGTATCAATGCTAGAGGTTGCGCCTTTGTCCAGTCGCTTACCTCAACGCGTGCTCTGCTCAACGGTCAAACGACCGACCCTGTGGCGGTGAAGTTCACGTTACAGTGACACAAGACGTCGCTAGTTCGCAATTGAAGCACGTCTTGTTGTCACTATAACGTGAGCTTTAACGCCACAGGGTCGTCGGTCGATTTGACCTGCACGAGAAGCAATCGAGCTCCCAAAGCTTGACAAAAATGACGTGTAGCTCTTCGTGAAGAGAATCTGGCCAAAGTGTTGTCGAAGCGGTCATAAGAACTGCGGAGTCCATCACGAGGACGATAGGATGCTCATGCTATTGTATCTCGTGTTACGAAAACTATTGCGGTAAGCGATGCTTTGACATCTTGCTGCCTTTGTACATTACGGTCAAGATGCCGGGCGGTCAGAATCGACATCGTCAACCGTGCCACGATTGATTCTAATTGACTAGTGAAAGCGTTTTTCACTGTTGCAATAACAGAGCAGTTCCAGACAGTAGTGCACTTGCTATCAGCATGACATCAAGACGCCTTGCCACAAGGGGCTCGAATGCTAGCATGTTCATGATTACAGTTGTTCAGGCAGTCGTCAGGTGTGCGTTGTAGTGTCTCTGTATGACGATTACCAAAGAAACAGCACCGATACGTCACAGCCGTATGTGAACTAACAGCACTCATTTACAGCATGGCATCCCATCAACAACGGCATCGAACCTCAATCAATTGCATCAAAGATTTTGTCATCATTTGTAAAACACGTAGAGACCTAAATGGCGACATGCACTACCGTGCTGTAGCACTAAGCCTTCGTCAAAACTTCCAGATGTGTCTGGTTCATTGACTCGATTCCTCTTACGACTTGGCTGATGAAAGTCGTCCTGGCTTGAGGTTATCGCATCAGCGTCTTCTGAGGCTCTCGCTACACTTGACTCAACCATAGATTGAAGATCTGTAGAGCTGGGAAGAACGAGACTACGTCGCCTCTCTCGTGCATGCTTACGCGTTGCTGAGCGAAACAATCGGTAGCACGACGTTAGAGAAAGCGCAAAAGAAGCAGCAACACAAATCAGTACCTGCAACACCAGCTGTCGAACGCGGTTGATTCCTTGCACAAATTTGTCCAGCCTGGTTCGCACAGTCTCGAGACGTCTGATCAAACGTGTTGGCCCAGCAATTCCAATAGCTTTTTCGAGCACCGTCCACTGCAGCTCGAAACGACAAGTCCTCACCATTATATGCTAGCTTTTCCGTTGTCATAGGTGTTGCTCTGAATTCAAAGAAGTCTTTATCAATAACGCAGCTTGAGCTGATATCGATTCCTAGCGTTGCCATAAATAACAACGGTGCTTTCGTTCCTAGCTCCGAGGGCTCCGATCGCTGTGCTGATGATGCAGCAATATTTTCAGGCACTTTCCCTTCTTGCCCCTCATGTTTTTGATCAGTAAACATGTGAAGGACTGGATCGACCTCGTGCGCCTTAGCGTACTCCAGATACCGTTGCTCGTAGTCCCGCACAGAGATACGTGTACCCGTGACAGTGTCAGTGTACTCGAACAATCCGTTTTCGTTTCGCGAATGCTTCGCTTTTGTATAAAGTTCGCGCTGCGCATCCGCGTCTCTCCACTCCTTGTTGGCTCGATTCAAATAAGCCGTGAGTTTCTCCAAGGTCTTTTTGCGGTACACCGGGTCAGCCGAAAACTTGGGTACCTGCTCTGTCATGGGTCCAAGATAGTATCCGGTGGTTGCATACACCTGCTCAGCGATTGCAACACCTTCGCCACTCTGCTCGTCCAGCTTTAAATACCTTCTCACAAGGCATCGCAGCTCTTCCTTTTTTCGTTTCGACGGCTCGATAAGCGCGGCATCCTTCATTTGCTTTGTCAGTCCTTCCACAAACTCGTCGCAGTGCGTCGTTTCAGCAAAGGGTCCTACAAGACCAAACACCACCCCATCCCACGATTCGTCAGCTCAAAAGAGAAGTTCTTTCCTCGTCCACACAATCATCCAATTCCGTGTGTACCTACCTGGCTTGAAGATCAGGTTCACTCGGTGTCCATCCACCAACTGAATCGCCACTCCCTTCACTGCATCGCTCTCCTTCTTGTCATCATCTACTGCAGTCGGCAGCACTTCGACCACTGTTGTGACAGGCAGAAACAGTGCAACCACCGAGCTGTTCGTCACGTCCTGGACCTCATTCCTGTGTATCTCCAACACGTCCACCCCCGACTGCGCTGTCTGCAGCCACACAATGCCCCCGCCCTCCAACGACGTCACCCCCAGCTGCCCCAGGCCATCGCTGATGCTTACGCCATTGAAGTGAACAGCCACGTGCGGGCACAGGACGCAGCGACTGTTTTTCTCCTGCAGCTGGTGCTGGATGCGTGACAACAGACGCTCGGACATGAAGAAGCGACTGAGTGCGGTTGAGTGCAGCTGCTTTGGATGCCGTAGCTCGTTCACATGCGACAGGGTTAACGAAGACCCGGCGCTGGGAAGGTCCGCGTCTTGTTCATTCATCTTGTAGCAGCAGTTGTTGGCCTTTGTGGAAGTAAGTTCACGCTTCGATTCATTATGGGAATCAGCGTCTCGAAATGCAAGGATATATGATGTATCCATTGGTCCGTACAAAGTTAGTCGTACAAAAGTTGATGAATACGCGAAAGAGCCGAGTTAGTTGTTATTGACCTGGTGTCACATCCTGGTGCATCATAACGATGCCCCCACTAAACTTCTGACCGATCTGCAATGCCCAGAACAATTAACGTTCCGTATATAATACACCTACGTCATTGCACTGAGGGTAAGAGCGCTGCGCCCATCACGCCCGTCATACTCGACAATAAACTTACTACGTAAACGCCTATTTCATTTGTCGCTAGCCTTACTAATGCTACCGACTAGCACGTGAGATGGCGGAATGGGCAGACTGCTCGTGCACGCTACACAAGTCCGCTGGAAGAATGGACAATTGATACGGATATCAATAGTGCACGTTTCCACACGGACAGGGCAGACACCAGACACGACAGCGCCGATTCCACCCAACTCCCCCTCGCTGAGTCGTCAACGGCGAAGTGAGCTGTCGAAGCAGTCGAGCGCTGGGCGAAAACAAGCAGCAAACCATTTACACGTCCTCCGCCCCCAGCACTCTATACCTCCAGCTCCTTGACCGTTTCCCACGTAAAGTCCGCATCCTCGCGTCCAAAGTGGCCGTACGCAGCAGTCTTCTGCATCACCGGGCGCTTCAGCAGCAGCGACTTCTGGATCATACCCGGACGCAAGTCAAAGTTCTTTTTGATGATCTCAACCAGCTCGTCGTCGGACAATCCCTTCTTCACCGTTCCATACGAATCGACGTGAATAGACAGCGGATAGGGCACGCCAATAGCGTACGAAAGCTGCACAAGAAGGCGGTGGGCAAGGCCCTTGGCCACCACCGACTTGGCGACCCAACGAGCCGCATAGGCAGCAGACCGGTCGACCTTTGTTGTGTCCTTGCCAGAGAACGCACCGCCGCCGTGCGCGCCCCATCCACCGTAGGTGTCAATGATAATCTTGCGACCAGTCAAGCCTGCGTCACCGTGAGGCCCGCCAATCACAAACCGTCCCGACGGATTCAAGTGGTACGCCGTCTTGTCGTCCAGGTACTTCTCGGGAATGACAGTCTGAATGACGTGCTTCATGAGATCGGCAGCAATCTGCTCGTTTGTCACGTCGTCATTGTGCTGCGTCGAGATCACGACCGTGTGCACGCGCTGCGGCACCATGCAGCCGTCCTCCTTCTTGTACTCGACCGTCACCTGCGTCTTGCCATCAGGGCGGATCCAGTCGAGCGTCCCGTTCTTGCGCACCTCTGTGAGCTTCGAGCCCAGCTTGGTGGCCAGCACGTGCGAGAGCGGCATCAGCTCCGGCGTCTCGTTCGTCGCGTAGCCAAACATGATGCCCTGGTCACCAGCCCCGACATCCTCGTCCGTGACCGAGTCCACCGACTGCGCAATGTCCGGCGATTGCTGCTCAATAGCGACAATGACGTTCACCGTCTTATAGTCGAGTCCCTTAGCAGGATCGTCGTAGCCAATGCCCTTGATCGTGTCCCGAATGACCTTCTCGTAGTTGACAACCGCCTTCGTACTGATCTCCCCAAAGATCATGACCATCCCCGTCTTGGCGCACGTCTCACACGCCACGCGCGAGTTCGGGTCTTCCGCCACACAGGCGTCCAGCACGGCATCCGAGATCTGGTCGCACAGCTTGTCCGGGTGGCCTTCGTTCACGGACTCGGACGTGAACAGGAACGTGCGCTCGGACGGGGCTTCCACAGTTTGCGTCATCTTGACTCGAGAGGGGGAGAAAGAAAGGGGGGAAGACCGAAGGTGCGGCACGAGTGGTGCAGACGGCAGGAAGCAAATTACAGAATGAGGACACACGCACTGGACAGCGAGCAGTGCGCTCGCTCGCTGGAAAACCTCGGGGTTTCTGATCCGAAGACGAAAAACCTCGAGGTGGCCGTGGTGCTGGTGGACCCAGCGCTTCGGGCTTTCGGCCAATGGTTGGTTCGCGTGGCAAGTTGGGAGCCAATTGGACGCGTGCGACGAGTCTTGCAAGAGAAGCTCTCGCACTTATGATCGAGCATAGCGCGTTGTCCTTCTTTTGCACGTCGATGCTTGCAAAAACCTCTCCCCGCGACAGCTGCTGGCCCGTTAACAGGTCGGGGGAGAGGGATGCGAGTATATTGAGGAAAAGGTTCTGCTAAAAGGCCTGACAAAGTGCCAGATGCAGTCAATCTTTTGGATTCGTTGCCCATGTGTCTATACAGATTCTGCGAATAGAAATGGTGAAACCAAGCCCTGCAATGTCATTTCGCGGGTCTTGTCGCGCATTGGATACCAAATTCACTGCCTGCATATTGTGCAACGCATGTGCCACATGCATTTGTAAAAAGGCCGTGAAGACATGAACAAAGTCACTGTTATCGAACTTAGCTGCGAAGCGGCGGTTCATGTGTGACGAGGTTTTTTATGCCAACACGCATCTGTACGAGAGATTGGCCACAATATAGTCGATCAGATATGCCATAAACGCTGCGCTGGTAGCCAATCGTTACGACAGCCGTATGCCGAGTCTTTTTTTACTAGCACAAGGATGAATAGCGTGCTGTCATCGCTGACGTGGGGCACTTGGGATGAAGATGAATGGGCACTTGTGACCACCGCCGCTCTCAAAGCTGAAGCTGACGATTCTGCCGGGTGTGTACCTCCGTTTAAAGTGCAGCAAAGTCGACGCAAATTGCGGAAGAAGGGCTTGCGAGCGCCCAGGAACTCGCAGCTCTGGTTTAAGGAGCTGCTCGAGCGCGTGGAGAGCACCTCAATTGGTCGTGAGAAGTCCATTTACCATTGCAATCCACTCAAATGTTTTCACGCGGCCGAAGGTTCCCAAAGTGAGACAGTTAAGTGTATATCCTGGGCTGATTTGCCCGACGGACTCCATCCACGAAGTGGCAAACTGCCAGCACAGCGGGCAAGGAACAAGCAACAACAAGTCGATAACTTGGTGGTCTTCTTGCAACACATACTGCGGTGAGTCGATGTGGTGCGAAATGTACGAAAGGTAGAGACTGATGCTGCTGGCGGTGATGGTGACCCAGACCAGGCGATGTCGTTGTCGAGTTCTGTGCCGGGTCCGGATATGTAGCACTGCCGCTTGCTTATCTCTACCCGCAGTGCACATTTGTTCTGCTTGATATGAAAGAGCCGTCACTCGCTATCGGTACGTAGAGCGAAACATGCTGCAAATGGATGCCGTTTGCAATGGAAACTGATCCGTGTGCGTTTGTTGCCGTGACACTTGTTACCCAGCCAAAGATCGCATTGTTGCTGCCAAGTTGACGAATGTAGAGACTTTCTGCGGGCTCATTGCTGAATACCACAAGCCTTTCGATGTGGGTATCGCGTTGCACGCTTGTGGTGAGGCAACTGATCTCGTGATGGAGAAATGTATAACGGAGCGCGCCGCATATGTTCTCGCCCCGTGTTGCGTGGGTAAAGTCAAATCGAGCAACTTGGCGTACCCACGCTCTGCCACCCTTGCTGCGGAGCTCTCCCGCATCGAGTACGAAGTACTGGCGAAGGCTGCTGACTTTGGGCATTCAAGCAGTTCTGCAATAGCACAGACGGACACAAATCGTAGACGCCGACGCTGCAAAACGCTCCTCGAAAGTGATCGCAATGTGTGCGCTGAAGAAGCGCAGTACAATACGTTCATGTTTGTCATGCACCCGCCAACCGCCACCCCGAAAAACGATGTTCTTGTTGGGGTCCCGCATGCTTTTTCCATCGAAAACCAAACAGCGGAAGTTGCAAATAGACCGTTCAAGCTTCCGTGTGAAGATATGCTGTCGACGGACTCGCTAGTGCGCCAAGCAATGCTTAGCACATAAGCAATACCATTTTAAGTAAATAACGGGTGGCCTGCTCACGTCTGTTGCGGCGTCGTATCCGACAGCAATTCTCTCACACGCTGAAGTAGCTCGCGAGTTTCACAAGCTTGGAAGTCACGGCATTCGACAAGCAAGAGCGGCAATGGTTCAGATGTGGATGTAGCTGCCCTGTTTTCGAACGTCATGACTCCTTCGAGATTCATGAGCGTAAATTGCATTGTCGCGGCCCATTTGTGTGCGAGTTGCACGTCCGTCTGCATGGTTTGCTGGAACGCAGAGCAAGATACGCCCATAAGCTGCGTCACAAATTCTTCAGCCACGTCTGCTTCCTTCGTGGCGGTGCAATCCTCCACGGCAACTCGAAGCTGATACTGTCCTGTGTTGAATTGGAAACCGACGACAGACTTGACGCACGCTCGAATTTTAAAACTCGTCGCGTGTGCCGGCGCTGATAGCGTTGATTGCTTCGCGTGGAAATACTGAAACGGATTCGCCGGATCCTGAGGCAAGCATGGGGTTACTTGATCGGGCAACGAAAGGCTAGGGGCACGTTCGGGTTGAACGGCTGTCGCGTCCATTGATTGAGTTGAGTTCTGCGGAACTGGAGGTCCGACCCGTAATTGTTCTTTCATTGACGGTGAACGAGGGCGTTTCTTGATGGAAACGTTCCTGTTACTGATCTGTGCCGTCTTTGCATCATTAAAGCCGGCAGGGTGCCTTGGTGTGTTGGGGCTGTAGAAAAGGTGTGTTACCATGGGGTCGGTCGTATCACTATCCACGTCTTCGTCTGATGGAGGCACGTCCACAAACACTGCCGGGTCGGAGGCACGTCGGATAGCGCTTGTACTGCTGTTGCCTGTATCCGTATTCATACGACGTGCAGGAGGATTTGAGCGTAGCGCAGATGCATTTTCGCCACTCACTTTTGTCCCTGGAGTACCATGGGCGACCAAGCTCGTATCTAACGGTAGCGAAACAGGCGGTTGTGCAGGTACCGGTCTTCTCGCGAGTACTTGTAGCGGTGCAGTGTCATATTGCGAGGTCACTAGAGCTGCCGAGTACGCGCCAGCCTCCGTTCCGTTCGACTCTGCTGGTCGTGGCCTTTGCTTTTTACTTCGTGTTGAAGGATCGGACGATGCCTCCAATAGTTGGCAATTATCAGGTGCCAGCAAAAGCAGTCCGTGCTTCACAGGCACGTCCTCCACCACAATTTTGGTGCCACGCGGAATGTCGACACTGAGCTGCGGTAGTGGAGTCAACTCGAAGCCGAATACCAATTGATGGCCGTCTGTTAGCCCCAGTTTGAGTGTCCGCGTTGGCCCAGCAGTCGAAAACTGCGTCCGATGCTCGTAATTGGCGCCAATGTTGGCTGCATCGACCACCTATGGACACAATTCCTTAGTCTAATTGCAATGAAAAAAGACCATGTATTGAGCCAGGGAAGCAGTGAGTGGTACCTGTAAGATGCACATGCCTTTGATAGTAGAACCGTTGAGCTTGGACACGTCGGAGGGCAGTGCCGGTCGACAGCTATGGTGCAAATCCGACTGTAGCAACCTCCCGAATAGATACGCGCCGTAGGGGACCTGTCGTTGAGCACCACCAGTCGCCGTCCGAAAGTTTTCAAGTTCGCGAGCCTCCCAGTCCGGGTCCATCGCCTCATATGGCAACTGCCGACGCTCTTCTGTTGCGAGTGGCAACATTTTCGTATGACGGTTCTGGTTGGAAGTTGACAACAGGGTCTTGAGCTACACAAATGATGGTTCGTCCCTGTACAACGCTATGCTTCGTGCATTTTCACTGCTACTGTGGCATTTGTGTCTGTCTGTGTGACCAACCTCTCGGATAAATAGCCCATTGGATCAGAACTCGCTCATAGAATAAAGCTCACTGCTATGATTGATTATGTAATTACCTCAAGCAGTGTTCAGCGAGACAAAATTATTGCTAAAATCGACATCAAACAGTTTGCGTCTGCTACATACATGCTCTATTTGGAAGCAGTCTTGCCCTCGTCGTCCCGATCCACCGAGTCCGGTGAGACTTCAGACGACACGTCCTCAATTCCATCCGCAACGGATTCATCTGGGAATGACTGAGGTTGGCTGTACGACTTGCTGTACTTTTTGCTAAGTCCGACAGTTGCAGATACCGTACTGACAGCGGCCTTGAACTTGCGGCGGGCATTAAAGCGACGGAGTTCCTCCAAAGCGCTTGTAAGCTGCACAGTAGCTACATCAGTGCCCGTTACCCAGCGGTGTGCCAACAGCTGATCCACCGTTGCCCTGCACAGCAACGTATGACACAGTTCAGTTTCCGCAAGCATGATAAATGCAAAATACAGGCAAAAGAACGTACCGTTTTTCTGGATTCACGACAAGCATCTCCGAGATGAGATCCTTGGCATCGTCTGATACGTGGTCCCAGTAGGGCGCATCGAACTCAAACTTTCCACTCTTGATCTTCTTGAATAGAGCATTGTGGTTGTCGTCGTGGAACGGCGGGTAGCCACAGAGCAAGATATAAGTGATGACGCCGATGCTCCAAATGTCTACCGTCTTGCCATAAGACTTGCCTTCAAGAATCTCTGGCGCGACGTATCCGGGAGTACCGCAAGCTGTGACGAGGCCCTCACTGTTAAGCTCGACCCTCTTCGCGAAACCAAAGTCTGCCAGTTTGATGGATGCATCATCGTCCTTGCTCGTTAGCAAAAGATTCTCCGGCTTCAAGTCACGATGCACAATGTTGGCATCGTGGCAGTACTTGATGGCTTCCAGAAGCAGCTTGACAAGATCGCGAGCTTCCCTCTCATTGTAGTACGACTACATCGAAAACAGGAATTAATCAGTGAATAAGTATTCCATGTAAAAGACCACAGCAACAGTCGTCACGATGTAGTTCTGCATACCTTCTCCACAATACGGTCAAACAGCTCGCCCCCCTCCATGAACTCGGTCACCAAGTAGTAAAACGTATCTTCGACGAAAAAGTCGTGAAGGATCATTATGTTCGGATGGTTCATCTGCAAGAAATAACAAACACCCAGCTCAGAAAAGCGTAACGAAACAACAATCTGATAATGAACCTGCCGCGGATGCACCTGCTTCAATATCGCAACTTCCGTCGTCAAAGCCTCAATGTCCTCCGCCACTAAACCGTCGCGTTTAATGCACTTGATGGCATAGCGTTGGGTCGTGGGTTTGTGGACGGCCGTGCGTACAACTGAGAAGGTACCGGAACCGATGACCTTGCCAAGAGCATACTGCTCCTCAAAACTGTTGGGGTTCACAGCCGGGACCGATGTAGACTTGCCCGTAGCCACGGCATTAGTTTCGCCATCGGTCTCCGTCCGCATCACGACATTCTGGGCCTTGAACCGAGCAGAGAATTGATTAGTTCACGGATGGAGGAACCGAACGCTATGGGTGGGGACGATAGTGGAAGCGCCACTTGGTGCTTACTGCTTTGGTATTGATACAGCCCATGGATCGACTCGGTCGAGGAAGACGGCGAGAAAAAAAGAGTCGGTCTGCGGCGTCGTATTGCGTTGTGTGCCTGTGTTGCAAAGACGGATCATTCGACTGTGATTTTCTATGCAGAAAAAGTTGTTGTCGATGCGGCTATATTATGTCGTCAGGGCTAGGGTCGCTGTGGTTGTGGATTCAAAAAAGCGACGAAAACTAACACCCGCTCAAGTCGTGAAGGTGAATTTGTCGCCCTGGTCGGTCCAAATAGCACAAAAATTGGTCAGACCAAAGCTGGACCTAAAGTACGCAATCCAAACCTAGCACTTACCCGGCGCAGCTTCGTATTGAGCTTCGGCTCTGCATACGAGACGCCGCGCGTGACCGACCTCATGGCTCGGCGTCTGTGAAAGGGGCTGAAGTGCTGAGTGAAGGAATTCGACCTTGAGGCTGCGCCCGTGCAACGAGGGTCGGCTCCTGCACAGTGTTTCGACCTGCGGCGATGTTTGTTCGACTGCATTGTCTGCTTGCCTAGACCGTAGTAGTCGCCCTGCAGCCACAAGGAGATTTAGTTACCAGAAAGAAAGATGGATCGCGCACACAACTAACAATGTCGGTATCAACATACCCGACGTAGCTTTGTATTCAACTTGGGCTCGACGTACGACACGGTGGTGCCTCTCTGACGCAATCGCTTGGTTCGAGCAACCTGTCAGCATCGACAAGACAACGTTTGAGCCGTAGTGCACTTTATGAATCAGTAGGTGATGACGTACGTACTTTGGTTCGCCTCGAGCTGGAACAGGAGGTCACCGGAGACGAAAACGTCTGCTGATGTTGCCTGGCTAGACTCTCAACGCGATCTCTTGCAGTGCTGTTGTTCAAGCATGTAGAAGGCTCTGCAGCTTTCTTGAGCTTTGTACAGTCGTCTATAGCTTCACATTCAATCGAGCCGTCGCGGTTCTTGTTGGCCCGGCATTCCCGGTTGGACTACAAAAGTATCAGTACTGGACCTGCACAGCGATGCAATCATACATGGCTTACATGCAGGACCAGCGAGATGGTGTCCTCGTCCTGTTTGCACCCCATAGGTCCTACTTCACACGTTACAAAATTTACAGCAGGCGACGTCCTTCGCGAACGCTACCCGAAAAAAACGACTGTCAACTGTGTGTCCGTCTACGTGGGATACAATCGTCACGCACCGCATGAACAGTCATGGCACCATCGACTCGACGCGAAGGTGAAAATGCCGAGTCCGGCTCTTCCTGCCTATATTTCTCAGACGCTCGCTCGGGTTCTCCGAAGCTGCACTGAACAGCCGTGTGTCGTACTACAACCATCCAGTCAGCTTGATGTAGCTCGCACCTCAGAACGGTCCTCGTCGTACCTTCAATGGGCTTGCACCTCGCCTCCATCCATTCTAGGACTAAAAGGAACGTACGAAAGGGCCGTCAACACATTGGGAAAGCATCCTGAGCAACAGATCAACGAGATCAACGCCACCTTTTTCGGAAAACACGGCGTTCTGTGCCGTCCGAGCTGCAGACTTCACAGTCAGAAATACGGACAGTAGAACAGCAAGTGCCGATACTCCTCACCCTTTGTAAGCTCCTGTCTCGTCAAGGTCTGTTCGAATACCAAGCACAAAAGTGTGAGGACACGCCAGTGCCACAACTACCACGAAGTAACAGCAACCACCTTACCAGTGCCTTGGCCAATTCCGCGTTCCTCTCGCTCAGCTTGCGCGCTTTGTCCCGTAGCTCTTGCGCTTCCTGTATGATACTGTACGCGCGAGCGACGCTGTGCTGCGTCATATTGCTTGCGTCCTTTCGAGCGACTCACTTTCTGCGACCAATATATTCCTTTCGAGAGGATTATTATTCCCTGGCAGTCGTCGTCACTCGAGTTTGAACCCACGTCGCATCCCGGTGACCCGGATTTATTCGTAACTTACCGCGAGGGGGTTGAAAACTACCGCTTAAGTTCGCGCGTAAAATGCAGGAAGTGCAGGGCGACGCCGCCTTCGACTCGTTCCCGGACGAGCGCTTCCGCTTCGGCGTGGGACCTGTGGACGGCGTGGACACGATCTGGCTCGAGAGTTCGACGGAGCGAAAGCGTTGGTGGGTCTGCAACGGCGTCCCGCCATAGTCGATTCAAGAGTCTCTCACCCCTCCCACCGTCGTCTCTTCTTTGTCTGCAGGACGTGTGACGTGGCGGACGTCACGTCCTTTGCCCCGGCAGACGTCGTGCTGCCCCAGAAGACGGTGCTTCACTATGTGGCGGTACGTGCTGTGCAGTTGCTGTTCCTACTGCAGCTGTTGACGCAGTGTAGCCATTGACACGTCACGGGGTCGTGGTCGTGTTCCTTGTTTGTTGACAGGCCAGCTTGAAGAACTCTGCTAGTGAGAACGGGGAGGACGCTGCCCGTGGCCCGCAGCTTGTTCGTGGAGATGCCGACAAGACGTTGCAATTGGAGGTGCTGATCCAATTGGGGGTCGCCGACTTTGCCTGGGCGCCCAAGTACGTCTTCCCATTGGCGCTCGTATCGCCCATGTCGCCAGCAGAAGCACAGGCACAGCAGCTCGCGCTGCTCACGACACAAGTCCAGGAACTCCAGCAAGAAGTGCAGATACTCAAGAAACAGCTACAAACGGTGCTGCAGGCATCAACTGCACCGCAGCCGGTAACAGCGCTTGTGACGACTGGTGCCCCTTTACTGGACTCGGCGGACTCGCGCCTGCCTCCCGTGCCGATGGACCTCAATGCTGACAGCACCGTGAGTAAGGCGTCGACCGCGCCTTCTCGTGGAGCGCAAGTATGGGGTGACATCATTGGCCACCCACAGCACAAACTTGTTCAGACTGACGAAATTCGCGAGACCCGCAATGCTCTCGGCGCGACTATTCGCAGTCATCGCCAACACACTTGCAAAGTTTGCTCATTGTTACGAGGGACGCGTAGCCGTGCGTCTGGAACGTCGTACTACTGTCCGGAATGTACTGAACGACATAACGGTGGCATGGTGTACCTATGTGATAAAATAAGACCGCACGATCCCAGTAAGTACAGGAACGCGTCGTGTACCCAGATCTGGCACTTGATATGGGACAACGGCAAGAGTATCCCTCAGACTGGGACAGCGTCGATACGAATGCGAAAGAAACGGAAGGATAGCGACTCGAGCCAAAGCGAGACGATACCACCAACTGTGTTGACGGAGTCCTCCAGTGATGTGAGAAGCTAACAAGATGGGCATTGCAATAGATGCAGAGCTACTCTTTTCCCACGTTTAGGGCCATGCACTGCAAAGTATGGGTACGCGGAGGTGTAAGTGCACACGATGTGTGTGGCTTCTTCGCCTTCAGTCTGTTGTAAAGATAAGCAAAGGTTTTCGTCATGTAACAGTCATGTCTGCAGAAAAAAGAGCCGACTTGTTCTATCAGTGCCGAAAGATCTGCTATTTTGATTCAAGCTATCTTTCTTTCTTGTGAAGCCATGCTAAAAGGAGTCCATTTAGGAGCCACATCAGTCGCTGCCATGACCATCGCCTCATGAGTCAGTGACATTGTCCTTCATTACCGAGTGTGCTACACTCGATCGGCGAGAAAAGGACATAACACGGCCTTCACTATGATTTCACATTCAAATGGTCTTATGCGTGACTACCAGCTACAAGTTCATATGAAACAAAACACTCCGGATCTGTTCGCCATCAATTGGATAAAAAGCTCGAATGACATAGAAAAGAAGCGTCAGCATATCTAGCTCGTGATATTTGCACATACGGAATACGTCATAGCTTCAGGCTCTTCCGTTATGAGGTTCGTTAATTTTTAGTTATCTCTCGTGCAGTATGAGATCGCGACCCGAACTGACCATTTGAAACGGGGCGGGCCCGTGAGTATGCTGTGATTTGACCGTCGACGTTAAAAATCTCTAAATGGCATCGTGAAATGCCAATGGTTTGGTAGTCAAAAGAAGACACACAGCAAGTAAAAGTGTGTAAGAAACTTCCTGTACTCGATATACGCAGTGTAGACTACTCGCCACACTTGTAACGGAATTGTGATGCAGGGACTTACATTCTACGAATTGGCGATCAAAGCATCGAGTACAGAGCTTCTTATAGTGTTAGGACTGAGTACGCGCGCGAGCAGTGACCCACCGACAGTGCGGTGCCGTAGTACCAGCATTTCCTACTTTCGACATCGGGTGGTCGGTTCTCAATACGTTGGTCTAACTGCTTTCTTGCAGTCTTTTTGCACTCATCGCATCCGGATTAACAGCATCGTCACTTCCACATCAACTGTAGTGGGTTGCAGATAACTTACCTTGTCTGCTTCGCGATCGTTGTTGGCATACTGCTCACGGTCTGATCATATCCTTCGTCCGTCGACGTCGACAGTGATTTGTTTTTCTTCATTCTGCGACTCTTGACGTAAAAGCTGGATCTGTATCGTCAGCATGGAACGGGTTGAATTCATGGCCTAGCAATACCGATCTCAATGTCCGCATTCTACCAATACATGTCGATGGGAGCAGAAAAGAAAGTGGGAAAAATGTGGCACAGCGTCCGCGTTTCTTCAGTAGGATTTAAGATACACTGCCGAAGCGCGTTACACTGCAGAAGCGGGTTCAAACCTAGCTCTGCACCAAGTCATCACTAAGCCCATTTCAATTGACAATGCGCATTTTGTGTCACACACACAGCGTCTAGCAAGTATCGTGAAGTATGTGCGGCCCACACGCGTAATACTAGACATTGAGTATCTTTCATCGAGTCGTGTCATCCAGTCTACATGCTGATCGTCACAGCATCCATAAAAAAACCAATACAAGTGATAGTGCCTTGGTGCATAGTCTTGCATCGGTTGCCAAACGACGTACTACCGGTCATAAGCTCCTCGAAGGTACTGTTTCTATCGATCCGGTAGCGATCATGCGCTCGAATAGGTGCATCTTATCGTCAAAGCTCAGTGCCATCGTAGCTCGCACGTGGAGAACGGATGCCAAGTGCCGTGCACAAAAAAGGATATTCCGCAGCAAGTCCACTTTCTCACAATGTAAAGGTCACGTAATTGAGCGACTTTCTTGCCTTGTTCTGGATAGTTTCCTTATTCCGAGCAAGTGCAGGTCCCTAACCAGGCATGTTGTAGCCAAAAAGCCAGGCACTAGTTTCGTGAAGACTGAACTCACAGCAGTACCCAGTACTACGATGTTGCATGTCGATACCTGTGGGTGAGCGCACATCACTAGTGCAAAACCTTCAAGTATCTACATACAGCTGAATCTGCTCAACTGATCGGAAAGACAGGGACGGTACTGCTGGTCCAGTTTAGACTCTCTTGATGCGTTCTGAATCCAGGCAGCACTGCAACAATCACGTGCTGTTCATTTTACATTGCCACCAATGCAGGTAACAAAGCCGCAGCAATTAGTCCTGGCAGTGCTCGCAATCGCGGCTGCCAGCGCCACAACAGACAACTGCACGTCATGGTCCCAGCGCTTCAAGACGAATCTCGAGGGCGTCTGCGTGTGCTCGGAAGCCGCGTGCGACACTGTCTCGAATGACCACTTGTACCTGTCCAGCAATGAGGCAGGTGTGTTTTCAACTTCCAAGTCAGGAGACCGCTTGACTTTTTCGACTGTTGAATTGACTTCCATCATCGACAATTCGGCAGACTTTACTATTGACACCTCGAAGACATACCAGTCGATCATTGGCTTTGGGGGTGCTTTTACCGACGCGTCAGCCATCAACTTTGATCTTCTGACTTATACTCTCCAAGAGAGTCTCATCAACGCGTACTTCGGAGACGATGGGCTGCAGTACACCATTGGACGCATCCCGATCGGCTCGACGGATTTTTCGCTCACCATTTACTCGTACAACGACGTGAAGGGCGACTTGGCCATGGACAACTTCAGTATCGACATGGACAAGGCCAAGAAAATCCCCTTCATCCAGCAAGCAATGAATACGTCTTCTCGAAGCATGAAACTATTCGGATCATCGTGGGCACCACCTGCGTGGATGACAACGGAGAACTCGACAATCAACTGCGCCCTTTCAGGTTACCCAGGTGGTGAGTACTGGAAGGCTCTAGGGCTGTACTATTCCAAGTTCGTGTCAGCATACGAAGATGAAGGGATTCCACTGTGGGCCATTACGACGCAAAACAAGCCCACGAAACAGTTCTCGTTCAAGTTATGGCAGAGTTTGCGCTGCAATGCCACAACCGAGCGCGATTTCATCAAGCGTGACCTGGGTCCCGTCATGAAGGAACAACATCCTGACCTCAAGATTATCATGATGGATGACCAGAAAGACCTGCTGCTGGACTGGGACGCCACATTGCTCGACAAGGACTCGGCACAGTACGTCTCGGGTGTTGGCGTTCACTGGTATAAGAACCTCGACTTTTTGGCGGACACAGCAGGTGACTTCGATGTCCTTGAGAGGTTCCACCAGCTCTATCCTGACATGTTCATCTTGGCAACAGAGGCATGTGAAGGCTACCTGATTGACGGCATCGGTACAGGTGCTGGTCCTGCTCTTCAGAATCCCGCTTTCGCGTGGCAGCGTGCGCAAATCTACGCGCGTGACATTATCTCCGATCTATCTCACTACGCCTCGGGCTGGACGGACTGGAACCTGGTGCTGAATACGACGGGTGGTCCCACGTGGATTGAAAACCGGGTCGATTCACCGATTCTTGTGGATGAAGAAGGAGGCGCTGAGTTCTACAAGCAGCCCATGTTCTATGCCATGGGCCACTTCTCCAAGTTCCTGCCGCCTGACTCAGTCCGTGTGGACCTGGCTACCCGAGCTAGTGTTTCTTCGAACCTAAGCCAAGTGGACAGCGTCGCATTTTTGACCCCCGAACAACAAGTAGTGCTCGTTGTCTCCAACCGCGACAGCTCTGCGCGGAACATCAGTGTGAGCTTATTGAGCCAGCAGCTGAGCAGCAGCTTCACTCTGGAAGCGTTCACTATCAAGACGATCGTGATTGGCGAGGTTGCACACGCTAGTTCCTCTGTCATCAGCTCCGATTCTGTTGCGGAGACGACGCGTAGTGCGACGACAGCGGAACGAGCTTCCGTGACCACAAGTTGTGGAACAAAGGGAACCAGCGTGTTAAGTTGACGCTGATCAAATGACCCTTGCTTGGAGTTGTAGATGCTACAGCGATGAACCAAAGCCCGGTAACGACTTCAGAGGCAGCTGATCAACAATCACAAATGGTTGTAACGTCGAGTTATCCTTACTTCTCCAGCAGCTGTAAGCAATGCAACGACAAGTACTGCACCCGGTCAGCCTCCTGATGTCCGTTCGCCCAGCTCGTATCAATGAGCTGTCCTCGTTGCTTGTCTTCTGTCCGCCTTCACGTTCTACTCATAGCCCGATACGGCGATCACCGTGCAGTCAACACGTATCAGCAAGCATTTGAGGATCTCGTGTCTTTGACACCATCATGGGGACTCCGTACCGAATGGTGGTCTGAGTCAACTCTGTTTGGCTCATTTGACAGTAAACGTCACCGACGTCTGCAACCCGACAGTAAACACCAACGATATTGAACAACTCAACTTGAGCTTCTCACCTGTAGTTTGCGTTGTACAAGTCCGCGACTGGAATCCGAGGCTTGACACCTTGGGTATGGATCCGGTCGTTATCACAGCACGATTCAACTGCACAGTAGCACCTTCGTGCTTCAACAGAAGTCTTGAACAGCTGGTGTTCGAGACTCTAAACTACAGCAAGCGGTTGCATCTACCTCGCGTTCTCGCATTTGTAGCTTCTCGTGCCTTAACATAAACTTTCAGTTTTGTGCAGCTTTATAGGTTGTGAAGGAGATTTATCCTTGCAGCTTGGCCTATAGCTGATCGAAAAGGAAATGGCATGACTCGAATCAGCAGAAATAGGGCTTTCTTGACTGATTTAGTCTCATTTTCTGAGCAAAAACCCAGCCTACGTAGATTCCTAAAAGACATAGATCATGTGTTTTATCCTTTCAGTTTAGGGCACTATTTGGTCTCATTATTTGTATGCTTGAAAGGCCGGGTGAACATTTCTTCACGCATGCACATCGTAACCCTACCCCCTTGCCACTGGAAATCGAAGTGGCGGCAAAACAGAAATGTATCAATAAAGAGAGGTTATCCTTTGATAGAGATGTTACACTCGTTCACTTGCTGCTCAACACCCGCCGTATTTTATACCTTAGAAGCCGAGTCAACACTCCTGCGCTTCGTGGGTACTGCGGTGATCGGTCGCAAGTCGTCGCCTGCCAGGAGCCCTCCAGAAACATCAAAACTCGAATATTTTTGCGAGCATACCTAAATGCTTCGTAGTGTTAATGGTGCTATTCAAGCGGAGCATTGACAGTGCCTCGAGTCTTGATTTTTTCGTGATTGCGACCAGCGAAAACGAAGCGAGGGTCTCAACGAGATTTCATAGGGGACGGAAGAGAGGAAGAAGACATGGATGCGGCGACGCCTGGTTTCGATGTTTCCGTTCTCCTAACACTGTGTCTCATGCCCGGTACGTAGATACCTGTAAGCACGACGTCTAGCAATTGAGGGACTTTCATCGACATTCAACTCCGCCATGTGCCATCAACTGTTCGAAAGAAATGTTTTGTCAACGCTACGCTAAGCGACACCTTCGGCATTTGTGTCATCGTTTACCCACTTGAGTTCGGTCCATAAAGTTCGTGCATGCGGACCTTCGCGAAAGCAAAACCAAGTGGTTTCGGGGCTTGCAATGACTGGTAACGGCTACTCTTCGCGTACGACGTAGTGATCGTGTCTCGCGTTCTTGCCAAGTATGGTGTGCCAAAAGTGCTCCAGAGACAACCACCGACCATCTACAAAGGGGACACCGTAGTTGCATGCATTGCTAACTAACTGAGCGATTACATCCGAGAGTTTGTAGCGATCTGTACACGTTACGTTCCCTCCAAGTCGTTCGTCCGGCTCGCTGAAGCGAGGCGGCACCTCTTCAGCCATATAGGCGGACGAACGTCCGTTACAATCTCTCTGTGTTGCGGGCGCGCAGGCTATTAGTAAGAACAGTGATGGACCACATGCTAACATCGTAGCGCACGTCGCCTGGAATGTCGGTATGTCTCGGTACATTACGAGCTTCTGGCCAGTCTCCGTCTGATCCCAACCCGACTTATACATGAAGTTTACGCGTCACTAGTCCATGGATTCTGATTCTATCTCGTGATCCCTGGCAATCTCAAGAGATTCTGGTCTCGTCTGTCTATGATACGCGACTGGGCGGGTCTCTGCTCGTAGTTTGGCACTGGACACTTCGAGTGCATTGCGCAGCTTGCTGATTGTCTTGTTCGACTCAGGTATTTTGTGCATAGTATTGCAGCTTTGCAGCTGTAATGAGCACGCAACCAAGAGCAGTATTAGATGCTGCACCAGACATCAACGAAGAGGCTGGTCAGTGCGGATGGACCTCTGCCGTAGTTTGCATGGTCACGATGAGAGAGGGAAAGGCCGTATGCTCGTTGACTTCTCCAGAATATAGCTGCCATTGGGCGTTGATATGGTAGCTTGTCGTTTCAGCTTCAGCGCCGCAAGTGCTAGTACCACTTCGCAGGCCACGACATTTGCGACGTCGAGCAAGTTGGTGGTAATGGATGAGCTGAAGATTTATAGAATCAATCCACCATCCAAAGTCACCCACGTAACGGGACCGAAAAGGACTCAAGGGCACGTACTGTTGGATTGCCGCCCCGTTTTAACGTGATACGGTATTATTGGCGGTACTACTACGGAGCTAGAGAGGGACGAGAGCAGTTTATGCAATTGTTGACACGGCAGCTGTTCTGTCCAACTCGATCGAAAGCGTGTTACAAATTCCGCGAAGGCATCAGGACCAGCAGCAGCAGCAGTAACGGCCGCCCTCACTTTACCATTTGACTCCAAGGACGAACCACTCGCGTCACCGTCTCCACCTCAACCACGAGCATGCGCACTGTCTCCTCGTACGCAGCGGTCGCCTTCACCGCCGTAGCCGCCTCTGCCACCCCAGCGCATCGCATGCAACAGTCGCCTGCCGTTCACGGACTGCAAGCGAGCGAGATGGACGGCCTGGACATGGCTGGCATGAACATCTCGGGCAACATGGACATGGGCAGTATGGACATGAGCGGGATGAATCTCACCGCTTCCCCTCCAATGGGCATGACCGACCCGTCTGCTGCTTCTCCGGGGAAGGACTTTCGGTGCCCCGTGTGTGGCATGTCGACGATAGCCATGGGGTACAACAACTTGAACCACGTCGGTCTCGTCAATGGCCAGATCGTCTACACGTGCGGCATGCCGCTGCGTCCCTTTGAGGACTACGAGACGGTGCACACGGACACGTCGTACCTGGCTGCCAACATGGCGGAGTTTATCGTCAACGCGACCGATGCTACTGCCTTTGCAGAGTGTGAGGACTCGTGCAGCGAGTGTGCTGATGGCATCAAAGACCCTGTAACGGGGGACGACGTGACGACGTCCAACTACCACTACGTCTGTCTCGTGAACGGCCAGAAGATCTACTTTGCCTCAGGTGCGAGCAAGAACGAGTACTTGGGCAACGTCAGCTCCCAACCACGATTCGTCGTGGACGAGATCGTTTGTGAAAACATGACGTGTTCTGACGCTGAGACCATCACTGTGCTCAGCGCAGCGGCGCAGGCCTTTGTACCAGATCTGTCCTCATCAGACCGTAACGACTCAGGTGTGATGCCGAATGGTTCCACTCCAACTAGTGACGATCCAGCTACTGCCAACGCTGCAATGTCAGTAAACTCGCCTGTTGGCTTGACTTTTGCGGTTGCGAGCGTGTTGGTTGCGTTGGCTGCAATGATGTAGAGCAGCTGCACTGCTGGAGCAGCAAACGGGCGGACGGACGCCCAAGTGAGCAGTGCAGCAGGCAAGTGCGATGGCAACGTCGCAGCATCAATGTCTTCCGTAGATCTTTTGATACAGAGTTGTAGCGTGGAAGGACTCAGTCATTAAGAGCTTAATGCGACGCTCACAAACGTTAGTAGACGACAGTTGCAGTGATTCGGCACTGTCCACCGTTTTCGTGTCGTGCCTGGTCTGACGTAGAATTTAGAACTGAAAACGCATTGTCCCGACGTTGTTGGACTGCCGCGTTTACGCGATGTCATAAAGCCGTGTCTTTCTTATCACGCAAAACGATGCGCGGTAGTAGTACCTACATCATGTCATTTAGTGCTGGCTGGAGAAATGGGAACGAACAGTTAGTTAATCTCGTGCAAAGAGGTGCCGTGTGCTGTGAAGGAATAGCACCACGCTATCCCTTCACAGCACTCGACAGCCAGCACAGCATTGTTTTTGGCATCAAAGCATTATTGTTGGCCGTCGCTCATGCAGCAGTGTAACTAGCTGCTTACAGTGCGGCATCTTAGCTCGTCAACGATTGCCAAGGACCGGCACGCACGAGACTCTCCAATTTGGACCTCTACCTGTGTTCGGCACCCATTTTAAGCAAATTGACGCCTGCTGCATCGCTGTTTTCAAGTCTTTATTGGTGTCATGTCGTAGTCTCGACTACGAGTCCAGCTTCAGTCAGCCACTGGCTTCGACTGCACGTTCTGAATTTGGCATGGAGCCGTCGCATGCCCCTGTGAAAGGGCTGACAAAACCGGGAAAGACCAGACAGAAAACATTGCGAGCTGTTGCAATAGAAGCTTCTAGTGCACGTTCAGACTTGCATTTTGGTTCCAAAGTGCAGCAACCACGATGCGATAATCAACCAACTCGAATCCTCCAGTCGCTCAGAGCGTGCTGCGATGCTAAGATTTGGTCGACGTTTTCTCCAACCCTCGCTCGCATCAGGAAAATAGCTTGCTACTCCTGAGTCTTAGGTGCTATGTAGTCAAGCTATGCTATCGTTGCGCAGCTTAGATATTTCAGAGACTGTTCGAACTGTTTACCACTGGACGACCGTTATAGTTTCGCAGGGTTGCACTGCACAGTCCAGCCTTGACCGAAGTAAAGTCTTGGACTTGCAAGCGAGGAGCGCTGAAACTTGGAGTGACATGATGACGACTCGTCTCTGTAGATTTGCTTTTCGCGGACGACGATCAAACAGTTGTGAGTCACAAAAAGTCAGTTTCTACAAGTGGCGGACGAATGCACTCGTGTGCAGCTCGAAAAGCCAAACCACGACAATGTATAGTCTTGCTAAAGCAGTCATCGCTGGCATCTTGAAGGTTTTTGTTTGATAGTCCAGCTCGATGGCGCAGGCAGCTGTCGCTTTGTAATCGTGCCACAGAGCCAGAAAGAAACCTTAGACCAATGCGTCGGAATAGCGACACGATAGGTATGACTCCTCACCGGACGTTCATAGATCTCATTCTCCTTGATTTCGGGTCACGCGACAACTTCAAAAGTAGCGGTAAAATCCACAGGCCTTTTGCAATGCCCAAATGGTCGAGTCGTTTTGAGCTCATGGCGGACACGGACACCGTCCGGGGTGTCAATGTACCGCAAGACGACGTGGTGACACAGCTTCCATCTGAATAAGGGTTGGGCTTGTTGGCACATAGTATGGCGTCGATGGACATTCGATTAGCTGGTCACACGACATTTCACCCATTCCATCACCCAGACAATCGACTTTACAGTAGGTGCTCCTCCGAATTTCAAGTAATGTTGCGTGTTCATGTGATGCGTAGGGAAGACACTCCAGAAATACAGCAACAGGAGATGCCGAGCCGAAAGTGGGCGCAAATAACGTTGCGTAATATTTTTGCGCGCGGCTGATACAGAGCACGTTGGTCCGAAGAACATACCGTCACATCCAGACTCAAACGATCGAAAAGATTAGGTGTCCATCGATCTACTACTGACCGTGGAGTCCTTCGATGCAGGCAAGATTGTAGTGTCCGCCGACGCAGGCAGGATAATCGTCTGCATTGATTTGGCTGGCAGCTTCAGTGTGAACGTGTGCAAGTTTGGCTCCTTCACGCTTATAGTCACCTCCGACTCTTCGCAATTCAAGAATTGCATCACGATCTGATTGCTCGGTGTTACGAATGCGCAGCGGTGGAAATCGCTCAACGTCTCTGACTCTGGCAGCTCGATGCGTCTCGATCCCGGCGGCACAAACTTGGAGAAGTGGCCCATGATATAGTACATTGGCTGCTTGTAGAACTCCGTGCCATTACGCTCCGCGACAAAAATTGGTGCATCCACCATATTTTCAGCCCAGTTTGGACCTCCTTTCGAGTCCAAGAACAAGTTCCAATCAACCCAGCCAGCAGCCATACTGTTGCTGTTTTCGATAATATCACGCGCGTAATTCTGCGCACGCTTCCACGTTCGTTCTGGGTCATCCATCGATGGCCCTCGTCCAGTGCCGATGAAACGGGGCATATATCCTTCACAGGCTTCTGATGCTAGCATGAACATGTCAGGGTACGCCTCGTTGAACCTTTTCAGGTTCCGATAATTGCCAGCGCCCGGCAGAATGAAATCAAGATTCTTGTACCAGTGAAAGGCGACTCCGCTGATGTATTTCTTCGACTCAGGGTCGTCGAACGGTGCAGAGCGATCCAGAAGCCCACTTTTCTGGTCATCATTCGCTATGATCTTCAGACCCGGGTGATTTGTTGCCATCAACGGACCAAGGTTCAGCTTGATGAAATCCCTCTCTTCTTCAGGAGTCATTCGCAGTGTCTCCCAGTCAGGGATATGAAAAGTAGGTTCTTCAGGCTCATTTTGTACTGTCATCGCCCAAAACTCGATCCCTTCACCCTTATAGGCGTCGAAGAACTTGGAGTAGTACAGTGCCAGCGCTGCCCAGTATCTCCCCCCAGGACTGCCCTTTATCTTGCAATCAACGACCGACTGACCTCTTGTCATCCAAAGCGGAGGTGCCCAAGAAGAAGCAAACAGTCTCAGCTTCGCCATACTAAGTGCGCGCTGGATAAGGTTTATCTTGTTCGAATGTGGAGCCTTGTCGGACGCGATCGTGAAGTTTGTCATGGCAAAGTCGTCCACTTTTTCATTGTACGTGTAAGTTCTCGGGGAAAAGTCCGTCGAGCCAATGGGCACACGAGCCATGTTGTACTGCAGTCCCGACTCGAGGAAGTACTGGCCGAGGGCGATGTCTTGTAGTTCCGGGACGAGCTTGTACAGATTAATGGCTGCCGCGTCTGTGAAGGCACCCCCGAAGCCAAGCATTGTCTGGTATTGAGTGGTCACATCGATCGTGTAGGTTGGTATGTCCACGGTGGAGGTGTCGACGTTGATCACCCGATACGTCAAGCGATCACCGGCTCTGGTCGTGGTGTAGATTCCCACTTGACCTTCTGTTAGTTGCGTGTGATTACCTACAACAGAGTCACACTGGGTCACGTTGCAGACGCAGATGCCTTCCAGCACTTTATTGTAAACCGACGACCACGAAGAACACTGGGCAGAGGAACCAATGGAGGCGAGGAGTGGGCTCCAAGCAAGTATTGGAAAAAGGTTCACGACTTTCATGAGGAATCAGCTGTGGCTCCCACGGCAGCAGATTGAGAAGTGGTATCCACCTCAAAGAGGGGGCAAGCGTCTCCGATCGGACCATTATCGGTATCTGTTTACTAGACCCTAACGAACCATGCATAAAGGCGGATCACATCTGACAGTCGACCAGGTTGGAGCAGAAGTTCAAAGTGGGAAACCGAGACCAGTGCCCGCCTGACGAGATCGTCGTCTCCTGGTGCAAGCGGGATTTGTGTGCGGGGCAGAGTTTGCAAGTGACCGAAAGATCTGGTATTCGAAGGCCACGCGTGTACGTTTGCAGCAGCAAAGTCCTTGCCACTGATTTGTGAAGCCACACGCTGAGTGCGTCCGTGATTCGAACGCACTTTTACAAACGTGTGAAAGTCCTTGAGATGGGGAGTACGACGATACCACTACGCTCGCACTGCCGCGTCCACACAATATCCATTTCGGAAGTGCTAGGTTGGTCACGTATCGCCCACCCGCGTCGAGCAGATGCTGCTGTCAGAACCTAATTCTTCAGAGCTAAATGGGCTCAAACGTGCCCTTAATAACTGGTAGCTTCCGTCAGTGTACTTTCTTGTGTTCGACGAGCAGGGAGGTCACTATCGCCACAACTATGCGACATTCCTCGCTTCCAGCACGACTACAAGTGGGTAACGAAATCAGCAGTTTGTCGTGTCTAGTCTGCTGTCCGTAAAACGTACAGCTTGGTACAAATTGAGCTCGTTGACTAGCAAATGCAGTCTGGGTGCAACAGCACACAAACTAGAATTACACATGCGTAGAGCGTCTTTGTAGAAATCCACCCGAGTGACCCAAGCGCAAAAGAAATAGCAAGTATTTAGCGTTGAATCTAAAGCTTCAACTAAGCGGTCGCTACTACACTTCGTGCTAAGCCCGAAGTAAACTCTCCGCGACATTTTCGCATCACGCTCGAGAGTTGATGGCCAGAGGTTACGTCAAGATGGCTCACTGGGACTACCGCAGTGGTAACAGAACTCCTAGTCAAGCGTCTTCTGTCTCCTGAATCAAATTGCTCCGAGCGCGAGAGCAGCCCCGCCATCCGGTGGGAGTGCACACAAGAATCTAATCTCGGACTTGGTCCACGGGCCCTTTCGGGAGTGCCCCGCCGTGACGCCCGACGTCTTGAGCGAGCAGAATGAGAAAGCTAGGAGTAGTGCGACTGTGTTGTCATCGTAGATGGCACGAGGCGGTTTCCACACAACCAGACATCCCATTAGTGAGAAGTGGCTACATTAGACAGTCTGAGCCTCACATTTTCGCACCACGCGAGTACTACACGGCGGGCATCGATTGATTGATTCACTATCCCAAAGCGGTCCCTTTTCAACGGGAAAGCTCAAAATCAGCATGCCCCTCCCTCCCAGTTCTATGTTCGAAGGAACGATCCTCTCCGGATGCAGTGGACCCCATCTGTTCAGACCGAACGCCGTGATTTCATTCCCTCCATTCGCATATTCGTTGGCCCGTCATGAAGTCCAAGCAGCCGAAATGGAAAAAGTTCCATTGCCCACCCATGTCAAGCTCTCGCAAGGAGCAGATCGCCCACGAAGCCAACCGCGCGTGTGACGAGCTGCTTCGTTTCTCTGCCGGCGAAGCCTTCACCCAGCGTGCAAAAAGCGTGGACTCCAGCTATAACAGCGACGAGGCCGGGGACCAGTTCCAGGACGGTCTCAAATGGGAGTACACGGAGCAGATGGAGAGTATCCGCGTGGAGAAGGTCAAGATCAAGTCCGGGTCGAAGAAGGGTGACGACGGCGTGTACTACTTTCGAGGGATCACGCAGGTAGAAGCCAGCGTCGAGGAGGTCATGGAATTGTACGATGTCGACATGGCTCATCCTAATATGCAGCTGGAGAAGAAACTCTCGCCAGACATTCTACACTCGGTGATACTCTATGAGATTCAGCCCTATCGACGGGAGGAGTGTACAGTGTTCATCGGTATCCGCTGGTCGGCGGTACGTTCGCCCTACGTCATGGTGCGCAATCGAGACTACTGCTACCTGGAGATCCAGCGTCGGTTCGCTCTACCAGATGGTCGACGAGGCTTTACTCGGTGTCTGCATTCCGTCAAAATCAAGAGCTGTCCAGATATGGAAAAGTCGCACGGGTTTGTACGAGGTAGTATGTACCGCTCGGGCATCGTGTTCATCGAGAGTAAACGCGACCGGAAGACGCTGGATATCGTGCAAGCTGTGTACACAGACCTCAAAGGGAATGTACCACAATGGGTTGCAGCCAAAGGACTGCGACAACGACTCATGAGCTTGGAGCATTTGAAAAAGTATATCAATATGAAGCGTCTGGCAAATCAGACGTTTGCGCGTCGGAGCCAATTGATGGCCCCTGGTCAGGTCAAGACGTGCTTTGTCTGTGTCGACGACATTGGCACTTTCAAGAGGAGATACAACTGTCAAAAATGTGGCGAGGTACGGGAGTGAAGTTGATGCTAAGATGGCCGCGATGGAATCGAGACTGTGCGGGCAGCATATCCCACGAGCTCGTTGTCGTGCGGAGAGTGTGAACGAAGGGGCATGCTTTTTGTCGGGTGGAGTGCTAACTCTGTCTCTGTCGTGTCTCTTTTTGTTTGCAGGTGATTTGCGGTCGATGCAAGTTGATCATTAACGCAGATATCCCAGTCGTGGGCAAGATGAAGCTCACGATATGTAGCTTGTGCTCGCTGGCCATAAATCGCAGCGCGCTGCCAAGTAACCAGAACAACGCTGATAGTGCAGACTTAGATTACCGGCCCTTTTCAGCGAGACAGCTGCCAACTTCTCAGCACTATGACTGCGACGACCAGTTGCCTGAGCGCAAGCGTGCGCTAAGTCTGAACTCGTTCCACACGGCCAACTTCGAGCATACCTCGCTGCAAAGTTCAGTGTTGGTTCGGGAGTTCTAGCGCTCGGAGCGGCAGTGCAGTGTGAAGACTCGCCCGAATGCTGCAGTGTCCAGCGCTCACGAATCCCTTGGCTCCTGAGTTTTGAAAATGCGTCTTCTTGTGACAGCAGATCCATCCTCGTCATGCCACGGAGCTCGCGATTTACTGGTGCTTGTGATGATAACACTAGCCTGTTTCAAACAACAGCTGTAAACTATAATGTGGTGACATGGTCGGGCGTTAAATGACAGCAACCTACATCGATAAACACCGACAGTATCAATAAACACTCTTCTTTTTTGTGCAGCGCATACCAGCGTTCGTTTATGGCTTTGAGACCTCTACGATGTTTTGTCCCAATTAAATCGCGGTCGGTAGTCAAAATCTATTTCGACCAGCCGTCACCTATTTTGTGTGCGTGATGCGAGGCCGAAAAACCGACTATTTTCGGCTGGATGATCAATTTTTTTGTTTATTACAATAAACCCGGTTTTATGATAAAACCATGGTTTCATACAGCTCGATGAGCGGGCGTCTGCTGTAACAGGGTAGTCCGTTACATTAAATTGCACCAAGCGGTGTCAATAAAAAGATTGTCGAGCGTGACAATTTCCTGCCAATATTACCCGAGATGGATAATATTGAAAGAACATTATCCCCTTGTAGGATAATTTTCATGCGCTGCTCAAAGATTGGTGAATTGAAGACACATCGACTGTAACGGGGCACCCTCAAGCTTGTACTGATGACAGTACAAGCTACTTATTCTGATGACAGAATGAGGCGGTGCCGCGTAAATTCACGTACTGTAACGGGGCACCCTGAAGCTTGTACTGGTGACAGTACAAGCTACTTATTCTGATGACAGAATAAGGCGGTGCCTCGTAACTTCACGTACACTGGTACGTGCAGAGGAAGACGGTAAGAAGAAGCGAGTACTTGGTTAGAGTAAAAAGTAGAACTGTATTTATAATAGTTAATGTCTGCAATAAATCACTATTTATCTTCATCTAACTATGTCTAAATACACATGTGTAAATCAGTTATCTGCTCACCACTCATTGCGTGCGTCTGTCGTGGCGCGTCTTCGTTGGTTGATATAATGGCCTATATCAACCAATTAGGAACTACTTGTAAGTGCAACATAATATTTGTCCTTATGACAATATTCTGAGAATATAACTCTTATAGTTATATTCTATTAACAATTTCTTATAAATTGTTATGTAACGATTCACCCCGTTACATCCCCCCCTTCACCATCAGTCACTTTAGTGACTGATTGACTAAATGGATACTCGTTCCAAATCATTTGGGACAGGGTTTGCACTTGTTGGTCCGCGTCCACTTTCCAACGTCTCATCGCATGGTTAACAAGCCCATGCGATGCGCGAGCAAGGCCGCCGAGAGCGCGTCTGCACGTCTCTGTGCATACGCCGAAGCAGAAACAACAGCAACTGATGTCCCATCGGTTGCTGAAGCGTCTCAGCCTGTGTCACTTGGTGATGCAGGCGCTCGTCGTGATAACACTCATGTCTTCACAGAGTATGAGCCCGGTGTCTCGTACTCTTCTGATACGGATGACGGATCTGCATCGAAGGCGGTTGAAACCAAGCCGCCTGCCAAGCGTGGCATGGACGATGCTTTGCGTCGCAGCATCTTTGGTTCATCTGATGAATCAGATGAACCATCGTCGAAGCGAAGGCGCTCGAGGTCGCGAGACTCGGGCGCTAATAGTGGTGTCGGTTCTCCTATGGACACCACTTCACAGCGAGGTGCCAGTACTTCTGTCGGTACGTCGCAGGAAGAGCGGGACCGCAATGTGTTGCGTCTCGCTCCTGAGAAGAAGGCATGGATGCCTCCTAAATCAGTCATGGATCACTTGTCGGCGACGACGAGTGATCGTTATCGAACACGGTTGTTCGATTCATCAAGGATCCATCACCTTGACCCCAGCGCGAAAAACTATCGCGCTGAACATGAATTCTTCATCGATGCTTTCTTTAGACATCGATGGTACAGTGGGAATCACAAACGTGATGGTCCCTCACTACTTCAGGCGTGGAACGCCTACATCCATAACCTCGAGGATGTAGGTCGTGACGCTTGGAACGACAAACTTATCAAAGCTCGTGATAAGTTTGAAAAGCGAACCCCGACAGGTGCACGCTATAAGCTGCATCGTCTGTCAAGGGAGAAAGGATTACCCTGCCTCTCTTGGGGAGACTCGTGCCCATGTTGTGTGAACAACTCTGCACGAGCACATAAGGAGGCCTACCTCCTTACTAGCCCGTGGTGGCGCGTACGTATCTCTACTGAGATGTACGAAGGGATTGACAACCTGAAATCCCTTGATGACCGTGCCGGAAAGACTTTCTCCGGCGGTCCTTCTGCGGCACAGGATGTGCCGCGTCGTACTGCTCAACCAGACCCAGTACATCAATCATCAGTTGGGAGCGGGGCTCCCAAGAATCCCAGGACGGGGGATAGCCGCGCCACCGGACGAGATAACTCGTCCGACGCCCGTTCACGTCGCGGTGGTTCAACAGCTGCTCAACTAGATAGCGCTGGCCACCGCGAGAGTCCTCTAATGGAGGTGGAGGAGGAGGAAAGACGCTCTCCACACAATCATGTGGATCGGTGTGTTCCCGAGAGCTTCTTTGATCGCGTAACTCTTGCGTTACGCGGCGATCTCGAATATGAGCGGGACAGGCGTCTCCAACTGGCGGACACTGTCTTGAAGCATCGAGCTGAGTTTGCTTTTGCTCAGCTTGAGAACGAGAGATCTCTGACATCTCTGCGTGACGAGCTAAGGGTAGCTCGTGGGATTGTTGATCGGTCTCGGGCTGAGATAGCTGCTCTTCAGACCCTAGTCGATATCCACCATCGGGAGCACAAGGCTCTCTGTGTGAGATGCTTGAGCGCAAGGGCGTTCTTCATTGGAAGAAGCAGCGTACTGATGGTACTGCTTAAGCCGACCAACGTAAAACGTGGGATGCGTTCGCATCTTACGTGGCAGTGCGATCGTGTATGCATTGCCTAGGCGGTGCAATACACGAAAAGGGCCGATGTACTTGGGTAGTAGTTTACTGCTACCCAAGTTAGTCACTACATGCTTTGGTAGATTAACCGTAGACAGTAGGACTAAGTCACCTTTATTAAATAAAAGAGTGTTTGCCCTTCCATTCTTGTCAGCGTTTTGCTTTTGCTTATCCACCGCTTCGGCGATGGAGTCTTGCACAAAACGGACTACCGTTTCACGAGCCAGTATGAACTCATCTGCTGACTCGTTAGCTTCAGTGTGCTGTGAGCGCACTGCAGCAACATCAACCTTTTCTTCAGTGAGGGCTTCCGCACTCTCACTGGGATCATCTTCTTCAGTGAGGGCTTCCGCACTATCACTGGCATCATCTTCTTCGATATCGATGTTATCGATATCGGCATCAAACGCAATGACTTCTTCGTCAGAGCGTGATGAGCGTGAACCAAATCGGTTTTTGCTCGCGCGAGTCCCTCCCCCCCTTAGACCAGAGTTACACTCTAGTAAGGTGGGTACACGCGGATGGCGCAAGCCATTCACGTAAAACGGTGTATGTGTCGTGGACGCATGCACCGAGTTGTTAATGGCAAACTCTACCATTGGCAAAAACTCACTCCAACTCTTAAAGGAGTGTACGTATCCTCGAAGTATCCCTTCAAGGACCCGATTGGCACGTTCCGTCTGACCATCTGACTCTGGATGATCAGATGTTGACATCTTCAAGCGCGTTCCGAGTGATTTGAACACGGAGCGCCAGAAATCAGCAGTGAATCGTGGATCTCTGTCTGATACGAGTTCACGGGGCAACCTATGAAGTCGGAAGATGGTGTCCGTAAAGACACAAGCACATCCACTTGCCGTGATTGTCTCTGGTACAGCCACAAGGTGTACCATTTTGCTGAATCTGTCAACAAATACGAGAATACCCGTATTCCCGCGTGCGTCGTTGGGTAACCCGAAGACAAATCCATTGAGATGGATTCCCAGCACTCTGTCGGAACTGGAAGAGGCTGTAAAGGTGCACGCAGTGAAGGACTTGACTTCACTCGTTGGCAGACTTCGCATGCGCGAACATACTTTCGCACGAACTGATACTGGCGGGGCCAGTAAAAGTCTCGACTCAGCGTGAGATATGTTTTCTCTCGGCCACGATGTCCTCCTATAGGAGCATCGTGATACTCGAACATGATCTGCAAACGCAGATCAGTATCATCTGGAATGACAACACGTGGTGTGTCACCAGAAACGGCTGTATAATACAGTAAACCGTTACGAGTAGTGTATCGATCGGATGCAGATTGACGCGCAGACGATAATCGCTTCAACGATTCTCGGGATGGTTGGGAGAGATGTGTCAACAACTTCACAATCTCACCATCTTGGGCATACGCCCGCCTCACATCATCATGTAACGTTGAAGATGGTATTGTGGACGTCATAACCGCAACAGTGACTGTCTCACTGTTGGGTTTCGCGACTGTTTCAAAGTCGGGACGACGTGAGAGTGCATCAGCGACGACATTAAGTCGTCCTGGTTTGTACTCGACCGTAAAGTTGTATTCCGCAAAGAATGACAACCACCGCGCCATTCGTTGTGAAAGGTGCGGGCTGTTTACTGCCGTGCATAATGACGCATGGTCAGTGTAAACAATGAAGGGTCTATCTCCTAATAGATAGACTCTGAACTTCGCGAGTGCATACTTCATGGCAAGGAGTTCCTTGTCATGCACTGGATAGTTCCGCTCAGCTGGTTGCAGCTGACGCGACTGATAGCAGACGACGCGTTCAACGCCTTCAAGATCGTACTGCATTAATGCACAGCCGATTGCAAAATCGCTGGCATCACAGACCACATGAAATGGCCTGTCTTGATCGGCTATTGCTAGGACTGGGGATTGTATCAAGCTCTGCTTGATACCATCAAAGGAGCGTTGACATTCAGCGTTCCATGACCACCTCTCGTTCTTTTTCAACAAACGAGAGAGGTGTACAGTCATCTCGGCGTAATTGCGTGAATACTTATGCAAATACGCCGCTAGCCCAAGGAATTTTCGAAGACCTTTGACATCGACCGGCACAGGCCAGTCGGTGATCGCCTTGATCTTTTCGGGATCAGGACGTACACCGTTCTTACCAATGATGCACCCAAGAAGTGGTATTTCGCTTGCTGCGAATATACACTTCTTGAGGTTAGCATACAATTGATGCTTTCGCATGATTGTAAGAACTTGTCGGACGTGGTAACTGTGAACCTCAACGTCCGACTTTCCATCCATAGCCCGACTGTGGATGAATACGTCATCGAAATAACTCGGCGCGAATTCTCGTACTGGTCTCAACAGATGTGATACACATCTGTTGAACGTGGCAGGGGCATTACGAAGCCCTTGTGGCATTACTAGCCACTCCCAGATCATGCCGCTAGGCGTGCTAACTGCGGTATAGGGTATATCCCGTTCCCGCATAAGGATTAGATAGAAGCCATCCATCAAATCCATGGACGAAAAGATGGTACTTTTTGACATACCATCAATGATTACGTCCTTCCTCGGTATCGGCGTCTGAGCCGGTACCGTTGCAGCATTCAACTTGTTAAATGCATGCACTATCCGCCACCCTCCTGTTGCTTTTCGCACACAGAAGGTCGGAGAGCTATGTGGGGAAGTTGATTCCCTCACATGGCCCGCAGCTAAACGATCGGCAAAGAACTTGTCGATCGCAAGTACTTGTTCACGAGGCAGTGGCCACTGCTTCATGACACAGTACTTCGAGCTTGGTTTAAGCTCGACCTCGTGTCGAATACCTTTATCCTTCGGTAATTCGCACGGAACAGTTTCAGGGAATACATCCTTGAATTCAACCAAATCTTCATAGAGAGGATTTTTCTTGAGCGATTCCCACGATTGGGAGTCATATCGCTCAATTCGTGTCTTTTCATCGAGGACACTCTCGTCCATCGATGAACTACTGAGAACTCTCTCGTTCTCAGTAAACATTGTTGCTGACCTTATGTCGGTTACACACTCGTCGTCAGCGACGAGTATGCAGATCTGCTTGACTTTGCCACTACGCAGATCACGCAAGAACCTTTTATGATCGAGCGTTGGCAACTGAGTGATCTCCGAAGTCAACTTCGGAGGCGCAATCAGATCAAGTGTATAAGCGCCTACACTTGATCCGTTATTGACTATGACATTCAATGTCTCTGTCATTTCCTGGGGACTTATTCCCTCAGGCTTCGAAGGACTTATTCCTTCGGCTTCCCGGGGACTTACTCCCGCGGGTTTCGGGGAACTGATTTCCATCGTATCTGTAATATCGGGTCTTGTTCCCTTATCTTTCTCTAGCTGGGGTTGAGCAACCACAGCGAGATCCTCTACGAAAGACTCTCCAGTCGATCTAGGATTATCGTTTCGCTTAACCTGAGCGATCGATTGTTTCTCTTCTAGATGTTCCCCGCTAGGGATACATCTTTGTCCCAGTCCACCAGACTTATTCGAGTGGTGGACCTTCGGCGCAGCCTGTGTTTCCTCACAGCCGCCGGAACTTTGCTCCGAAGTATAACCGTTTGGTACACTAAGGTTTTGTGCAGTCGTACTAACGACCGTACCACAAGTGAGGCCATCGCACTCACTCGTAGTACATCCACACGCTTGTGGACGCTCCAAAACGTTCATCAGATGGCCATCTGATGAACAAGCGGCAGGTATCGTTACTGTCCGATGTTGCCAGTTTACCCGTGGTTCGTACCTTCTGAGCCACGGTATTCCAAGGATGACATCAAATTTGTCATCCAAATCCAATACGATAAAGTCATCGTCATATCGCGTATCTTCTAGCGTATAGTGGATCTTCACTATACGCTTCATGACGGTTACGGATGCGCCTGTCGCAAGACGTACCGTCATCCTCGTAGGAGGTGTGTCACATTCACTGAACTTAAAGTGACCATCTTCTAGCGATTGGCGTCGCACAAAATTGTTGGACGCCCCACAATCGACTAGAGCTCGAAGGGACAACTTATTCGTCACTTCGAGCTTCAAGGTTGCGAGTGAGATCTCATTACCTAGAGCAGCAACGCACAACGTTTGTGTGTTGGGAGCAACCTTCATCAAGAGGCCTACAAATTCTCTTGACGTTGCTGGACCGATAGGGTGCTCCGCACCTACTGATCCTGTCCGTTTTTTGACGGTCCATCCCGTTGTTGCGTCTTTGCACCAGCTGCGGACCCTCGTCCCTGCCCCTTTCTCATGGGTGGACGGTCACTACGCCCAGTGTTGCAAGACACTGGAGAATAGCACTACACTCTTAAGCGTAGTGTCCTGTCTTTTGACATCTGTTGCATCTCTGCAACTTCTTGTAGTCTGTAGAGCGAGCCTTCTCACTCTCTACATAACGGAGTTCCATCGGCTCTGGACCTCCGTTGTCATATCGTCTCGGTTGACGATATGATGTCGAGCTGGCGCGAGCCTGTCTCAGACTGAAGTCTTCCTGTTCCGCAATGGAAATGGCTTGTTCTAGGGAAAACAGTTCAAGCCGGAACAGGTGAGTCTTGACGGGACCATCCGCAAGACCCTGCATGATCACCGAAACCAACGTGTGTTCATCCACCGGATTGGAACTTATACAACTCGTAAGATGTCGTATATGTTGGGCGTAAGCGTGCACATCACGCTTACCCTGTTTGAGCTTCAAGAGTTCGGTTCGAGCCCTGAACTCAGCTCTAGGCGGTTCAAACGTTTGTCTGAGCCGCGACTTAAAGACTTCTAACGACCCAAACGCATATGGGTCGTGCAACTTGAGCCCCAAAGCCCAAGTCTTGGCACGTCCTGCCAGATTTGACTGGGCAAATGCAACTTGCATTTCCCCGTCGTCGATGCGACGCGCCCTTATGGCGTCATCCAACTCGACGAACCATCTCAAGAGGGAGTCTTCTTCGACCCCCCTATACTTTGAGATGTCAATCTTCAAGGTCTCGGGTCGACGCGAGTGCATCGACCCACCAGCAGCAGCCTGCTGCTGTCTCAACAGTTCAAACTGTTGAGCACCCTGTTCTCTCAACAACTCTGATTGTCGAGAACCTTGTTGGTGAAGCAAGGCTACTCTCTCGCGTTCAGCGTCAAGTTCATTTTGAATGAACTTGGCGATAGTAGCATGTTGGGCATCTCGATTGAGAGAATCTAGTATGACGCTAACAGCATGGATGCCCATGGCTGAACCCATCCGTTCAACCGCATCCCATTCGACATCGCTCAAATGGGAGTAGCCGTCACGCGTAGCTTGAAAGCTTTGGTCATCATCATCATCTAACATATTCATGTTAGATGTAAACGTGGTCTTTAGGTGGACTACGAAGAGCTACCAGGTGTAACGGGGCACCCTCAAGCTTGTGCTGATGACAGTACAAGCTACTTATTCTGATGACAGAATGAGGCGGTGCCGCGTAAATTCACGTACGCTGGTACGTGCATAAGGAAGACGGTAAGAAGAAGCGAGTACTTGGTTAGAGTAAAAAGTAGAACTGTATTTATAATAGTTAATGTCTGCAATAAATCACTATTTATCTTCATCTAACTATGTCTAAATACAAATGTGTAAATCAGTTATCTGCTCACCACTCATTGCGTGCGTCTGTCGTGGCGCGTCTTCGTTGGTTGATATAATGGCCTATATCAACCAATTAGGAACTACTTGTAAGTGCAACATAATATTTGTCCTTATGACAGTATTCTGAGAATATAACTCTTATAGTTATATTCTATTAACAATTTCTTATAAATTGTTATGCAACGATTCACCCCGTTACACGTACACTGGTGCGTGCAGAGGAAGACGGTAAGGAGAAGCGAGTACCGGGGGTAAAGTAAAAAGTAGAACTGTATTTATCACAGTTAATGTCTGTTAATAAACCACTATTTATCCTCATCTAACTATATCTAAATACAAATGTGTATATCAACTATCTGCTCACCACTCATTGCGTGCGTCTGTCGTGGCGCGTCTTCGTTGGTTGATATAATGGCCTATATCAACCAATTAGGAACTACTTGTAAGTGCTGTAGAATATTTGTCCTTATGACAGTATTCTGAGAATATAACTCTTATAGTTATATTCTATTAACAATTTCTTATAAATTGTTATGTAACGATTCACCCCGTTACATTCCCCCTTCACCATCAGTCACTTTAGTGACTGATTGACTAAATGGATACTCGTTCCAAATCATTTGGGACAGGGTTTGCACTTGTTGGTCCGAGTCCACATTCCAACGTCTCATCGCATGGTTAACAAGTCCATGCGGTGCGCGAACAAGGCCGCTGAGAGCGCGTCTGCACGTCTCTGTGCATACGCCGAAGCAGAAACAACAGCAACTGATGTCCCATCGGTTGCTGAAGCGTCTCAGCCTGTGTCACTTGGTGATGCAGGCGCTCGTCGTGATAACACTCATGTCTTCACAGAGTATGAGCCCGGTGTCTCGTACTCTCCTGATACGGATGCCGGATCTGCATCGAAGGCGGTTGAAACCAAACCGCCTGCCAAGCGTGGCATGGATGATGCTACGCGTCGTAGCATCTTTGGGTCGTCTGACGAATCAGACGAACCATCGCCAAAGCGAAGGCGCTCGAGATCGCAAGACTCATGCGCTCACAGTGGTGTCGGTTCTCCAATTGAAACCACTTTGCAACGAGTTGCCAGTACTTCTGTCGGCACATCGCAGGAAGATCGGGATCGTAATGTCTTGCGTCTCGCTCCTGAGAAGAAGGCATGGATGCCTCCTAAATCAGTCATGGATCACTTGTCGGCGACGACGAGTGATCGTTATCGAACACGGTTGTTCGATTCATCAAGGATCCATCACCTTAACCCCAGTGCGAAAAACTATCGCAATAAACACGAGTTCTTCATCGATGCTTTCTTATTCATCGATGGTACAGTGGGAATTACAAACGTGATGGTACCCCTCACTGCTTCAAGCGTGGAACGCTTATATCCATAACCTTGAGGATGTAGGTCGTGACGTTTGGAACGACAAACTTATCAAAGCTCGTGATAAGTTTGAGAAGAGAACCCCGACAGGTGCACGCTATAAGCTGCATCGTCTGTCTAAGATGGGTGGGTTACCCTGTCTCTCCTGGGGAGACTCGTGCCCATGTTGTGTGAACAACTCTGCGCGCGCACATAAGGAGGCCTACCTCCTTACTAGCCCGTGGTGGCGCGTACGTATCTCTACTGAGATGTACGAAGGGATTGACAACTTGAAATCCCTTGATGACCGTGTCGGGAAGACTTTCTCCGGCGGTCCTTCTGCGGCACAGGATGTGCCGCGTCGCACTGCTCAACCAGACCCAGTACATCAATCATCAGTTGGGAGCGGGGCTCCCAAGAATCCCAGGACGGGGGATAACCGCGCCACCGGACGAGGTAACTCGTTCGACGTCCGTTCATATCGCGGTGGTTCAACAGCCGCTCAACCAGATAGTGCTGGCCACCGCGAGAGTCCTCTAATGGAGGTGGAGGAGGAGGAAAGACGCTCTCCACACAATCATGTGGATCGGTGTGTTCCCGAGAGCTTCTTTGATCGCGTAACTCTTGCGTTACGCGGCGACCTCGAGCATGAGCGGGACAGGCGTCTTCAACTGGCGGACACTGTCTTGAAGCATCGAGCTGAGTTTGCTTTTGCTCAGCTTGAGAACGAGAGATCTCTGACATCTCTGCGTGACGAGCTAAGGGTAGCTCGTGGGATTGTTGATCGGTCTCGGGCTGAGATAGCTGCTCTTCAGACCCTAGTCGATATCCACCATCGGGAGCACAAGGCTCTCTGTGTGAGATGCTTGAGCGCAAGGGCGTTCTTCATTGGAAGAAGCAGCGTACTGATGGTACTGCTTAAGCCGACCAACGTAAAACGTGGGATGCGTTCGCATCTTACGTGGCAGTGCGATCGTGTATGCATTGCCTAGGCGGTGCAATACACGAAAAGGGCCGATGTACTTGGGTAGTAGTTTACTGCTACCCAAGTTAGTCACTACATGCTTTGGTAGATTAACCGTAGACAGTAGGACTAAGTCACCTTTATTAAATAAAAGATTGTTTGCCCTTCCATTCTTGTCAGCGTTTTGCTTTTGCTTATCCACCGCTTCGGCGATGGAGTCTTGCACAAAACGGACTACCGTTTCACGAGCCAGTATGAACTCATCTGCTGACTCGTTAGCTTCAGTGCGCTGTGAGTGCACTGCAGCAACACCAATCTTTTCTTCAGTGAGGGCTTCCGCACTCTCACTGGCATCATCTTCTTCGATATCGATGTTATCGATATCGGCATCAAACGCAATGACCTCATCGTCAGAGCATGATGAGCGTTAACCAAATCGTTTTTTGCTCGCGCGAGTCTCCCCCCCCTTAGACCAGAGTTACACTCGAGTAAGGTGGGTACACGAGGATGGCGCAAGCCATTCACGTAAAACGGTGTATGTGTCGTGGATGCATGCACCGAGTTGTTAATGGCAAACTCTACCATTGGCAAAAACTCACTCCAACTCTTACAGGGGGTGTACGTATCCTCGAATTATCTCTTCGAGGACACGATTGGCAAATTCCGTCTGACCATCTGACTCGGGATGATCAGATGTCGACATCTTCAAGCGCGTTCCGAGTGATTTGAACACGGAGCGCCAGAAATCAGCAGTGAATCGTGGATCTCTGTCTGATACGAGTTCACGGGGTAACCCATGAAGTCGGAAGATGGTGTCCGTAAAGACACAAGCACATCCACTTACTGTGATTGACTCTGGTACAGCCACTAGATGTACCATTTGCTGAATCTGTCAACAAATACGAGAATACCCGTATTCCCGCGTGCGTCGTTGGGTAACCCGAAGACGAAATCCATTGAGATGGATTCCCAGCACTCAGCCGGAACCGGTAGAGGCTGTAAAGGTGCACGCAGTGAAGGACTTGACTTCACTCGTTGGCAGACTTCGCATGCGCGAACATACTTTCGCACAAACTGATACTGGCGGGGCCAGTAAAAGTCTCGACTCAGCGTGAGATATGTTTTCTCTCGGCCACGATGTCCTCCTATAGGAGCATCGTGATACTCGAACATGATCCGCAAACGCAGATCATTATCATCTGGAATGACAACACGTGGTGTGTCACCAGTAACGGCTGTATAATACAGTAAACCGTTGCAAGTAGTGTATCAATCTGATGCAGATCGATACGCAGACGACAATCGTTTCAACGATTCTCGGGATGGCTGTGAGAGATGTGTCAACAAATTCACAATCTCACCATCTTGGGCATACGCCCGCCTCACATCATCATGTAACGTTGAAGATGGTATTGTGGACGTCATAACTGCAACAGTTACTGTCTCACTGTTGGGTTTCACGACTGGTTCAAAGTCGGGACGACGTGAGAGTGCATCAGCGACGACATTAAGTCGTCCTGGTTTGTACTCGACCGTAAAGTTGTATTCTGCAAAGAATGACAACCACCGCGCCATTCGTTGTGAAAGGTGCGGGCTGTTTACTGCCGTGCGTAACGACGCATGGTCTGTGTAAACAATGAAGGGTCTATCTCCTAATAGATAGACTCTGAACTTCGCGAGTGCATACTTCATGGCAAGGAGTTCCTTGTCATGCACTGGATAGTTCCGCTCAGCTGGTTGCAGCTGACGCGACTGATAGCAGACGACGCGTTCAACGCCTTCAAGATCGTACTGTATTAATGCACGGCCGATTGCGAAATCGCTGGCATCACAGACCACATGAAATGGCCTGTCCTGATCGGCAATTGCTAGGACTGGGGATTGTATCAAGATCTGCTTGATACCATCAAAGGAGCGTTGACATTCAGCGTTCCATGACCACCTCTCGTTCTTTTTCAACAAACGAGAGAGGTGTACAGTCATCTCGGCGTAATTGCATGAATACTTTTGCAAATACGCCGCTAGCCCAAGGAATTTTCGAAGACCTTTGACATCAACTGGCACAGGCCAGTCGGTGATCGCCTTGATCTTTTCGAGATCAGGACGTACACCGTTCTCACCAACGATGCACCCAAGAAGTGGTATTTTGCTTGCTGCAAATTTACACTTCTTGAGATTGGCATACAATTGATGCTTTCGCATGATTGTAAGAACTTGTCGGACGTGGTAACTGTGAACCTCAACGTCCGACTTTCCATCCATAGCCCTACTGTGGATGAATACGTCATCGAAATAACTCGGCGCGAATTCTCGTACTGGTCTCAACAGATGTGATACACATCTGTTGAACGTGGCTGGGGCATTACGAAGCCCTTGTGGCATTACTAGCCACTCCTAGAGCATGCCGCTAGGCGTGCTTACTGCGGTATAGGGTATATCCCGTTCTCGCATAAGGATTTGATAGAAGCCATCCATAAAATACATGGACGAAAAGATAGTACTCTTTGACATGCCATCGATGATTACGTCCTTCCTCGGTATCGGCGTCTGAGCCGGTACCGTTGCAGCATTCAACTTGTTAAATGCATGCACTATCCGCCACCCTCCTATTGCTTTTCGCACACAGAAGGTCGGAGAGCTATGTGGGGAAGTTGATTCCCTCACATGGCCCGCAGCTAAACGATCGGCAAAGAACTTGTCGATCGCAAGTACTTGTTCACGAGGCAGTGGCCACTGCTTCATGACACAGTACTTCGAGCTTGGTTTAAGCTCGACCTCGTGTCGAGTACCTTTATCCTTCGGTAATTCGCACGGAACAGTTTCAGGGAATACATCCTTGAATTCAACCAAATCTTCATAGAGAGGATTTTTCTTGAGCGATTCCCACGATTGGGAGTCATATCGCTCAATTCGTGTCTTTTCATCGAGGACACTCTCGTCCATCGATGAACTACTGAGAACTCTCTCGTTCTCAGTAAACATTGTTGCTGACCTTATGTCGGTTACACACTCGTCGTCAGCGACGAGTATGCAGATCTGCTTGACTTTGCCACTACGCAGATCACGCAAGAACTTTTTATGCTCTAGCGTTGGCAACAGAGTGATCTCCGAAGTCAACTTCGGAGGCGCAATCAGATCAAGTGTATAAGCGCCTACACTTGATCCGTTATTGACTATGACATTCAATGTCTCTGTCATTTCCTGGGGACTTATTCCCTCAGGCTTCGAAGGACTTATTCCTTCGGCTTCCCGGGGACTTATTCCCGCGGGTTTCGGGGAACTTATTTCCGCCGTATCTGTAATATCGGGTCTTGTTCCCTTATCTTTCTCTAGCTGGGGTTGAGCAACCACAGCGAGATCCTCTACGAAAGACTCTCCAGTCGATCTAGGATTATCGTTTCGCTTAACCTGAGCGATCGATTGTTTCTCTTCTAGATGTTCCCCGCTAGGGATACATCTTTGTCCCAGTCCACCCGACTTATTCGAGTGGTGGACCTTCGGCGCAGCCTGTGTTTCCTCACAGCCGCCGGAACTTTGCTCCGAAGTATAACCGTTTGGTACACTAAGGTTTTGTGCAGTCGTACTAACGACCGTACCACAAGTGAGGCCATCGCACTCACTCGTAGTACATCCACACGCTTGTGGACGCTCCAAAACGTTCATCAGATAGCCATCTGATGAACAAGCGGCAGGTATCGTTACTGTCCGATGTTGCCAGTTTACTCGTGGTTCGTACCTTCTGAGCCACGGTATTCCAAGGATGACATCAAATTTGTCATCCAAATCCATTACGATAAAGTCATCGTCATATTGGGTACCTTCTAGCGCATAGTGGATCTTCACTATAAGCTTCATGACGGTTACGGATGCGCCTGTCGCAAGACGTACCGTCATCCTCGTAGGAGGTGTGTCACATTCACTGAATTTAAAGTGACCATCTTCTAGCGATTGGCGTCGCACAAAATTGTTGGACGCCCCACAATCAACTAGAGCTCGAAGGGACAACTTATTCGTCACTTCGAGCTTCAAGGTTGCGAGTGAGATCTCATTACCTAGAGCAGCAACGCACAACGTTTGTGTGTTGGGGGCAACCTTCATCAAGAGGCCTACAAATTCTCTTGATGTTGCTGGACCGATAGGGTGCTCCGCACCTACTGATCCTGTCCGTTTTTTGACGGTCCATCCCGTTGTTGCGTCTTTGCACCAGCTGCGGACCCTCGTCCCTGCCCCTTTCTCATGGGTGGGCGGTCACTACGCCCAGTGTTGCAAGACACTGGAGAATAGCACTACACTCTTAAGCGTAGTGTCCTGTCTTTTGACATCTGTTGCATCTCTGCAACTTCTTGTAGTCTGTAGAGCGAGCCTTCTCGCTCTCTACATAACGGAGTTCCATCGGCTCTGGACCTCCGTTGTCATATCGTCTCGGTTGACGATATGATGTCGAGCTGGCGCGAGCCTGTCTCAGACTGAAGTCTTCCTGCTCCGCAATGGAAATGGCTTGTTCTAGGGAAAACAGTTCAAGTCGGAACAGGTGAGTCTTGACGAGACCATCTGCAAGACCCTGCATGATCACCGAAACCAACGTGTGTTCATCCACCGGATTGGAACTTATACAACTCGTGAGATGTCGTATATGTTGGGCGTAAGCGTGCACATCACGCTTACCTTGTTTGAGCTACAAGAGTTCAGTTCGAGCCCTGAACTCAGCTCTAGGCGGTTGAAACGTTTGTCTGAGCCGCGACTTAAAGACTTCTAACGACCCAAACGCATATGGGTCGTGCAACTTGAGCCCCAAAGCCCAAGTCTTGGCACGTCCTGCCAGATTTGACTGGGCAAATGCAACTTGCATTTCCCCGTCGTCGATGCGACGCGCCCTTATGGCGTCATCCAACTCGACGAACCATCTCAAGAGGGAGTCTTCTTCGACCCCCCTATACTTTGAGATGTCAATCTTCAAAGTCTCGGGTCGACGCGAGTGCATCGACCCACCAGCAGCAGCCTGCTGCTGTCTCAACAGTTCAAACTGTTGAGCACCCTGTTCTCTCAACAACTCTGATTGTCGAGAACCTTGTTGGTGAAGCAAGGCTACTCTCTCGCGTTCAGCGTCAAGTTCATTTTGAATGAACTTGGCGATAGTAGCATGTTGGGCATCTCGATTGAGAGAATCTAGTATGACGCTAACAGCATGGATGCCCATGGCTGAACCCATCCGTTCAACCGCATCCCATTCGACATCGCTCAAATGGGAGTAGCCGTCACGCGTAGCTTGAAAGCTTTGGTCATCATCATCATCTAACATATTCATGTTAGATGTAAACGTGGTCTTTAGGTGGACTACGAAGAGCTACCAGGTGTAACGGGGCACCCTCAAGCTTGTGCTGATGACAGTACAAGCTACTTATTCTGATGACAGAATGAGGCGGTGCCGCGTAAATTCACGTACGCTGGTACGTGCATAAGGAAGACGGTAAGGAGAAGCGAGTACTTGGTTAGAGTAAAAAGTAGAACTGTATTTATAATAGTTAATGTCTGTTAATAAACCACTGTTTATCCTCATCTAACTATATCTGAATACAAATGTGCATATCAACTATCTGCTCACCACTCATTGCGTGCGTCTGTCGTGGCGCGTCTTCGTTGGTTGATGTAATGGCCTATATCAACCAATTAGGAACTACTCGTAAGTGCTGTAGAATATTTGTCCTTATGACACTATTCTGAGAATATAACTCTTATAGTTATATTCTATTAACGATTCTTCTAAATTGTTATGTAACTATTCACCACGTTACATCAACCAAGGTTACCACCAATCGCTGCTAGGCGCGCGTGATGAGTGGTGAGCAGGTTGTTGTCATGCGACAATGTAGATTAATCTAGTAAGATAAAGACTGAAGTTATATTGATCGCTCAGCTATATTAAATACAGTTCTCTTATTAACTTTACTTAAACTAACATTTCGAATAGATTAGCTTCCTCTGCACGTACGATTGTACGTGAAGTTTCGTAGCAGCCCAAACAAATAGTGACCTGTTACACCTGGTATCACTTCGTAATCCGTATAACAGCTACGTAGTGTCCTCCCAACATAAACATGTTGGTCATAGAAGACGACAGCTTTCACGTCACACGTGAAGGCTAATCCCACCTGAGTGACTCAGAATAGGAAATAGTCGGCCGCATGAGTGCGCTTACAGGCGAACCCTCCATCAGTGACATGTTTGAGTATCTAAATCGATACCAACAACAAGCCGCTATATACAAGTTCCCACAAGGGGAAGTTGCTGTCAAAAAAAAGAAGATAGCCTTAGTAATAGGGCACCGTTTGTTTGGAGTGCAGCAAAACTTATCGTACACTAGTACGTGCAGAGGAAGCTAATCTACTCAAACCAATAGATTTAGTAAAGGTAAGAAGAGAACTGTATTTAATGCAGCTAAGCGATCAATATAACTTCAGTCTTTATCTAACTAAATTAATCTACATTGTCGCATGACGACAACCTGCTCACCACTCATCACGAGCGTCTAGCAGCTATTGGTGGTAACCTTTGTTGATGTGTCTCATATCAACCAATCTTTGGGCAGCACATGAATATTATCCTACAAGGGGATAATGTACCTTCAATATTATCCATCTTGGGTAATATTGGCAGAAAATTATCACGCTCATCAATCTTTTTATTGACACCGTTTTGCGTCAATATTATGTAACGGGCTACCCCGTTACATCACCTCCTCCTTAACCATCAATCACCTGTTGATTGAATCTAACTGATTGTGACAGGGTGACTACCGTCGGATCACTCTGGGAAGGGGAGCATTTTTTGGTCAAATTCCAACTCATAAGACAATCATCGCATGGTGTCAAAGTCCATGCGATGTGCTGCCGAAGCAGCAAGAAAAGCGGTTGCACGCATGCGTGCAGACGAAGAGACTTCTTGTCTTGCTTCAGAAGCAGGTGAAACTTTGCCTGCTGTTGCGATTCAGCAGCAGGCAGTTTCTGTTGTGAACAGTCCATGTGGTGAGTCACCACGTGCGACAGTTACATCCGCTGCATGTGTAGCGGGTACTGCAAATCGCAATGTAGATGATCCTGAAATAGAGATCATCGGTTCTGGCAAGTCTGATGATGCATCCGACTCGAAGGCGACACCTCTTGCCTCCGGATCATCCAGGGTCGATACTTTAAGAGCTAGGCTGACTGGCTTTGAGGATTGTGGCGGCATCATGCCAGAGATTTTCGGACCGAGCGATTTATCTGACGCATCCTTGTCTCACGCAAGTCCATCCGATGATAGGACGCGTGGTGATGGTGGTGATGCCCCTATGCATCACCACGAGAGAAGCAACTCGAAAGATCTAGTTGCCACTGGTGTCAGTGCTCGTGCTGACACCACACTAGAGGCCAGGGACCGCAATGTCCTGCGCCACGCTCCTCAAGTGGAGTCTCGTTGGGTGCCGTCATCCAAAGAGTTTAAGCAAGTTGCTGTTCCGACCACTTAACGGGATCGAATCCCGTTGTTCGACTGTGGAGGGTCTGTACTCCTAATTCTAGCACGAAAACTGTGCTGAGAAAGAATTTTCTTCACCGATGTGTTCTTCGAACATCGCTGGTACAATGTCAACCGTGGTCGAGAAGGTAAGGCCTTGGCGCAAGAATGTAATTGAGGTGAAGTGGCGATCGCTCATTTTATGAGTCGGTTCAAACTCTCCACTGGCGCCCGGACGACCGACTAACGGAGAGGGTACTCCGATTCCGTGTGTGTTGCCTTCCTCACCTTGTGTACCCGTCGGTAGGGCGGGTTGCACTCTTCCAGGTGGACTCGTGTCAAAGGAAAACTTTAGCGTGTTGGGGATGGGGTTGTGATCGTGCGGAAATCTTTACGCGATCATGGGGTACTTATGGGTACTGATATAAATTACCCTGATCTCAACGAGATCGCCTTGTCCACTATGCGGTTGCTTGATCCGCGAGTCTTCTGACCACTTGAGCCGTCTCGCGATCTTGCGCCTTGCCTTTACGTGTTTTGCTGCGTCCGATCGCAGTCGATGTTGCTTGAGAGTTCTTGAACACACCTGGCCAAAACAATCCAGGTGTGACACTTGCGTAGACGTGCAGCGCGAGTATTTATTCGACGGGGGGGGGCAAAGATCCTACCCGGAAGAGATAACGTGTGCCTTGTGAAGTAAATTGAACTCTTTATTACCCGGTTACCAAACAAATTAATTTTAATGGAATCACACAATGCCTGGCCAAACTATCCTGGAATTGATACGTCCTGATGACACGCGTTGTCCTTGACATCGGGAGGCCAATATACGTTCCTGCCCGGAACACCCTTGTATCTTGCGTAGACGAATCCAAGTCGAATTATTGATCACATGGTTACTAAGCGCATAAAATCACGTTGAGAGACGAGCCCTGGCCAATCGATCCAGAAGCAGATACTTCTAGCACGCGTGACAACATCTGTCTTCGGGAGGCCAAACATACGTTCCTGCCCGGAATGAAGTCTACGTGTGCCCTTTAATAAATTAAACTCTGTTTAATGCTAACCAACCAACCTAAACCCTACCCCTATGCCTATCCGTATTCCTAACCAGATGCCACGCGTCGCCTTTCCAGGAAGATCGTCCCCTCACATTTGTGTGGTCCACATCCAGTATGTCAGCAGTTGTATCTTCTTGTAGCCCACCCAGGATATCCCCATGACCCTGCTAACAGATCGTGATCCTACTAGCGTATCGTGGTCCTACTAGTGGATCGTGATCCAACTAGCGGATCGTGATACTACTAGCGGATCGCAGCTGAGATCGGACTTGCGATCCTGGGTAAGGATCGCGGTCTTCCAGTGAGATCGAGGGTCTTGTCTTGCCACGTCTCTTGACGGTTTGCGTAATCAAAACGGGTGTGACCGCCCTATCGCCTCGTCCCAGGCTGAACGATCCTGTCCTCTTGGGGTTTGGGTACGCTATTGACAGCCACCCGTCCCGGCCTGTATCCACCAATCATAGCACTGTTGGCTTAACTGAAGCGCGCGACCCGTGCGATCGCCGATCCAAGTCCCAATCGAAATTTCCTTGTAACCGCTTTGCCACAGGGCTAGTAGAAGTTGGGACTTACCGTGAGGTAAGTCTATCATCTACCGCGATGTCCACTTGTTGGGGCATCGTGACACTCATACAATGATGCTCAATCGCATATCATCATGAGCGGGAACGACGACACGAGGCGTGCGCAGGTGACAACTGTAGAGTACAGCAGTCCATCACGAACTAAACACCTTTCAGTTCAAGAGCAACCTTGAGACGTCAAGATTTTCAAATCTTGACTGCATTAATCAGACACGTAATTTTTCAATCGCAGAATAGACTCATCTTCTGCATATGCCTTCCGCACGCTGCCGAGAAGACTCGACAACGGAACGCTCACTGATAGTGTTGCAACAGTGGAATTATCCTTACTGTTGGGTCGAGTAGTTGGCTTCAAATCGGGCCGACGCGAAAGAGCATCAGCGACGACATTAATTGGCCCTGGTTTATACTCGACGAAGAAGTTGTAATCCGCGAAGAAAGGCAGCCACCTCGCCATTCGTTGCGAGAGGTGAGGACTGTTTACGGTCGTGCGCGATGACGCATGGTGGGTATGAACGATGAAGGGCCTATCTTCTAAGCGATATACCCGAAACTTAGCCAGTGCATATTTCATGACAAGGCGTTCCTTGCCATGCACTGGGTAAATACGCTCAGATGTTTGCTGCTGACGAGATTGATAACAGACGACGCGCTCAACGCCGTCTGAGTCATTCTGCACGAACGCGCAGCCGATTGCAAAATCGCTGGCGTCACGGACCACGTAGAATGGTCTGTCTTGGTCTGCAATCACCAACACAGGCTTTTGTGTCAAGCTTCTCTTGATGTCTTCGAAAGAGTGCTGAAACTCAGCGCTCCATGACCACCTCGATGTCAAGGAACTTTTGAAGACTCTTGACGTCGACACAGGCCAGTCGCTACTCGCCTTGATCTTTTCCGGATCAGGGCGTACGCCATTTTTACCCATGATGCAGCCAAGAAGTTGTATTTCGTTCACTGCTAATGTACACTTCTTGAGGTTCGTAAACAACTTGTTCTCTAGCAGCAGCATAAGAACCTTCCGGACGTGGATTCTATGGATATTTACGTCCGTCTTTCCATGCATAGACCAGCTATGGAAGAAGACATAGTCGAAGTAACTCAGTGCGAAATCGCGCACCGATCGCAACAGGTTCGTAGCACATCTGTTAAACGTTGCTGGGGCGTTACTAAGCCCTTGTGGCATCACTAGCCACTCCCAGAGCATACCACTAGGGGTGCTCACTGCTGTGTATGGAACGTCCCCTTCACGCATGAAGATCTGATAGAATCCATCCATCAGATCCATGGACGAAAAGACGGTGCTTTTTGCCATACCATCAATGATGAAGTCCTTCCTTGATATCGGTGTCAGAGCCAGTATTGTTGCAGTGCTCAATTTGTTGAGCGCGTGCACTGTCCGCAACCCTCCTGTGGCCATTCGCACACAGAAGGTTGGAGAGCTGTGTGGGGATGTTGATTCCCTCACATGACCAGCAGCTAAGCGATCGGCAAAGAATTTGTCGATCGCTGTGACATGTTCACAAGGCAGTGGTCACTGTTTCATGACACAGTATTTCGAACCAGGTTTCAGTTCGATCTCATGCCGAGTGCCATTGTCTTTGGGCAGCTCGCATGGTACGGATTCCGGTAAAACATCCCTATATTCCACCAAATCCTTAAACTAAGGATTTGTCTTTAGGGACTCCTAAGATTGAGACGTGTATCGCTCAATCCGAGTCTTCTCATCGAGGACAATCTCGTCCACCGATGAACTACTGAGAACCAGTCTGTTCTAAGCAAACACTTGTGCCGACCGAATTTTGGCGACGTACTCGTCCTCTGTGACGAGTACGCAGATCTGCTAGATCTTGTCACTACGCAGATCTCGCAAGAATCTTTTAGATTATAGCGTTGGCAACTTGACCACCTCCGAAGTTGACTTCGGGGGTGTAACCCGATTAAGTGTATAAGCGCCTACACTTGATCCGCCATTCACCAAGACATTCAAAGTCTCGGTGATTTCCTGGAAAACACATCTACTTTAGGTGAGTGGGGATCCACACCCTCTACGTAACTCTCTCGGGAGTTATCACTCTAGAAACGCTAGTACTTTCTTCCAATACGTGTACTGACTGTGGGTGTACTACCACAGTCACGTACTCTTCGATCGACTGTCTTTCAGTCGATCGGGATTGCTCTACAATCGGCTCTCTGATAGTCGATCTCGCCGTAACGTGTTGTTCGTCCTGAACAACACTAATGGCTCTTCTTGGATGCATCCTTCGTGGTGTGCATCCTTGTTCAAGTCCACTCGATCTCTTCGAGTGGTGTACCTCCGGCACAGCCCGTGTCTCTACACAGGTGCCGGAAGCTGGTTTCACAGTGTAGTGGCCTTCTACACTGTTGCAGTCTTACTAACAACCGTACCACAAGTGAGGCCATCGCACTCACTTGTAGTACATGCACACGCTTGTGGACGCTCCAAGACGTTCATAAGATGGCCATCTGATGAACAGACGGCAGGTATCGTCACGGATCGATGTTGCCAGCTAACCCATGGTTGGTACTTTCTAAGCCATGGCAGACCGAGGATGACATCAAATCCTTCATCCAAATCTAATACGGTAAAGTCACCATCGTACTGCTTTCCTTCTAGCGTGTAGTGGATTCCTACTACGCGTTTGTTCACTATACGAATGCGCCTGTAGCAAGGCACACCGCCATCCTTGTTGGAGGAAACTCTCGCTCAACATAGTTGAGTCTACTATCCCTTAGCGACTGGCGTCGAAAAAAAATCTACTCGATGCCCCACAGTCAACTAGGGCGCACAGTGACATTCCACTTGTCACTTCGATCTATAAAGTGATGAGGGACACCTCATCACTAGGGGCAGTAACACACACTTATTGTGTGTTGGGAGCAATCTTGGCCTGATTCCTGCAAATTCTCTTGACGTTGCTGGATCAGCAGGGTGCTCCACCCCTACAGACCCTGACCGTTTTTTGACGGTCCGACTTGCTGTCGTGGTTTAGCGACATGCTCTGACCTGCGCCTTGGACCATTCCTCGGCCAACGGCGGTCATCATGTCCTGTCTTTGGACGTGATGCGTTGCTTGGGACACTACACTCAGGATCGTAGTGCTAAATCTTCTGACATCGATAGCATCTTGCCGTTCGCTTGTGACTCAGAGAGCGAGATTTCTCGCTCTCGATGTTACAGAGGTCCATCGGTTTGGAACCCCCTGTTTTCTGTTGCCTCGTCGGACGATAGTGTGACGAGTTAGCCTGAGACTTTATCAGGATAAAGTCCTCTTGTTCCGCATACGCTATCACCTTTTCCAGTGCATGGAAGTCCTCTCGGAACGTGTAGATCTTGACCGATCCATCTTCTAGACCGTAAATGAACACGTTGATGAGTGAGAGCTCATCGACGCGGCTTTCGAGACGCTAATCGCAAGGTAGCGGAGATGTTGTGCGTAAGCGTGCACATCACGCTTACCTTGCTTTAGCCTCAAGAGTGCAGAGCGTGCTCTGAACTCGGCTCGTGGCGGCTCAAACGTCTCTTTGAGCCGAGACTTCCTGATCTCTAACGACTCAAACACGTTTGGGTCGTGAAGCTTGAGCCCTAAGGCCCAAGGCTTTGCTCGTCCCGTCAAATTTGACAGGGCGAAGGTGACTTGAATCTCGCCACCCTCGATGTGACGGGCCCTGATGGCGTCGTCTAACTCGACGAACCATCTCAAAAGGGAATCTTCATCAATTAGCTTGTACCTTAAGATATCTATCTTCAAGGTTTCTGGTCAACGCGTGTGCGTCGGCCCGCCCATCGACTGATGAGAGCCTTGCTGTTGTAGCAAGCTGTAACGGGGTAGCCCAATACATAATATTGACGCAAAACGGTGTCAGTAGAAAGATTGTCGAGCGTGACGATTTCCTGCCAATATTACCCAAGATGGATAATATTGAAGGTACATTATCCCCTTGTATGATAATATTCATGTGCTGCCCACAGATTGATTGGTATAAGACACATCAACAAAGATTACCACCAATCGCTGCTAGACGCTCGTGATGAGTGGTGAGCAGGTTGTCGTCATGCGACAATGTAGATTAATCTAGTTAGATAAAGACTGAAGTTATATTGATCGCTTAGCTGTATCAAATACAGTTCTCTTCTTACCTTTACTTAATCTATTGGTCTGAGTAGATTAGCTTCCTCTGCACGTACTAGTGTACATGAAGTCTCGTGGCACACTGAGCAAAGAGTGACCTGTTACACACCGTACGTGCAGAGGGAGGCTAGCTAGTAAACGAAGCATTCAATAGGAGTAGGAATTAAATTATTTTATATAAATACCCTGATTACAAGCACCTATGTTTAGTCCTAACCTTTTCACACCTTTCAACAGAAGTGTATGAAAAGTCGTGCTCACCACTCATTGCGTGCGTCCATCGTTGATTGGTCCCCAAGAGCTGACTGATACGATGGCCCATATTAGCCGATCGGCGAGTGCTTTGGAATTTTATTCTTTACGGTCATACCCACGAACATTATCAACCTTTATAACAACTATCTTATCAACATGTTTTAAGGTTAATTACATGTAACAGTCTCACCCTGTAACACTGTACACTGGTCATTTATGTCGAAAACACGACTATGTCAAAAATGCGATCCGAACGCATGATATCCCATAAACAAATGGGAAAGAGAAGTGTAAATGGTGCTACCACAATCCGGTAATTAATAACCTGTGAAAAATGATTCGCTTGTATTTCCGCCGAGACTAAATCTAGCAGATGGAGGACTGTGTGGACATTTATAGAGCTGACTTCCTTTCTCTTTAGAATAGAATATCGATGGTTTCGCGTGCTTCTAACTTTAAATACACACACTTTGAATGCCTATTCCGGAAAGAACTTTACCTATATTAACTCGTACGTTCGATAGAGTAATGCGCTAACTCTAAACAAACGTTCTTTAAAATTGCGCACTTAAGCCACGCCTTTGCACCCTCTGGTGAATTTAGATCAATGTGATGGGACGCAGCAATTCCGCGATGCAAGATGAGACTTTCGATTACTTGACGCCGGTCAGTCACTTATATCTCTGTCGTTCACCACGCACTTCCATTTATTTGGGGCCGCGAAGTCACTGTCAAGCGTAATAATCGCCAAGGCATCACAAGAGTTGCGAGCTAATAGTATAATTCTGTAGCTCTCGATACGTAGAGACTGACGATTGCCATTTCGGACCATGTCGAGCCACGTGTTGCAAGGACAATGCGTCCTGGTGGGGCACTCGCCCCTACCGCCGCTATAATCCACTACATCGCAAGTGAAGGCAGCAATTACTACTACAGATACCACGTTAACCCCCTCAACGAGAGCTATCTTGATCACATCCAAACACAAACGCTAGCGATAAATTCACTGCACCACGGTCAATGTGGCCGCCCTTGACTCTTTGCCTACCGCTGCGTCTACGTGTACACTGCACGCCCAACTAAACTCGAAGGTATTCAGTACTAGTCTTTAGTTGCAAAAGATGCGATATGACGATCACATAGCGCAAGCGTGCTACTCAGCGTTCTTCTCGATCTTCAGAGAAACGCAAAAGTGTGTCGCGACACAACTTCACCACGTCGTGAGGCTACAATAACTTCGTTGCATGCCTTTCCGTTATTCTCTATGCATAGAATTGTGTGTTGACCCGTTGCGATAACTCGGTATAGTTATGAATGTAACAAGTCCTTCATTTGCTCAACAGCTAGAGCAGAAGGTCTGGACTTCGTATTGTGTAGGCAACCTGGGCTGCAGTCGGGCGCACAGCAGGATCCAAACTCATGCACTTTCTTGAAAGCTCCTGCAAGTTCTGAGGGCACGAAGAAGATAATGAGACTTGCAACTTGCCAGACGAGATGCCCTGAAGGATGGTCATGTCGTTAAGTGGAGCGCCTGTGCCGCGACTCTTGGCGCTCGAGAAAGGTAGCTCGTGTGTGTCCAATTCGGAGAGGATCACTCCAAACGAGTATATATCGACAGCTTCTGTATACTCTCTGTCTCCACGAACAATTTCAGGAGCAAGCCATCTGGTCGTGCCTACGCCAGCAGTCATGTCTTTCGATCGCTTTGTCGCCGACTCGCCAAAGTCCCCTAGCTTTGCACCCTTGTTAGAGTCCAACAAAATATTCCGGGACTTTAGGTCACGGTGAATGATGACAGGGTTCAATGAGTGGAGGTACACGATTGCGTCTATTGTGTCGCGGGCGTAGCGCAATTTTGAACCTTCTTCCCACGGTAGGCATTTCGAGGCGTTCTTTTCCAACAGAGTGCGTAAGTCTCCGCCATCCATATACTCGATAACGGCAAGCATGTCAACCAACCTCGTCCAAGCAACACCCACAAACAAAACAATTTTAGGGTGCTCAAGCCACGCCATCAGCTTAATTTCGCGCAAGAAAGCTTCACTAGTCGCTAAGGACACTTTTTCTTGAATCAGTTGCTTGACAGCTACTCGCTCGTGACGGTATTGACCCATCCATACTTCACCAAACGCACCCTGGGCAATCTTTCGTATAAGTGTCACGCTATCAAAGTCGATGCGCCACGTCACAAGCACAGGATCGTTGGATGGAAACAGCTTATCAACTGCCTCCATCTCTCTCTGATAGCCAGCGCGAGCTGCCTGGTCGAAAAACAGAGGCGTCTTCTCGTGGATACCGTTGCGGTGCCGCTTTTTTAGCCACCGTCCGATGTATTCGTAGACAGCTCGAGCAATGCCACCGACCACACCAAGTGAAATAAGAGCAATGACGCCTCCAACGATACCAGCCACCACGAAGACGACGATTGCTGCGACGATATACTTTTTTGTTGTGTCGCTAAGGGTTGGCACCGCCACGTGTACTGTTGCTGGCATCATGGGTTCCTCCACATTGTCAAAACCGCGATCCAGTGAGACACTGTCTACGTCTTTTCCCGCCGCTAAGTCCAATTGACACACTCCATTTCCTTGCAGATAAAGCAACGACCCGGTAGTGCATGACAATACATTCGCAAAGGTGGCTTGGAAATCCGACAAACCAGCAAAAAAGTCGTACTGTGCTGCCGACACAGCAGCAATCTCAAACTCGTTCGCTGAAATCGTAACGGTGTCCAACTGAGACGAGACAAAGATGGCGTCAGGAAAACCGACAAGGGCGTTCGATGATAAATCACTGGTCGAGACACGACGAAATCGAATATTGTTACAACAGGAAATGACAAGGATGGATTGTGGTACCCACAAAACTTACAGCGATGTCAGTCGGGGGAGCGACACATCGTAAAATTCGAGACGATTGTGCGAAGCGTTGCTGATATGGTCGTGCAAGCAGATACGGTTACGACTGCTTCGAAAATTATACGAAAAAGGAAACAAACCCACAGCTTTCGTATGTCCCTTGAGGCACTCAGTATTCCTTCGAACGATCTCAATTGATTTTCGGCCAAGTTTCTGCATGCAATACAAGTGCGTCAGCATACCAAACCAAGTGACATTGCAAAAGGGAGGTACGAAGACGTACAGTTCTTGCACGTTCTCCAGTGCTCGCACTTCTTCTGGGATGACATGCAAGTTGCACCTGATCAGATGCCTACAGAGTACGCATGTAGAGGCGTTAGTAGTACATTTTATGCGTGCGTACACTTACATTTCCCGTCGTACAAATTTTGAACCGACTGCGGTAGATCAAGTCTTCCAGCGTTGCTGAGGTCCCAGTTTTCCAACGTACTGGAATTCGAAAAAACACGATCGAATACTCAATTGAAGTCAATACAAACCGAGTAGGACGTCGACTCTTTTTAGTATCAAATCTACGCGTTTGTTACGTACACGTCTGTGAAATTGTCGTCTGGTCGGAAAAGTCTCCCGAAGGATTCCAAGACACCTCCATCTCCCCGGAAACTGAAGGAGCTACCGATCACGTTCGGGTAGTACGATGAGGAGGAATCTAGCGATGGACCAAGCGCCAAAGGTTTCATCGTGTCGCGAGAAATGTCAGTTGTCAAAAGGGTGAAGTCGCATCGAGGCCTTGATTTATGCTCTAAGTACGGATGCAGAACCGCTTTTTAGGAGCGTCGATGTTATTTGCTAACTCAAATGCGATTACTGGGTCTCACCTATTGTGACGGGGTGGAAAGCGCTGCTCAGTTTAAGCGGTCAGCTCGTCAAAAGATGCGGCAAATCAATTCATTCATCACGTGCAGACTTTGTGGCTGTCTGGGAGGCTCAGACTGTCTATTGCATCTACTTGTCACTTATGAGATGTCTGGTTGTGTGGAGACCACCTCGTGCCAACTGCCATGACAAGACAGTCTTACTACTCCTAGCTTTCTCGTTCTGCTGGCTCAAGACGTCGGGCTTCACGGCGGGGCACTCCCAAACGGCCCGTGGAAACCGTCCGTCGACCAAGTCCGGGATCAGATTCTTGTGTGCGCTCTACCGGATGGTGGGGTTGCTCTCGCGCTCGGACCAGTTTGATTCAGGGGACAGAAGACGCTTGACTAGGAGTTCTGTTACCACAGCGGTAGTCCAGCGAGCCATCTTGACGTAATCTCTGGCCAACACCTCGTAGTCAACTTCTTACTCTTCAGGTCGGCTCGTATTCACAACGTGCTCAAATGTGCCCAGACGCACCACTGGACGAAGAGTATTTGGCTCGGTGCTACTGTACATAAACAACCGTTACTGGATCTCAACGGTGGTCGTCACGGTCTTGGGGGGAATTTCTCTTCGTGGGACCGGGCTCATGCTCAGCGAACGTGTTGGCAAGTTGTACGCAGACCGCGAAGCAAAGGAACTTCTTCGTTTTGCAGGGTAACTCAATCTATCGTCGACGTGCCCCGCACGAGGATATCCTGTGGATCGCTTCGCCCTCGAGCCGCACGCAGGGGTCTTGTCTCTGTCGGTTGCTGCAGCTGGCTGCCGATTGGGAAGCGGAATTTGTAGCTGTTTGAGAAGTGAGACTCTGACTTTGCCTGTCTTTTTAAACAGGGATTCGAACCCGTGCATCGCGAGGCGCAATCGACAGTGTGTTACAGCGCAGTAGAAGATGTGGCGAGGAACGCACAAGATAAAAAGCGTTTCCCATTGACGTCTGAGGCTATAAATGTTGCTGTTTTGATCCAATTTATAGAGCGACGGAGCTTGGACGTAGCTTCGTGGTAGCTCGTGGTTTCAGGACTGATGTTCATAACTAGGTTATCTTCGAGCTACGAGATGTCGTACTAAGGGAGCGATGGGTTGGCAGACAGTCAGCTGCACGGTCACCGCTATAGCATGTGGGGGCCCTGTCGTCAGAGACCGATGATCACCAAACAATTTGACGCAGATTCGGTGTCAACTTTTTGATGCTATCACCACCCAACATTGTGACTGGGTTTCATAATCGCACGAATTATCGGGCGACCCGATATGCAGTCTTCCCTCCAATAAGTTATGGGTACGGTGCATGACAATCACCATAACTTAGCAGAGGTAAATTTATTGATTTTTTGCATAGCGTGCATTAGGAGAATCAATCAATCAAGCGATAAAAAAACGTGGACCTGGACATCCCAACCAACCCCACTTCCCTTAAGTACGACCCAAAATCCTTCCCTAGATATTTCACTGCTGGAACAGAACAAAAGTCTTAAGCTCCTGGCTGATTGCTACCTTCTTAACGGTATGAGACGCACCATAGCTTCTTTCGTCTGAGCTACAATGATTACAGAGGGAAAGCTGCATTTTTGCATTTTTAATCGTGTCTTGCCTGTTGGTATGATATTTGAGTAGTATAAAATGTCACAGATCCGTCTTACCGATGGAAAATGTCTGCAAATATGCAAACACAAGAATGAAAACCCGGATTTATCTCAAAAGGCACTGGCGGAATGGACTACGGTGGTGTTTGGTCTAATCAAAACGCTGTCACAGACATCTATCAGCAAGATCTTTCCAAAGCGGTCTAATCTGGAGAATATGGAGCCAAGCAGCCTAAATGCAAAGGGACAGCGACTGGTTCAGCCTCCCATACTAAAAGGAGCTATGTCTCTTTGGGTCCTGCAATGTCAACACCGATCCGCTTTTACCGTAGATGTTGATAGCGCGGAGCATGTGACATTCCTGACGTTGCCATCACTTTCTCGCACAGATGGCTTTATAAATTTAAGCAACGTCACATGCTCCGCGCTATCAACATCTACGGTGAAAGCGGCTCGGTGGACGTGGAGGCTATAAATAAAGCGCTGCCTGATGTAAAAAAGGTCATCGCAGAGTACGCGCTGTGTGATGTTCACAACATGGATGAAACCAATAAAGTTTGTTTGCTATATTTCTTTTAAAACCGAGTCTCACGAAATTAATTTGCAGTACTATACTACAGCATGATACCTGACAGGACTATCGCACAGCAAAAATTGAAGGACACAAAAAAGACAAGGTGATAGGTAAATTGCAGAATTCTTGTAGCCATATACTAATACAGGGGCATGCACTGACATCCTATGCAGTCGCGGATTACAATTGTGCTCACTGCAAATGCTGATGGCTATGACAAGCTACAGCCTTTCTTAATAGGGAAAGCCAGGAAGCCCCGCAGCTTTGACAAGATATCAAGTCAGGCGCATGGATTTCTCTATCGCGAAACAACACAAAGGCTTGGATGACGGGCGTGATCTTCCAGGAATGGCTTGCAAATCTAGACAAAACATTGAAGGTGCATATCTATTTGAAATTGGAAAACTTGTTATGCTACCATTGTGTGGTTTCAGATCAAAAGTAGAAACATCCTTCTATTGATTGAATTCCCGTCGTATTTGGCGGATGTTCTTACGTTAAATAACGTCAAGGTCCAGCTGCTTTCACTACTTACGACCTCCATGATTCAGCCGATGAGTGATGGTGTCATCGCAGTGTCCGAGCGGCGGTATCGCCATTATCATTTGCAAAATGCGATTGACTGTCACGAGAGTAGAGAGGGTTTAACATCTACAGAGTCGACTAACTTGCTGCCATAAGCTGGTCGGTTGCTGCCTGGAGCAAGATTTCAAGCACTATCATTGCCAACTATTCCAGCCACACAGGGCTTTTTTCTACAGAAGAGGTCATTTCAAATGCAGTGGAGGTGGAAAGGAGTAAAGATGGCGCAACGGAGATCGAGGAAGAAGAAAGTGAGCTGGAGAAAGAGCTGATAGCACAGATCAAGAAGCTGCGCGTCTGAGATCCCATGAAGATTTCGGAGCTTCTCGATCCCATCGAAGAGGATCAAGCTGCTCAACCTGAGCACCTCTTTCAGAATCTCGTTGTTGGTTAACAACGAGATTCTCATGAAGATTTCGGAGCTTCTCGATCCCATCGAAGAGGATCAAGCTGCTCAACCTGAGCACCTCTTTCAGAATCTCGTTGTTGGTTAACAACGAGATTCTCATGAAGATTTCGGAGCTTCTCGATCCCATCGAAGAGGATCAAGCTGCTCAACCTGAGCACCTCTTTCAGAATCTCGTTGTTAACCAACAACGAGATTCTGAAAGAGATTTTGGAAATAGATGATGAGGAAGAAAACAACGAAGATGCGGTACCTGTCGCAGAAAAATTCTCCAGAATCGAGAAGATTAACCTCCTTCGTGATGCCTGCTCCCTGCTCCACTTATCCCAGGAACGTCACCAAGCTGCTTACGAAGGCCTTCGCAACCTCCAGCTTGATCTTCGCAACACTCCCACCACCCAAACCACCCTCGACATGAGGGTCAAGAATATTTTCTCTTCTTTAACACGAAAACAAGTGCTCATTTTTAAGTTATATTGCCCGATGTCGTCATAACTTACAAATTAAAACTTAGCGGCCACAGAACGACGTCCGTGGACGCGGAAGTCGAAAACCTACTAGAAGTTAAAACTTATCAGGGGGAAACTTATCGAAGGGAAGACTGTATACCTTTTCTTTATCCTGTTTGCATGATCAATGTAGACAGCCCTGATAGGTAATGCAGACGACAGAGCCTCCTGAAGTTGCGTCACTAGTCGTGTCACACGCGTAGTGTCACTTGCCTCGACAATGTCCAGATCATTCGCGCAATTCCTTACTTATTTTCAGATGCGAGAGCAACTGGGGACACCATTGACGCAAAGCAGTGAACAACTTTACCTTTCGAGAGCGATATATTCTCAAGTCATTCGCGGTTCAAGTTCGACTGGTGTTCTTCGTCTTACGAACGAGGCATCGAACCGTTCGGTATTGTTCACAAAAGTTCGACATGTAACTCTGCTTTGGAATCACATCATGCAGTATTCACAACCCCCAAGACACTAAAATCGGTTTGCACTTTTTCTATCTATTACTTCCATGCAAGCAGAATGGAATCCGCGCGTCCACATCAATGAGCTCATTCACAGTTCATTGACGCCCCGTAGTCGCGCAATTGCTGGAGCTCGTTTATGCACAGCCAGCCCAGCAGTCCGCACGATGCTGCTGTAAGTTACTCCGGAAGGAAGGCATGATCAGCATGCCTGATTGCAGTTAGCATTCCTTTTTTAAATGCCTCGTAGCATGAATATGATGGGAGGCGTAGTATATCAGGATTGTGTTCCATCGCAGGGTGCATTGCGTCATGGTGGAACCCATTATCGTTTCCAGGATATAATGCGATTGTGATACGGCCAAAATCGCTTTTTGACTGGAAAGAGCGATCATTCACAAGCAGATATGTGCCCATCGTGAATAACAAAATAAGCTGCTGCTCTTCCTCGACAAGCTCGCTTACCAGGCGAGGCAACCATGCCTTCATACGACCAGCACCCTTGTCGCCCATCCCTTCAAAGCTGCTGGTATCCCAATCGACAGCAGACGTCCAGTCAATCTGCAGAGCATTGCAACATGTGTGTGGACCATTGAATAGCACGCGGAGATCGTCTGCGTGGAAGATTTCGAGGGTGGCAGGCAACACAGCATCAAATCCCGCAGCAAATGAGCGTCCAACCGTTTCCCAAGGCTTATCCGATGCCAGTTGATACTTTCCTTTACATCCAATGCAGCGCAAGAAAGATGAAGCATAATCCAGTGTTCCACCAAGAGGAACTTCATATAGTACAAAATGTGCAGTCAGCTCCCCTAGCAAGTAAAAGTCCAGCAGTTGCGCTCTTAGCTCTTGCTTGTCCGAAAAAAGGGGTTCCTGCTTAAGTGCCTTGCTGGATCCGCGTACCAGAATACTCGGTACTTTTTTCAGCAAATCGGCCGCCAATCGAACCAGAACCGGCTTAGCATCGTTACAGCAGTTCACAAGATCTTGACTATTTCCACCACCGTCTTTTATGGAGAAAACCATCGGCAAACGAAAATGCTCGGGCTCGAGCATCCCTGCCATACCAACAAACTGCTTCCAGAAACATTGATCACCGCGTAAAAACACAAACGCAAGCTTCTTCTGTCCTCTGGATAACTTTTCAATGCCTGTAGTACCTTTTGCGAAACCCGTAGAGCATTGACCCGAGACTTGTTTCACGGAGGGAATGATGTTTTTTCGTATGTGCTTGATTTTGTTATCTAGTCGAAGTAAGAACGGATTGGACAGCAGAAGCCCCTCCATCCGCTCAATCCGTTCAGTGTCACTACGACACCAGTCGTTAAGAATATCGAAGCAGACCGGGTCACGTGCTACAAGCCGTTGCCACCGACGGATAAGCTCGCGCTGCTTGTATTTGCCAAGCATGCGGTGCAGTCTCGACAGCTGTTTGGTTAGCTTGTAGTGCATCAACTCTTGAATACATTCAACATCATCGGTGTACATCATCGGAATCCGTCCGTAAGTATCTTTTGCCATTACGTCAAACCCCTCGGACAAGAGGGCTCGAACACATAGCACGCGATTTTCCTGTGCTGCAATGTGGAGTGCTGTCTGCTCAGACCCTTTTGCGGCGCGACTCACATCAAGGAGCCCAATGTTGCACAAATAAGTAACGAGCTCATAATTTCCCGATGCTGCAGCAAAATGGAGCAAGGACCATCCATTAGGTGCTTGCTGGTTCAAGCAGTCCCCAAACACGTCGACGCCAAGCATTAATGATATTATTTCCTGAACACTTTTGACCACTTCACTCGAGCAGCCTACCATTGTTTGGGCCGGATCTGTATCAGCCGACTTGCATAAAATCATCAAAGGATGTAAGCCTTCGCCCGACTTTTCCTGAAGCATAGAAGGTTGAGCAGCAACGATCAATTGACAGATTCTCACTGCGGAGTGGTTGACGGCCTGGCACGCGTAGTGAATCGGAAAATTACAATCTAAATCACCCATACCAATCAGCGCCTGATCTTCTTGCATAAGAGGAACACAGAGCTTGTTGACTTTTGATGATTGCAGCATGCGGTGAAATGGCATACGCCCACACAAGTCTGGGTGAAGCAACAGCCTTTGATCATGTTTGAGGAGAATCCGGCAGCAACCAACTGACCCACCTTGCGCCGCAAAGTGAAGTGTGTTACGGCTCTGTAGATCCGTTGCAAATATGTCCACCTTGCACTCGTCCAATAAATAGCTTAAACACTCGGCAAGACCATTATACGAAGCATGCATCGCCAGAGTCCTATTCTCTAAACGCACGTTTTTCCACCCCGTTGCAATATTCGCAGCTCCAGTTTTGCCTTTTAACAAGTCCATCAGCTGCTTTAGGTTTCTACTGTCGCAACACTGGAACAACCAATCTAGAATTTGTTGGGACGCGCTTGCACAACGCGTCACGTGTGCATCAGAATCACACCGAGTGCACCGATACTTCGATGGTAGCTGCTTTTCAGAACCGATCAAAACCCCAACACAATCAGCGTGCTCCCAAACACTACACTCTGCGTTCGAACATTGCAACCATAGTCCACGATATCGTCCAACTGATGTAGATCCACACACACATCGAATCTTGCCACATGTAATTTGAGACTTTAAGTCCATCTCGTCGCCGTCATCACTGTCGTCATCACTGTCCTCATCACCATCGTCATCAACCTTGTCATGGACGATATCTGTAGCTTTACCATCTCCATTATTTTTTGTTGCATCATTATTGCCTTTTGTGACTGAAGTAGTTGCCGCTGATAAGCAGCAATTTGCGGTCTCCTTTTCTTCGGAACGACTAGACTCAATTGACTGCTTCTGCTTTTTATTTCTCAGCAAAACTTGGTTATCTGAAAAGTCATCTTTGCCGGAAGCCTGAGCTACATTCTGCCGAGAAGGTGGCTGCGACAATTCAGGAAAGTCCTCATCGTCATCCAACCCAACTTGAGAGTACAATAACCGCTTTCGACGGCGCTTACGTGGCAAATTCACCATCCTGCACTCACTTGCCTGGCTATCAGCACTAGCAGCACTGTCATCATTTTCACCGCTTACGCTCGGTGGAGCATACTCTTCGTCACAACCCGCGGTCCATATTGAGGTAGACCCCTTTCCTTTTGGTTGGTGTACAGAGTGGACGACAGCACTACTTTTGGAAGTTTTGTCCCGGAGTTCCGTTCTCGTAGCAGTTTCTTGTGAAGAGTGTCGAACGGGAGGGTGTTTCTGCAACACATCTGGTTCAACTTGCTCAGGTTCGCACCGAACTTCTCCGTGATTTTTTTCCCTATGTGGTCGACTCCGCTGTTGTTGCTGCGTAACTTCCACTCTTTCTTGTTCACGCAGCTTTTGAAGTCGCTGTTGGTTTTCCTTTTGGCGTTTTTCTAGCTCTTCGGATATAGCACGCTTTTGTCGCTCAGCCTGGAGACGCCGTTCACACTCCAATCGTTTCTGCTGCAGGTCACCCTGCTCTGCTACTTGTTGTTGATGATGGAGATGCCGCCAGACATTCTGGTCAAGTGTCTCCTGACGCTCCCTCGCAAGCCTTCGTTGCTCATATTCTTCTATCACTACCTCTGACAGATTACTCGCTGTTGGAGGTGTAGGAATCAATCCAGTAACGTACGGCGTACGAGTTGTTGACAGCGTGTGTGAAGAATGTACAGACCCCGTCAGTCGCTCCAGTTTAACACGCGCATGATCCGACATTCGTGCTGCTTGCGCATGCGAATGTGACATTGTTGCACTTCCACCCGTTCGTATCTGACGAAGCTTTTCGTACAAGTCCTGAAACTCGGAGTGAAAAAGCCAGAGCTCTACTTCAGTCTGGAATGCCGAAAGATTCCCGGCTTGTAGACGGTTGTAAAAGGCCCACGAATTGATACTATTGACGTAAAATTCCTGAAGCAAGCGAGGTGCAAACAGCCGCAGCACCTCGACTGGCAGCCACGTTTCCATACCGTTCCGCCAGCGCGTAAACGCGAGCTCCCAGTGATGTCCCTCGCCTCTCGAGCATTGCACGAGGTCCAGGACCTTAACGGGATCACCACGCGCCATACGAGGCATGTTGAGCACGTTTTTGTTGGGCAAATCAGACATGGAGTAGGTCGTGACGCTGTTCTTTACGTACAGATCCCCCTTTGTGGACATGACAATGAACTTGCGTCGGAGCTGGAAACGCGCATAGCAAAAGCGACGTCGTGGGTCTGCGTGGATGTAGAGAGACCGGGCAAAGTCCGCTGGAAGCTTCGACCGGAAGCGCAGGTCCCCAGTGCGAGGCAGGACGAGTCGCAGCCGGTCGCCCTCTGGCAACTGCGGGTACGCCTTGGACCGCATGTCCATTTCGCTTCTGCTGCGGGTGAGGGAATGTCGCTGCCATGACCAGACGTCACTCACTCGAGGTAATATGATGTGAACCACTTCACAACCACAAGTGACACGCTCGTGCGTGTGGGTGTGACGACTTTTTCCCTCTCCAAGTAACGACTGCCGACCGACCGCCCGACCGACCGACCGACTACCGGGACCCAGTACTTTTGTGCTCACTGTCTCACTCTCTCCCCTGGGCGCTGGTTCTCACCTCCCGCGGCCCAATGATTCACGCGGAAGGAGGCGAGGGAAACAGTCCGAAGGATCGGTACGCGAGGGAGCGCGACGTCCGCGTCTCGCTACGGCGTCATACGACTGGAGTCGTGACGTTTGGCGACGCGGGCGACGTGTGCACCGAGACGGACGACGTGGACGTGACGCTCGTGCAGCAAGACGCGTTTAAGCAGTTTCTGCGACACGGCAGCGTGCTCTTTGCCGGTGGCGTGGCGGGCAGCGTCGGCAAGACCGTCACGGCCCCGCTCAGCCGCCTCACGATTCTCTTCCAGGTGCACAGTATGGTCTCGACGCGCCACACCGACCGGTTCTCGCCATCCATGGGCAGCGCTTTTGCAAAGGTGCTCAAGAACGAGGGCGTTCTGGCCTTTTGGAAAGGAAATGGAGCTAGTGTTCTGCACCGCTTCCCGTACTCGGCCGTGAATTTCTTTACGTACGAAATGATTAAGAACGCCATATGTGCACGCGACCATCCGGCGTTTACACAGAATTCGTGGACGACAATGTTCGCCTCGGGCGCCTTGGCTGGGGCGACAGCGACAGTCGCGTGCTACCCGATCGACCTCATTCGAACAAGACTGGCAACGCAGCTCAATACGGACGTCCGCTATACTGGGATCCACCATGCTGTGCGACGGATTAGCGCAGAGGAAGGTGTGCTGGGGCTCTATCGCGGCATGGGAGCTACGCTCATGGTCACAGTGCCCAATCTGGCAATTAATTTTACGCTGTACGAATCGCTCAAGAATTACGCGCGATCGTTTCGTCGAAGCCAGAAGGTTTCAGGACTGACTGGCGCTGCTAGAGAAAGAGCCGCCGATAAGCATGATAACACGCACCTGAGCGTGCGAGACACGCTGCTGTGCGGTGGCACGGCCGGCATTGTCTCGTCCTTGATGACGTTTCCGATCGATGTCGTGCGCCGCCGCCTGCAGATCTCGGCTATTCATGCAGAAAGTGCCGGCATTCGGCCGACCTTTACTGGCATTGCATTGGAGTTGTTCCAGACGCAAGGCGTGAGTGGGTTTTACCGTGGAATAACGCCGGAGCTGATGAAGGTCGTGCCTATGGTTGGCATTACCTTCGGCACGTTCGAGCGACTAAAGAAGCTGCTGGCCATGGAGGACTAGATGCGAAGAGAAGATAAATAATACTGCGATGAACGTTTGGGGTCACCAATGCTGTGCTTCACGAGACGCGTTGTTGCCAAAGCTGTAAATCACAAAACACCTATTCACAAATGTCACACTTACAAAGCAGGGTTGAATCTGGAATGGGCAACGCGACGCTGCGAAAAGAGAGGCCTAACGTCTTACGTGACAACACCAAAGAAACGGCATTTGTGACTTAGACGTGCTTTTCTATTATTTTACACACTCGCACCTGCAATAAGTCTCCCTCTTCCAGTGGACGGAGCAGCAAGTAACGGTGACATGGAAGCTATCGGGTGACAAGCACCTTACGTATGTCTGCAAAAATCAAAATTCGACAGCGCGAAGGCCAAACCATGGCTTGTCATACGCCGGGTCAACTCAGTTCTTCTACTTTGTTGCAGTTCCACATGTCGCGTCGAATCGTAGTTGCCGCGAACCAGACTTAATCACCTCCGTCAATAAATGTAGACACCTGGTCGATCGCAATCAGGCTTGCCTTCGAACAAGGCTGCAAAGAAGACCGCCAGTGACATAAACGCAGTACATCTCTTGTAGACTGCGCGGCTGTAGACACTACCGTAACATGTGAGGAGATCAAACCGAATTTGTTGCGCATGTCTTGACATCGGATCCGACCCAAGCACGCCTAAACACAAGGGGGAAGGCTTGATTGCTAGATCGAAACGGAGGAGATTTTGCTTGGTCGCGCAGGTCCCCATTCGTTCTCTAACTGTGTATACACGCCCTCGGGGGGCGGCATGCACAGCTCGTTTTCCCAGCACACTGCTTCGACTTCATCCGTGTGTTTCCACGTAAGGACCACAGCAGCGCCATCACCCTTTTCAAGCAGCGAATTGATCTGTCGTAGCACTTGCCTCTTGGATTTGTTCACGACCAGTCGGTGGTTAATAGCATAGAGCGTGTCCCCCACGCGCAGACCACAGCTCGCTTCAGCCGGTCCTTTCAGCCCCCTCCAGTCCGTCAGCTTTGGACCCTGGTCATGGTCTCGCGATACAAAGCGCTTGCCGTCCAGTCGATAGAAATCAGTGATCACGACTTCGGCGTTCTGCGTGATTCGGTTGCCGCGGGTCTTCACCACAAGACCCAGTTGTCGGAACAAATCGTGACGACGCGTACCAGCCAAGTCCAGATACGGCAGCTGCGCTCGCGGGCCTATCTGAACCGTGTCGGAGTCTCCGCTTATGCAGACCTCCGTCTGCCGATCGTGACTGAGACTGGTCGCATAGACTGGGGCTCCGTAGCAGTCCCCACGGCTGGGGACGCCGGTACGAGATACCTGTTGACCCATAGCGGTAGCGGTGGTTGTGAACGAGTGGTATGGGAGAGCTGCTGAGCGCTGCGTCGAGCGGAGTGGGCGGCAACGTCTCGCTCTAGCGGACACTTGAGCGTATTCGTGTGTGTGCGTGTGTTTGTCCAAGAAGTTGAACGAGTGACCGTCAAGACGGATGGATCATACCGTAACCAAGTAAGAAGCGTTGCTAATGCAACTGACTATACGGCAGTACGGGCGTTGTGGGCCACATCGCTCCTCAATTGAAGGGAGAGTAATTATGCGAAACAGCCTGAAACGAAACTATTGGATACCCTATTTTTGGGGTTCCTCCGTCAACCAATTAGATTCGCACTTATTCGAATCTCAAGAGAAAAACCACGTTGTAGTCAAGTCGTCCTTCGCGTTGTCTACTTACAAAAGTCTCTGATCCACTAAGTCAGAATTATCTCTACCACATGGGGTAGTCCATCGGAAGCGGTCAATTGTTTACGCTGGTTACCGAGAAAGTGTATGCCTTGATCGTAGGGGTCAAGGCGATGACGAGGGACCAAAAGTAGATACTCGTGGCGGCAGTAAATACAGGCGTGAAGTTAAGTAGGCTGAAGTTAGTAATGCCCTGAGCGACGTTGGTGTCCAGCAGCGGATGACGTACCTGATACGTCAGAGTAAGTACCGGCGTTCTTCCTTAATAAAGGCGCGTGAGATGGAACTGTCAATGCTCTCACTTCGGCAAACGTCGAAGCTAGGAAAGACGGAACACACCGTGCTGTGTGGATAAAACTGTCACGGATCACACATCATAATTGGCTCGACGCGGTCGCAATCGACGGAGATGCTACAGTTTCTACACATTATGGAGGCACGAAGCATGCGTTTCGCAATAGTGTCGGTCTATATGATCTTAAGAAGTTGTGAACACAGGAAGATTTCTGGCACAAGCAATTTTTCAATTTGATCGTAATGAGATTCTGCAGAATACGACGATCTCTCTCCTGCTCGTTGCTGTACCAGGTTGCTGTCGGCCTATTAACAAATGAGGGGATGAACACAGAACATAAAGAGTAGCGAGATGATTGTAATGTGACAAACACGATGCTCCGGACATTCTTGCTCCCGGCAACAAATATTTTGTCGTATGGGCTACAAGTAATTGCGGACAAAACATTTGTCGTGAGAAATTATAGAGCCCAGCGCGAACATGTGGTTTGATACAGATGTTTACCAGCAAACCCACAAAAGTGTTAGAAGTTTAAGTTTGATAGAGTGGGGGTAGATCGCAAAAGCTGCGCACCGACCGACGCGCAACAACTAGTGGCACGCCTCGCTCCGGCTCAATGATATTATGTGCTGTTAGATAAGCTGTGGGCAAAATACGACAGAGTATGGCAAAAGAAGGTAGAGATCTGGGCATAACATTCGTAGTCTGGAGCTAGACAACTCGACGTAGTCGATGTACAACGATAAAGCTTTACGAAATTACTATCTCGAAAGCAAACAAGATTGGGTCATACTCGGAAGTTGTAGGCAATACGATTTCTCATCGACAGCTCGTTTTCTTTCACTGAACGCACAGGTGTTGGGCTTGTTGCCACAACATGCGCACGTACGCTAGCGTCCAGCTCCAGAAAGTCCCACTTTTCTTGTCGACTGCAGCCATAAGCGGCGTTGCTAACGAATGTCAACTCAAGCGAATTCGAATGAAGGCGAAACTGAGTCGTACTTAGACGCGACGGTAGAACGACTGATAAGCTTGTAAAAGATAAAAGACGGCGGTTAACGCATTGAAGATGTTGTCGTAAAAGAAGCGACGAGCGGCTCTTGGTAACCTACTGCTACTGTAGGAATGGGCTTGTTAGCAAAATGAAAGTGACCGACACAAAGCCAACATAGGCAAAACATTTGTTGAGTGTCGATGAGGGAGGCGCTGATACCTGAATTTCACAATTAAACTGAAGTCCGTCCATTTCATTGATTCTTCAACATGTATCCCCTTGACCGGAAACACGATTATAGCAACGGCGTAGTAGCCGAGCCGGTTGCGACCGCTAGCAACGCACATGCGGAATACCGCGGTTTCAGCCCAGTAATGTACAAGCAGAGACAGCGTGACGCGAGTGCACACAGATGGGTGAGGGTCATCCACCGCAGGTCTTTACTCGTCATGTCGAGATTGTGGTTGCTGGGGAATATAAGCGTGACATTTAGTGTGGGCTGGCTGTGGACGCATCCGCACTACGGTAGACTGTGCAGTTGACGCTTATGAGTGAGTCGAGCCAGGTGCGGTTGCTGCTGGACTGCAGGCTGACCCGATAATAGACTCAGGTCAGCAGGCTTACGTGTGGAGCCAGCACACATAAGCTCAGCGGATCTGATACCCTCTCGACCTGTTTGCGGCTGTGCCTTCGGTTTTTCGTATGCTAGGCGCATGCTTACTGCGCTGAGCATAAGTCAGCAGTTTGGCAAGTCACACAGTTTGTTTATCATACACACTTACTTGGCGTCGACTTACAGTTATACCTTGCTATCATGAGAATTTTCATGGCGACTGGATGCTCCGCAGAGACAAGATGCGGATGGTGCAGTCTTCAGCAACACAAACGTGGTTGTGTGGTCGTAGCCGTCGAGTGGCACACTGAGCTGCGTGAAATTAGGTAGACGACATATTTATTCTGGCAGCAACGACACCGTTATGTGGAAGGCGCCACTTCGGGACGGCCTAAGATCGTTATCGATGATGCGTAGACGTATTCGTGTCTCCCTATGCTGACCAGCCTTTCGTCGCACATTGCGGAGTAGGTAATGTCGGTTTCGACCAGCCGACATGTTTGTGGCTCTGTAAATTAATGTTTCCAGCGGAATTTGCTCTACACGTCCAACGGGACTAGATCATGCTCGTGATGACATGTATCACTTGTTAGGTAGAGATCTTTGTCGAAATCCCACTCAAGTTCCTGTTGCTTTTGGGTATTCTAACATCAGTTTCAAACAAATGATAACCCTCGAACCACAACTTTTGATAAGCGGTTGGTCGGGCATTGACGATGTGAACAAATTTTGAATAAAAGTGCGCAGAGTATACCACAGCATCACTACAGTCACTCCGCAGATCGCCACAAAGCATGAAGCCAAAGCATTAAGCGGACGGAGGATCCACCAATCAAGCATAAATGTATCGGTTAAGCATTGTGTGGAGACCAAGCCAAAGACTGACGAGATAAAGATGTACGTGCCCCGCGGTTTTATTGGTTCTTACTTTCTAGCTAGGCATGCAGTGAGGTCAAGTCTTGACAAGAGGAAGCTTAGAACCTTCGCCAATGATCAAAATTGCTCTTCAATCCTTTGCACCGCAATACCGTGCACTGCGTTCGGAGCTGTTTTAGATTGGTACATATAGTGTAACAAGTCAGGGCCATGTGTCTTCCGATCTTACACCACCACTTTAATAAATAGATGAAGTCGATCGGACTTGCTCGGTGGACAGCATTGACAGTCCGAGCGACGATGTCCCTGTTGTAGCAGTTGCTGCCGCAGCTGGTTTAAAATGTCCTCTCTGTCGCTTGGATTCTTGGTGTGCTGTCAACCTTTGATTTTGCTGTTGCATTGCATAGCAAGAGAGAACCTGGAGCGCACACAGCTCTGATTCAATAAGACTGGACAGTCGATGACGTAACTTGGGGGATACCTTTGCGAGAAGCTCTTCCTGCGACGGAAGGCCTTCCACTTGTGTGGCATCGTTCTTATGTTTGTACAGCTTGTGTGGATTGTATAGAGATCGCGGCTTCATTCCTTCCTGATCGCCAATACTTGACAGTAATGGGCGTGATCGCTTTTTTAAAGTCCCTGCTGGCTGTTTATATGATCCTGCGGCATCAGACCCCGTTGAAGCGGTAAAGTGAGCAGCACATTCGTCTGCTATTCCACTCGATGAATGCGTCCGAGCCGTTTGTCGAGCTGCATCCGAGATAAGGGCATCATCGTCGCCACTGTTCTGTGCAAACGAAGAGCCACCATCACTAAAATAATCGACCGGCCCGGCCATAGTCGTGAAAAGTTCGTTGGGCACATGCGATTCCTTGTCCCGAGCGATCTTCGCAAAGTACTTCTGAGCGTGGCTTCGAATCTGTGCAGACGTGCGCGTCTTGATTTTAGCGGCCACTTTTTTCCATTCACGACCGTAAAGGCGCAAGCCCGCGAGAAAATTCTGATGCTCTTGCTCCGTCCAGCGGCCTCCATTCTTACCTGCATGATCTCCTGGATTTGTCGCATGACTTGAAGCGGCCAAAACATTTGTCTTTGCTGCTTCATGTGACCTCGTTATCGGCGACACAGTTCTCGACGCCGACGGCAATAGAGAAGCAATTGGTGGGAAGCCTGGATTGCTGCGATCAATGTCAAGCAGCCCGACAGCGTGTGCGTCGGCAGTCGACGAAATAGTCGGACTAGGAGTCTCAGACCATGAGCTGTCAGAGGCTGATGAAGTAAAATACATGTTGCGGACGAAATCGATAGCGAGCTTTTGATGGTTGAGTGTCCTGAACCGCAAATGCTGCTTTCTGAGTTGTCAGTGCCGTGCTGCCGTCGCTAAAACAGCGAACTTCGAATAGGTTGCGGACGTCGACTTTAGAAATGAGCACTGCCGATCCCGAGATGAAAGATATTCCGTCATGGGTGCGTAAGTCGTTTCGCAGTCTGTCCTCAGCACGTACGGACAGTAAGAGTCCATTACGCTAAGCAGTTACGCCTATAACCACCGATGGACTGGCTCGAATCCAAATCTTAAAATGAAAACCACTGTCAAAAGATTTATTATTCTCGTCGCAATCTCAATCGCGATGGCTTCGATATGTATTGTCTCGTCGAGTCAAGCATTAGTGCACCATACACTGCAAAATATGATAGCTGCCGAGAAGCTGATGGAGTCGGGTGTATTTATGGACGACGGCTGTTTCAACCTTCTTTCTTGTCTCTCAACGGTCTGCCAAATGCGGGAAGATGCCATCAGTGCAACTACTACCCTAGTTGATGAGTTGGCATCATCAACCACAGATATGGGTAGCTGGCGACTTGGCAGATGGCTCATTGAAGAAAAGAACCGGGCATTTTTAGCGTAAAGAACGGACGCAGAAGTTAGGCATTGAGTTCATGCCCTTTCCCGTCACAATTCACTTGTTTTGCTACCTTGATCAATCTTACCACTTCCAGCACCGTGTGTTGGACGGATTCCGTTCGCTAGTCTAGTCCACAGCATAAACGAAGTTCCAAAAAATTCCATGCGGCTTTGTCTGTAGAATGACCTAATCCGCCGACCTATTGGCCCCTCTGAAGTAGCATTCTATCGAGGTGCGTCTATGAAATATCACTGACATCGCTTGCCAGCGCGTGAGATTTACGGCTCGGCTCCACGCGGGTGCTTACCTTACCTTCCACACCAAAAATTCCACAGTATCGTTTCGTGTCCAAGAATCGACGACGGAGCCGGCCACACGAACTGCCAAAAATTTGTTAAGTCACAGGGTGAGGCTATTTCGTACTTTGAATTTTGCTATTCCGTACTACAAACGACGTCAAACCTTTTTATGAACAGCTAATTAGCTAAATAATTAGATTTATCTGTATTAGGCGAGATATCGAAGGTCAGAGGTGCGGAGATTAAAGAACTTCCCTTGACTGGATTTAGTTCCCTGAATGTCACCCTTTACACTAGCTTTATATGACTCGTTTAGTGTAGCTGACCACACCACATTCATTTGCTATCGTCCTTTGGGTCAAAATGCCGATAAACGGTACAGGCAGTGCGCGCGCTGACCGAGATCATACTCACAAGGCGACATTCCCGTTTACACTAAAACTACCGATCAGCAGATACAAGTGTCGGCATGATGGCGGTGCATTCCGTAGGGGTTAACACGCGAGTTTCGACCGCACGGTGGTGCACCCCTTCGTAACCTCATAATACACCGTATCTTCAGGATAGCTGCCGAACACGAGCGAGACGAGGATCGAGAGGGAACAGCGCTGTGAAGTGACATCAAAGATCGATCGGTAACAGTCCGGGATGACAGCAGCAGGCGGGTTGAAGCCAGCAAAGAGCAGATACATGACGTTAATGAGGACGTTTACAACGGCAAGGACTTCGCCACTGGACAGCAAGTAGAAGAGCAGCTGGACCAGGAGCGTCTGGATGAGCACAGAGAGGGAGATGTTGAGCCAGTAGAGCACAACCGTGCTGAAGGACCCAAAGCCGAGGAGTGGGAAGAAGACAATGGTTAAGAGATATTGCTGCCAAAGACGTAGGGGATCTCGACAAACGTGATGCCGAGGAAGCACCAGAAAGCGTTGTTCGTCTGCGCGTCGCACTCGCGGCAGTATACGGCTCATTCCCGTAGGGCGAAAAGCAGACAAGCAACGTACGTCACGTATCCTTGATACAGTGTTGTCATGAAAATGATACTCGCAGCTGAGTTCAGCCCTTGTTACGTTGTGTAGTCGGCGTTGACGATCGCGAAGTTGAAGATGATGGCCAGGATAAGCGCTAGCCAACACCGAGTCAAGTTGTGCGATGGTGTTCGCCAGTAGATTGACTGGAATCGCTGCACGATCAACCAGAGTTGCATGCAGGTGCCGTCACACCAGGTTCAACTAGACGAGTTAGCAACACTTGATGCTCCAGAGATAGATTTGGACATTGGTTAATTTTCAGATGGAGATGTTCAACCCGTCCGTAAGGCTCAGCACTAATCCCAGTCAATGGGAGCTCTTTAATCTCCGCACCTCTGAACTTCTATATATAGCAGTATGCAAATAAAGTTACCTAAAATGCTAATTACATGTTCGTTAAAACGTTTGACGCCGTTTGCAGTACGGAATAGCAAGTAGAAAGTACGGAATAGCCTCGCCCGATTTCATATCCAAAACATTGTTAGCAGTTGTGTAACGGGGCACCATTTGTTTGGGGTGCCGCGAAACTTCACGTACACTAGTACGTGCAGAGGAAGGTAAATTACTCAAACAGCTCGTTTAAGTAAAGGGTAAAAAGAGAACTATCATTAATTTAGTTAAGCTATCATTATAACTTAAATCTTTATCTAACTAAATTAATCTACATTGTCGTATGAAGACAACCTGCTCACCACTCATTACGCGCGTCTACCAGCGATTGATGGTTACCTTGGCTGATCTGTCTTCATCAACCAATCTTTGAGCAGCGCATGAATATTATTTTAACGGGATACTATTTCTTCAATAATATCCACCTCAGATACTATTGGCAGGGAATTGTCACGCTTAAAAATCTCCCTGATAACACCGTTTTGCGTCAATATCATGTAAGTGCTACCCCGTTACAGTTTCGTCTCAGGAATTTCTTTGTTCGTCATAAAAGCAACCATTACTGCTTCCTTTGCGCCAACCAAACTGTCCTTCCTCCGTACTCACGATATAATTTCGTGCTTTTATCCAACTTGTTAAAAATTCGAACGGTAGCTGATCCGATGATTAATAGCTCCAATAGACAAGCCTCATTTTTGTTGTCAAAGTTTTCCAACCTTGTTTGGTTATTAATATAACGGGGTTAAACAAATGGTTGTGGTAACTAGGTACATTAGTGTGATGCACAAAAAGTGAGATCAGTATCACTGGTGTGGCGTGTTTTATATTATCACATACGCTTAACGATAATACTTTGACCTATCGGCTATGGTTATAGAATACCTATCATAATAGGGTCTTCTAAATGGCGACGCAGTTCTTGTGTGGTACACAAGAAGAAGCGCGATGAGGACTATTCTATCAGGTAGCACAGTTTTCAGGTTTAAGGCGCATGTGAGGTTTGTTTATCGCTATACAACAGTAAATTCATTCAGTTCCCCTTTTGATCAGCTTTAAACACGTGTCTTTCTAAGTGTCTTTGGTTAGTAAGAGTTAAGTGCCTATTTTAAGCCTCAGATTTCTCGTGCATTAGTGCCACGTAATTCCTTGGAGTTTTAGTCCTCTGAACCAGGACTAGAATCTTAAGAGCTTGTACATACGCTTAAAATTAAGTCTCACTCAGTATGTTAGATTTTAGACCGTTTAAGTTAACATCCGTTTCGTTTGGTATAGTAAGAGACTCTACGAGTCTAGAAGGCTTCCTCTGACAAGGGAGTAAGGGTAGCTCCGCTACACTTGGTAGCACTCGTAGTCAATCTACACTGAAGTCTGTTAATTACTTTAGCTCTGCAACGATGGACACACATGAAATCCTCTCTGGGGCCCAAGTATTAGCGTTAGAGAAACAAAGCGCTGATCGAGAACGAACAAGGAAAACAAATCCCCGCACAAGGACCTGGCGTAATTCGTGCACGTCTTGACGCTTTTACGCAGTTTAAATTTATGTTACATGGGCAAGTACACAACTATATTAGCATCAGCTATGCCTATTCGGTATGTTACCGTACCCAATGAAGATGTCAGGGGACCACCACCTTGTCTTAATTTGTGATGAAATTGGAGAGAACAGAGGAATTGAATCTCTTCCTCTGTATTAGAGAGGTAGAAATTGCCATAAACTCCGCTATACTCCGGTCGGAGCAACAGCGAGTTAAGACGGCTATCTTTAACCGGGTGATTGAACCATAGAATGTTCTCTTATGTGTTGCAAGTAAATAGACGAAACTTTCCCCATAATGATTGGCTAAACAGACATTATTCCAGGTGTTAACTCCGCTTAATCAGGCATCCCGGGTGCGTTCTTGTAGCGAAATGAGATTCCCCGTCACCGTCTTACACTTTAGTGCTTTGAGGAAGCGGTGTTATTTTATAAGGTAAAATCAACTCACCTTTTTTTCTTCTTTTAAACGTAATAAACACAAAGGTGTTTATTTTCTCGTGGGTAATCCTCACTTGCAGGTGGATTTATTATTGGCTAATTATCGGGTCTGGCACCACAATAATAGACCAAAAATACATGACGCGTAGTGCCCGCTAATCGGATACTGCCTATGCCTACCTATGTTATTGTATGTTATCGCTTCTAGTGATTATGTAATAGGATCCCCGAATATAGTTTTCGCTTCCTGTCTGCCCCCTAAGGAAAGAGATAACTATTAGATTGTGTCCAGGAACTGAGATCTATATGCTGCCATGTCACTTTACCCCTTACCAGAAATGGCTCTAGTTACCATATTTATGGAGGGCCTTTATACGGGCGTGGATCGAACGGAAGTATTCCTGGTAGACCCCACCTCAGTTTAGGCGACTGTAGATATCTTTCTTAACGCTAAGTTCAACTTTGAGGCAGCCCGTTTTGAGAACCACGGGATCAACCCAAACTCGGCGAGCTCCTTTGGTTCATTCAACAAGCCTGACCTGTGGACCCCTGTCTAGCCAAGACGGACGAAGAAGCAGAGCTTCAGTGTGTGGAAAATAGTTAAAACTTTATTGATGCTTCACGTGCAAAAGCACAAAGCATCTGCGTCCTAACTGCCCTTTATGCAGGGAACGCCGGGTAACTTCAGGCTGAACTAACACCTCTAACTAGAAGTCTGGTACGTTGCGGTGGAATTATGACCCACACTAGGCGCGGAGAGCCCTGCTTGGGGGAGAACTAGGTAAAATTTTGCCATTAGGAAGTAGTGGATAGCACAATATAGCATCAAGGAGACTAGTGCACTCGAAAAATAGACTAGAATACAAGACAAGCATGTTAATTGCAAACGCGACTGTTTAAAGCTTTGACAACCCCTGGTCGATTTTGATTGACTACAGAGCATCCGTAAATTATGACAGACTCTGTTGCCTTGAAGGAAGCCAAAGTCATTTGAGGCGCTAGAAGCACAAAAGGGTGATACGATAGCTGTTTGCTTCCCAAAAAAATTTTATTTACTGCACATAAACTTCATGTAAACTTTATGTGTGATAGAATCTAACGCTGTTCAGACCTTATTTTGTACTCAAGATATGATCTCGTTCTTGGCATGGCTTCGCTCGAGCGCCAAGAGCCATGGATCGACTGAGCTTGTTACTTAAGGCGCCACGCGCATAGCCTGGCGGAGCTTCGAAAAGTCATGAACCCGTTTCTACTAGACATCAGAAGCTCTAATGCGCGAGCCACTGGCTGACATTAGCCGGACATTAAAATCTCAGATTTATATGTATCTGACGTACCAAAGACATGAGCACATAACGAATCTCAATATGTGTAGGTGAAGCGGCACGTACTCCGCTAAATGATAGTCGTTGTGAAATAGACGCACTGAGAGCTGAAAACATTGTTGAACAAGCGTCAAGGCGTAGAAACCTTAACTAAGTAGATGAGCGTATAGTTGCACATCTGTACACACTGAGTGATGTTGGCTGTGATGGCGAAGCGCTGAATGTCAAAATTGACGTCATTGGTGAGATAAGAAGGCATCTCCATCCCGGCTGAGCGGATGCACGTGAAGTGGCACGTCATCTACGTGGTGACGACGTCACGTCAAATGACTCCTCAGTGGATGTCGATAGTTGTAACGGGGCACCCTGAAGCTTGTACTGGTGACAGTACAAGCTACTTATTCTGATGACAGAATAAGGCGGTGCCTCGTAACTTCACGTACACTCGTACGTGCAGAGGAAGACGGTAAGAAGAAGCGAGTACTCGGTTAGAGTAAAAAGTAGAACTGTATTTATAATAGTTAATGTCTGCAATAAATCACTATTTATCTTCATCTAACTATGTCTAAATACAAATGTGTAAATCAGTTATCTGCTCACCACTCATTGCGTGCGTCTGTCGTGGCGCGTCTTCGTTGGTTGATATAATGGCCTATATCAACCAATTAGGAACTACTTGGAAGTGCTACAGAATATTGTCCTTATGACAATATTCTGAGAATATAACTCTTATAGTTATATTCTATTAACAATTTCTTATAAATTGTTATGTAACGATTCACCCCGTTACATCACCCCCCCTTAACCATCAGTCACTTTAGTGACTGATTGACTAAATGGATACTGGTCCCAAATCATTTGGGACGGGGTTTGCACTTGTTGGTCCGCGTCCACTTTCCAACATCTCATCGCATGGTAAACAAGCCCATGCGATGCGCGAGCAAGGCCGCCGAGAGCGCGTCTGCACGTCTCTGTGCGGACGCCGAAGCAGAAACTACAGCAACTGATGTCCCATCGGTTGCTGAATCGACTCAGCCTGTATCACCTGGTGATGCAGGCGCTGGTCATGAAGACACTCGTGTCTTCACAGAGTACGAGCTCGGTGTCTCGTACTCTCCTGATACGGATGACGGATCCGTATCGACGGCGGTCGAATCCAAGCCGCCTGCCAAGCGTGGCATGGATGATGCTATGCGTCGTAGCATCTTTGGTTCATCTGACGAATCAGATGAACCATCGCCGAAGCGAAGGCGCTCGAGGTCGCAAGACTAGGGCGCTCACAGTGGTGTCGTTTCTCCAATGGACACCACTTCACAGCGAGGTGCCAGTACTTCTGTCGGCACTTCGCAGGAAGAGCGGGACCGCAATGTGTTGCGTCTCGCTCCAGAAAAGAAGGCATGGATGCCTCCTAAATCTGTCATGGATCACTTGTCGGCGACGACGAGTGATCGTTATCGAACACGATTGTTCGATTCGTCGAGGATTCATCACCTTGACCCCAGCGCGAAAGACTATCGCGCTGAACATGAGTTCTTCATCGATGCTTTCTTCAGACATCGATGGTACAGTGGGAATCACAAACGTGATGGTCCCTCACTACTTCAGGCGTGGAACGCCTACATCCATAACCTCGAGGATGTAGGTCGTGACGCTTGGAACGACAAACTTATCAAAGCTCGTGATAAGTTTGAAAAGCGAACCCCGACAGGTGCACGCTATAAGCTGCATCGTCTGTCAAGGGAGAAAGGATTACTCTACCTCTCATGGGGAGACTCGTGCCCATGTTGTGTGAACAACTCTGCACGAGCACCTAAGGAGGCTTACCTCCTTACCAGCCCGTGGTGGCGCGTACGTGTCTCTACTGAGATGTACGAAGGGATTGACAACCTGAAATCCCTTTACGACCGTGCCGGGAAGACTTTCTCCGGCGGTCCTTCTGCGGCACAGGATGTGTCGCGTCGTACTGCTCGACCAGACCCAGTACGTCAACCATCAATTGGGAGCGGGGCTCCCAAGAATCCCAGGACGGGGGATAGCCGCGCCACCGGACGAGATAACTCGTCCGACGTCCGTTCACGTCGCGGTGGTTCAACAGCTGCTCTACTAGATAGCGCTGGCCACCGCGAGAGTCCTCTAATGGAGGTGGAGGAGGAGGAAAGACGCTCTCCACACGATCATGTGGATCGGTGTGTTCCCGAGAGCTTCTTTGATCGCGTAACGCAAGGGTTACGCGACGATCTCGAGCATGAGCGGAATAGGCGTCTCCAGATGGTGGACACTGCCTCGAAGCATCGAGCTGAGTTTGCCTTTGCTCAGCTTGAGAACGAGAGATCTCTGACATCTCTTCGTGACGAGCTAAGGGTAGCTCGTGGGATTGTTGATCGGTCTCGGGCTGAGATAACTGCTCTTCAGACCCTTGTTGATGCCCACCATCGGGAGCACAAGGCTCTCTGCGAGATGCTTGAGCGCAAGGGCGTTCTTCATCGGAAGAAGCAGCGTACTGATGGTACGGCTTAAGCCGACCAACGTAAAACGTGGGATGCGTTCGCATCTTACGTGGTAACTCGATCGTGTATGCATTGCCTAGGCGGTGCAATACACGAAATGGGCCAATGTACTTGGGTAGTAGTTTACTGCTACCCAAGTTAGTCACTACATGTTTTGGTAGATTAACCGTAGACAGTAGGACTAAGTCACCTTTATTAAATAAAAGAGTGTTTGCCCTTCCATTCTTGTCAGCGTTTTGCTTTTGCTTATCCACCGCTTCGGCGATGGAGTCTTGCACAAAACGGACTACCGTTTCACGAGCCAGTATGAACTCATCTGATGACTCGTTAGCTTCAGTGTGCTGTGAGCGCACTGCAGCGACAACAACCTTTTCTTCAGTGAGGGCTTCCGCACTCTCACTGGGATCATTGTCTTCAGTGAGGGCTTCCGCACTCTCACTGGCATCATCTTCTTCGATATCGATGTTATCGATATCGGCATCAAACGCAATGACTTCTTCGTCAGAGCATGATGAGCGTGAACCAAATCGGTTTTTGCTCGCGCGAGTCCCTCCCCCTTAAACCAGAGTTACACTCTAGTAAGGTGGGTACACGCGGATGGCGCAAGCCATTCACGTAAAACGGTGTATGTGTCGTGGACGCATGCACCGAGTTGTTGATGGCAAACTCTACCATCGGCAAAAACTCACTCCAATTCTTAAAGGAGTGTACGTATCCTCGAAGTATCTCTTCAAGGACACGATTGGCACGTTCCGTCTGACCATCTGACTCTGGATGATCAGATGTTGACATCTTCAAGCGCGTTCCGAGTGATTTGAACACGGAACGCCAGAAATCAGCAGTGAATCGTGGATCTCTGTCTGATACGAGTTCGCGGGGCAACCCATGAAGTCGGAAGATGGTGTCAATAAAGACACAAGCACAGCCACTTGCCGTGATTGTCTCTGGTACAGCCACAAGGTGTACCATTTTGCTGAATCTGTCAACAAATACAAGAATACCCGTATTCCTGCGTGCGTCTTTGGGTAACCCGAAGACGAAATCCATTGAGATGGATTCCCAGCACTCAGCCGGAACCGGTAGAGGCTGTAAAGGTGCACGCAGTGAAGGACTTGACTTCACTCGTTGGCAGACTTCGCATGCGCGAACATACTTTCGCACAAACTGATACTGGCGGGGCCAGTAAAAGTCTCGACTTACCGTGAGATATGTTTTCTCTCGGCCACGATGTCCTCCTATAGGAGCATCGTGATACTCGAACATGATCCGCAAACGCAGATCAGTATCATCTGGAATGACAACACGTGGTGTGTCACCAGAAACGGCTGTATAGTACAGTAAACCGTTACGAGTAGTGTATCGATCTGATGCAGATCGATACGCAGACGACAATCGTTTCAACGATTCTCGAGATGGTTGGGAGAGATGTGACAACAACTTCACTATCTCACCATCTTGGGCGTATGCCCGCCTCACATCATCATACAACGTTGTAGATGGAACTGAGGACGTCATAACCGCAACAGTGACTGTCTCACTGTTGGGTTTCGCGACTGTTTCAAAGTCGGGACGACGTGAGAGTGCATCAGCGACGACATTAAGTCGTCCTGGTTTGTACTCGACCGTAAAGTTGTATTCTGCAAAGAATGACAACCACCGCGCCATTCGTTGTGAAAGGTGCGGGCTGTTCACTGCCGTGCGTAAGGACGCATGGTCAGTGTAAACTATGAAGGGTCCATCTCCTAATAGATAGACTCTGAACTTCGCGAGTGCATACTTCATGGCAAGGAGTTCCTTGTCATGCACTGGATAGTTCCGCTCAGCTGGTTGCAGCTGACGCGACTGATAGCAGACGACGCGTTCAACGCCTTCAAGGTCGTACTGCATTAATGCACAGCCGATTGCGAAATCGCTGGCATCACAGACCACATGAAATGGCCTGTCCTGATCGGCTATTGCTAGGACTGGGGATTGTATCAAGCTCTGCTTGATACCCTCAAAGGAGCGTTGACATTCAGCGTTCCATAACCACCTCTCGTTCTTTTTCAACAAACGAGAGAGGTGTACAGTCATCTCGGCGTAATTGCGTGAATACTTATGCAAATACGCCGCTAGCCCAAGGAATTTTCGAAGACCTTTGACATCGACCGGCACAGGCCAGTCGGTGATCGCCTTGATCTTTTCGGGATCAGGACGTACACCGTTCTTACCAACGATGCACCCAAGAAGTGGTATTTTGCTTGCTGCAAATATACACTTCTTGAGGTTTGCATACAATTGATGCTTTCGCATGATTGTAAGAACTTGTCGGACGTGGTACTTGTGAACCTCAACGTCCGACTTTCCATCCATAGCTCGACTATGGATGAATACGTCATCGAAATAACTCGGCGCGAATTCTCGTACTGGCCTCAACAGATGTGATACACACCTGTTGAACGTGGCAGGGGCATTACTGAGCCCTTGTGGCATTACTAGCCATTCCCAGAGCATGCCGCTAGGCGTGCTAACTGCGGTATAGGGTATATCCCGTTCCGCATTAGGATTTGATAGAAGCCATCCATCAAATCCATGGACGAAAAGATGGTACTCTTTGACATACCATCAATGATTACGTCCTTCCTCGGTATCGGCGTCTGAGCCGGTACCGTTGCAGCGTTCAATTTGTTAAACGCGTGCACTATCCGCCACCCTCCTGTTGCTTTTCGCACACAGAAGGTCGGAGAGCTATGTGGGGAAGTTGATTCCCTCACATGGCCCGCTGCTAAACGATCGGCAAAGAACTTGTCGATCGCAAGTACTTGTTCACGAGGCAGTGGCCACTGCTTCATGACACAGTACTTCGAGCCTGGTTTAAGCTCGACTTCGTGTCGAATACCTTTATCCTTCGGTAATTCGCACGGAACAGTTTCAGGGAATACATCCTTGAATTCAACCAAATCTTCATAGAGAGGATTTTCCTTGAGCGATTCCCATGATTGGGACTCATATCGCTCAATTCGTGTCTTTTCATCTAGGACACTCTCGTCCATAGATGAACTACTGAGAACTCTCTCGTTCTCAGTAAACACTGTTGCTGACCTTATGTCGGTTATATACTCGTCTTCAGCGACGAGTATGCAGATCTGCTTGACTTTGCCACTACGCAGATCACGCAAGAATCTTTTATGTTCGAGCGTTGGCAACTGAGTGATCTCCGAAGTTAACTTCGGAGGCGCAATCAGATCAAGTGTATAAGCGCCTACACATGATCCGTTATTGACTATGACATTCAATGTCTCTGTCATTTCCTGGGGACTTATTCCCTCAGGCTTCGAAGGACTTATTCCTTCGTCTTCACGGGGACTTATTCCCGCGGGTTTCGGGGAACTTATTTCCGCCGTATTTGTAATCTTGGGACTTATTCCCTTTACTTCCTCTAGCTGGGGTTGCGCAACCACAGCGAGATCCTCTACGAAAGACTCTCCAGTCGATCTAGGATTATCGTTTCGCTTAACCTGAGCGATCGATTGTTTCTCTTCTAGATGTTCCCCTCTAGGGATACATCTTTGTCCCAGTCCACCCGACTTATTCGAGTGGTGGACCTTCGGCGCAGCCTGTGTTTCCTCACAGCCGCCGGAACTTTGCTCCGAAGTGTAACCGTTTGGTACACTAAGGTTTTGTGCAGTCGTACTAACGACCGTACCACAAGTGAGGCCATCGCACTCACTCGTAGTACATCCACACGCTTGTGGACTCTCCAAAACGTTCATCAGATGGCCATCTGATGAACAAGCGGCAGGCATCGTTACTGTCCGATGTTGCCAGTTTACTCGTGGTTCGTACCTTCTGAGCCACGGTATTCCAAGGATGACATCAAATTTGTCATCCAAATCCATTACGATAAAGTCATCGTCATATTGGGTATCTTCTAGCGTATAGTGAATCTTCACTATACGCTTCATGACGGTTACGGATGCGCCTGTCGCAAGACGTACCGTCATCCTCGTAGGAGGTGTGTCACATTCACTGAATTTAAAGTGACCATCTTCTAGCGATTGGCGTCGCACAAAATTGTTGGACGCCCCACAATCGACTAGAGCTCGAAGGGACAACTTATTCGTCACTTCGAGTTTCAAGGTAATGAGTGAGATCTCATTACCTAGAGCAGCAACGCACAATGTCTGTGTGTTGGGAGCAACCTTCATCAAGAGGCCTACAAATTCTCTTGACGTTGCTGGATCAGTAGGGTGCTCCGCACCTACTGATCCTGTCCGTTTTTTGACGGTCCATCCCGTTGTTGCGTCTTTGCACCAACTGCGGACCCTCGTCCCTGCCCCTTTCTCATGGGTGGACGGTCACTACGCCCAGTGTCGCGAGACACTGGACGAGGGGCACTACACTCGTAAGCGTAGTGTCCTGTCTTTTGACATCTGTTGCATCTCTGCAACTTCTTGTAGCCTGTAGAGCGAGCCTTCTCGCTCTCTACATAACAGAGTTCCATCGGCTCTGGACCTCCGTTGTCATATCGTCTCGGTTGACGATATGATGTCGAGCTGGCGCGAGCCTGTCTCAGACTGAAGTCTTCCTGCTCCGCAATGGAAATGGCTTGTTCTAGTGAATCCAGTTCAAGCCGGAACAGGTGAGTCTTGACGGGACCATCCGCAAGACCCTGCATGAACACCGAAACCAACGTGTGTTCATCCACCGGATTGGAACTTATACAACTCGTGAGATGTCGTATATGTTGAGCGTAAGCGTGCACATCACGCTTACCCTGCTTGAGCTTCAAGAGTTCGGTTCGAGCTCTGAACTCAGCTCTAGGCGGTTCAAACGTTTGTCTGAGCCGCGACTTGAAGACTTCCAACGACCCAAACGCGTATGGGTCGTGCAGCTTGAGCCCCAGTGCCCAAGTCTTGGCACGTCCTGCCAGATTTGACTGGGCAAATGCAACTTGCATATCCCCGTCGTCGATGCGACGCGCCCTTATGGCGTCATCCAACTCGACGAACCATCTCAAGAGGGAGTCTT